AAAATAATGGAATTACACAAAGTTAACACAGGCAAGAAAATTCCCCCAATAATGCAATCATCCACATAAACTAACTCGATAAATCGTATAATGAAATAAGTTGAAAGGTAAGCATTTCCGTAAACAGGTTTATACATGTAAATTGCTCTCGTCTCTTTTGGCACGTGTTATGTGCCTTTGAAAGCTCGCCGCGTGCTTTAATTATGTTCCTGTGGTATGGGAAGTATGCGGCTGTTTGATAAACAACAACGTTGCATTTAGCGCAGCTTGCATTTCTACACGCTTCTTAGAAATTTTCGTATAATGTGAATGCGCGAATGTCACCGATTCTTCCGGAATTGTGGGAATTTCCGTTGTGTTTCAGCCGCGTGATTTTAGACGATGACGATCGCTCTATTAATATTGCGATTCATAATGAGAGATCAACCTTGAATACATACGCAGGGAAAGAAAATAGAATCACGAAATACGTACAAATCTTGTAAAGATCACGTCGATCGATATGTAACACTAAGAAAATGTTTCGTTTGCACGCCAACTTGAACGAAAATAATATAATGTCATGCACTTTTTCTCTTATGAGAGAGAAATATACTTTCTATTTCAAATACTCTCGATTCTCTTTCTGTAATAATACATTTAAAATTATTTAAAATATAATATCAATTTATAGAAAGAAAGAGAACAAACTATAAATTAATTTATTTTTTTCAAAGACATTAGTATTATTGCTGAGTAACAAGAGCAATCACCGTTTATCTTATCTTAAGTAAAGCATGACTGAAACTAGAAAAATCCTAACGATCACAATATAATTTGTTTGTACTTTGAAAACTCTGTAAAAATTTATGAGACACTATTTTCTGGAAAATCATAAATGCCCCATTTTCAAGATTTGCTGAATTGCATCGTTTTAATGTAACGTATCTAAGAATGTCAAAGAGCGAAAAGAAAGTAATCTTTTTTTAAATTCAAGTATGTTCTTTTTCCTAGGCGCACAAAAAAAAGTCATAGTTGAATGTTAGTCAATAAATGCTATCCGACCCGCTGAGACATCTGTTAAAGTGAATGTGATATTTACGAGCGAACCGTGAAAAGCGAATATTTATGTCGATGTCTTTAATCAAGTAAATTGCCACATTCGCTCATCGTAATTAATACGATTATTAAAAAAAGTATCTTATTTTTGAGATATCAAGTATAGATATACCAAGAAAAAAAGATGCAAAACTATTTAAGATTGATTTATAATTAACTTGGATGTTTCATGTTTTCAAAAGAAATATATATGTTACGTAAGAAACTCTTGTCTATTTTAACTATGAATTTCTCGCAAGTCTGTAGATAGAAAGTTAAAGTTTGCAAGTTTGTACTATGCAATTTTCCTCATTAAATATACTTCGATGATACTTGAGTTATATTTGTAGCGAGATGCGCGATTAAATTTAAGCCCTGTGAATAGCGTACACAATAAGTCTAATTAGAATAAATCGGTTTTATGTGTCATTTTCGTGTATTGCATCGCAACAATAATATGAGTGACATATATGTGATGCGCCCACGTGGGATAGGTATAGATGTAGCCTCGAGATAGGTCGATAGCCGTGACGTCAGTGGCTCGCGCAGGCGAGAGAGAGAGAGAAACAGCGAGATGGAGAGAGAGAGAGAGAAGGAGAAAGAGAGAGAAGAAGCGAAAGAACTGATGAAGTTCAAGGTTACCGCGCTCGAATGCACGTCCTACGCGGAAAATAGGAAAAGAGGGCGAATAGATTTTCCAGGAAAAACGTCAACGCCTAGAAGAGGCGCGCTATATCCGGACTGGAGCTTATTAGAGGTAAGGAATTACGCTTTTAAAGGGGCGCGTCTTTTAACGATAAAATGAATAGATCTCCCGTTCGTTATAAAGGTAAAATCAAATGGAGGAAGTTCAGCGTTCGAGAAAATTGTATAGCATGAAATATTATTTTCCAAGAAAATAAAATCAAATGGATTTTTAATTAAAATGGAGAAAAAGCATCTTGCATCTTTATATATTTTTTTTTCAGAAAGTATTAAAAAGATTAAAGATTTGACTTTAATTCCTTAAAGATCGACCTTAATTTCAGATAGATTGCGATATGCGGTAATATTTTGTAATATTCAGTTTCGTCAGATAATGTTTTCGTGACATCATTTATAACATAATAATTCACTGACTACACGGAATAATGACGCAAACGGTCACCAGTGGACTATCCAGTGTTATCTCAGTCGATTGGCCGAAACCTCTATCGTATTCGTAACATCGTCCGACACGAATGCTCGACGAACAAAGCTTGATTGTCCGTCAAAGTATATCAAATCAACATTAATCTAATGTGAATGAATTTCTCATTAAATTAAAAATGATGTTTTTGTCAAAAATACGATGTATAAATTCATTACGTTGCGTACAATTCGGAGATAGCAATTTAAGGAAAATAGTCTGTAATCAATTCACTAGTTCAAGACCGAAAAATCTGTTGTCTCGATACTCGAGTGTCCTCGAAGCGAAATCGTATTTGCGTTGGCACGCCCGGACGTGCCCCGGACTGAGCAGCCTTGAACTTGCTCACCCTCGAACAATTCACCCTCAGCTTCCGACCTTCCACCGCCTCTTCTCTCTATCTCGCATCAAAGACATGGACATACGTGTGTGTGTGTGTGTATGTATATACATATACATATATACATATATACATATATATATATATATATATATATATATATATATATATATATTTGATATAACGCAATACGTATACTCTTTCTCTCCCTCTCTTGACAAGCAATAAAAAGAAAACAGATCGATAGCGTGGAATACACGGGGATACACGGGAGTGAAATGTGAGAATGTGGCGCGAGCGAAAAATGCTGACGGACGTTATTCCGTGTAAATGCGATGTCATTTACAAGATTCGTTTTCCCCTCCGCCACCATCAGCCACCCGCCCACGCCCTCGACGTATTTCGCGTCCGGACAAAAAGTCGTCCTACCACATGCGAAGGGTTAATAGCGGGCGTCCTGCCTCCCCTCGGGACTCCGGCCTCGCTCGCTCGCGCCGCTCTCGACGGGCTACCGCGTTATAACGGCGTTTGCCCGTGACCAACGGGGACCTTGGCAATGGCTCGCGGCGACGCGGGGGCGCGGGGGCGCCGGCGTCGGTGTCGCGACGCAGACGCCGAATGCGCGCGCAGTTCGCTCGATGCATCCGGAGGTCGCGCTCGCGCGCGCCGGGAGCGATAACCTTGACCTTATCCGCGCGGCCCGGTGGCGAACAAGGTCCATCCACTCCTCGACGGTTGAAGGTCTGCGGTGCCGCGGCCGCGGGGAGGGAGGAAGGAGCCTAGCGAAATCTAGCCACTCGCTCGATCTCCCTCGAGGACGCGTTAACGATCCTCAATTACCGCACCCTCGTCGATTCTCTCGCTTATTCTCCGCGTCCTTCTTTCTTCCCCCCCCCCCCTCTCTATCTTTCTGTCTCTTTCTCTTTTTCTCGCTCTCGTTACGGATTATATTCGTTCTTCCTTCCCGCTCTCTCCCCCATGCGAGGATTTTTATCTTCTATAAAAAAAACTTGGAGGCTATAAAAGGGAACGTCGAGTATATACCTACTCGCGTAGGTTGTACTTTGCGAGAAATGAAGTGCACCCGCGCGATAAACTTTCTCGCCGCTCTCTCGTCTCGAATTTTCGTTGTCTTTTAACACGCGCGGCTTATCCGATTATCTTAATTCACGATCGCGCATCAAGGACGATGCATAATTAATGACGGGTATAATTAATAGACGAATGATTGTCGATAAATAAATAATTGGCTCCGTGTAACGATAAAATATATCGAATGAATTAATGATTCGCTCACCGCCATCTTTACCGCCATCTTTATCCTCTTACATCACGGTCTCCTCTCCCGGATCCAGCATCCACCTTTGGCTCCAACATTCGCCTCAAACACGACACTACTATCGAATATTCATTTCGCACACTTTGCTCGTCAACTCGGACGTAAAATCGCGAGTAAAATGCAACTTATCGCACGAAAAACGGAGCAATTACCGCGGTTCGCGCACTTTCACTTGTGCACCGGCTCCACTTACACTATCTCGCCTCGCGATCTATTATTGCGAGCGCAATTCATTTATTCGCGAATGCGAATTCCAATTCGCGACACGATAATTAGTACGTCCATCACTTTGCACGACGCTCGATTGCATTCGCGATACACATCGGACGCGATAAATCACGCGAAACGCGACGACTCTCGTTAAACGTAACACGATACAACTTGTCGGGAAATAGCACTTCCGCGACGAATTTCGTGCCGGTTCTTGATAGATGGACGCAGCATCGCAACGTCACTCGACTCGCGAGGGGTACCAATCGCGAGTGACCCCGCGTACCCCGAGAATTTTTTGCTCGAGAGTTGTCAGAATTTGATACAAAACAGATATCTGATTTCTATCGTATGTTGTATATACATTAATTAATGCGTCGACCGACTCCACTAATTAATTCATTGGTAATTAATTCATTGTTATATATCATATCGTATATATCATATAATCATCTTTCCGATCAATTATCGCGAAAATGTGTTGCTGAATAAACATTCGATATACAATAAACGTGTGAGTGAATATTCGGATCAAAGGACTAACAAAAGCCGATGCATCATCGTTCATTGAAAAGAGGGATAACGGATTTTGTCGAGTATCTTTATTCTTTTCCAACGAATATTGTTCGCTTTATCTAAATTTCATGGATCACAATGTATGCTTTTCTATGATTGTGATTTATATATGGGAAAAAGTGGACATAAATAATGGCAATTGTGCAACGAAAAAAAACTCTCGATATACGCGGTTGGTACCCCTCGCGTCATGAATCGCGTGAAACTAGATCATCGTTGCGACCTATCAGGCTTCGGCGCGAAATTGTCGCCGTGTGTCAAAATTTTCAAACCGATTGAGATATTGAGATATCGCAGTTGAAATGTCGCAGTTGTATCGGGCGTGTCGAGTCCTGCGACATCGTGTTTTTCACAACTTCTCGTCGTGATTTATCCGTCTAATACGCATTCGAGAGTATCGGGAGTATCGTGTCAAGCAGCCCGATCGTCTCATCCCGTTAATTCGATTTATATTCGCGAGTGAACGGAAGGAAATTCTGACTTTTCCGAAACGAAAGGAGCAAGTGTCGGGGAGGCAAGGCGGCCATTGGCTTCTAGAGCGAAGCCGAATCGCGATAATTAACCCGTTTTTCGCGCGATCGCGATAATCAGTGCTTCATCACGCGACGCCGAATATCTGTCGCGAGTGAATAAGTGTTGATGTGAATAAGTGTTGTTTATGTGAGTGTCCCGAGTGAATGTTCGGAGCAACGGGAGCCATCGACGAGGCATCGACGAAGGCATCGACGAGGCGACAAAGGGACGCGACGAGGAGCGACTCTGACGTATCGAGAGAGGATAGGCGGATACGACGATCAGAAGACAGCGGGTGGTGAGTAGAATTTCATTATCCTCTCGCGACGCTAATTATTCTCTGTTTGGAGAAAATTTGACGCCAACATTTGCGTCGTTAAAGTCTGGATTCGCGGAAGCAATCCCGAACGAAACGCGCCGACTTTTGCGAATCGAAATCTCGTCGAGATAATCTAGATTGTCCAGATCCGTTACGAGTAAACGAGGGGCTAAAATTAGACGGGGCGTCTAAAATCTCGAGAATGTATGATAGAGCGGGCGGCAAAGTCGCCCTGAGCTTGCCGATTAAAGTCGCATGATCGAACAAAATAGTTGTCTCGGACCGATCCTCGCGCAGATTAGAGACGGTGGAAAGTCGAGGTCGCCCTTGACGTAAGCGCCTACCACGTGTAGATACACAAATACACCGACGTTACTTTTCTCACATATCGCATTCTGAGAAATACGAAACATCGTCGGATATTATGACGATGTGAGCCATCGAGAGATGTGTTAGTTTGAATTATTGATAATCGCTATCTACTTGTTAATGAAACCGATTATCGCCCGTTCAGCGAAGTTTATGAAATTTAGCAGCATCAATCGTGACACGATCGCGATCTTTGAAGGATACTTGGCGCCGCATGAAATAAATATTAATTCCATTCGGGGAATTTTTATTTTAGCTTCTTAACTAACTAAAGTCGACCGTGTGATTTATGCTATATTTACTTATTTATTAATTTATTATTTTATTATTTTATTAATTTATTATTTTATTAATTTATTATTTTGTTAATTTATTATTTTATTAATTTATTATTTTGTTAATTTATTATTTTATTAATTTATTATTTTGTTAATTTATTATTTTATTAATTTATTATTTTATTATTTTATTAATTTGTTAATTCATTAATTTAATTTATATGATACGGTTACAGGCTCGGTTAATTATTCCCATGTCGAGTCTTGTTCGTCAAATGTCAGTCTCTTTCGCTATGTTATTATCTAGGAAATCCATTCGTATATCCGTGTATATCTGCTGCAATGATATATTTAAGGTCGAATCCCTTTTCTCAATAACGCAATAATAGCGTGTCAATTTGGATTGTTGCAATAAGCAGTCTCTACATCTATCGGCCTTGACATCGACCGCTGCAGCTACGCAGTTGTAACAAAGTGCATCACCGATATCTGCCAACTGTTAGAAAGACCACGAAAACACGATCGTAAATTTAAGACACCGGCGGAAAGCGATTCCGATGTATATATAATAGTCGAAATGATTTGTTCTAAATTCATTAGAACGTGTCGCTCAAATATTTTTGGCGCGTCAGAAATAAGTAACGGGACATTTTTATCGGATGGAGCACTGTGCAGCTAGTAGTTGGCAAAGAGGCATGCCGCGTAATCTATATTTCACGCAAATATTTTCCGATGACGAATCTTGGCGCCCGCGGAAATCGGTTCGATGCTACTTTCGCGAGGGACGGTGCATCGACGCCGACGCGAGGCGATCTTTATAGATGCCATCGGCCCTGTCCTTGACATCGACCGCAGTGTCCTGACGCTACGCAGGCGGTACGTAGTTACATCGAGATATCCGATATGCGGTACGAGTTCGCGGAGGAGTTTACGTAGGAAGGGAGATTTAAAGCGAACATATACACGTATACATGTATAGGGTATAGGGTACGCGAGTCACCATATTCGAACCAAATGAGCGGCGAAAATTTATTCACCGGTCGTAGAATTTTTCACGAGATTAGGCAAAATTTGAGACAGTAATCTACCTCGGTACGAAAGACGTAAATGACGTTTGTTCGCGCGATGTAAATGATTTTCCACATCGAACGCGATTTATCACTTGAAGCTATGTAGCTATTCGTTCTGTCTGTTTTATTATGGATGGAGGAGAGCCTCGGGTTATTTCTGTGTATATTCACATTATGTACAAAGCAGAATTGCTTGAAATAAAACAAGGACAAGTTCGACTAATCGCGAATAAGAGATCGTATTTCACGACTATTTATTAATACAGGGTATATTCCGCGCTAGAGACTGATGCATAGGATTGGACGTCTATGTGTAAACAATATCTAAGTGTAGACTTGCGATCTGTATACGTTGCTATTAGTAATTTATACACATTCCTTCCGCATCAATGTTTATTACGCAATATCCTGTATTAGTCACGAAGAAATCGAAATTGGCTTAATTATTTAGTACAGGAAGAAATTCAGAGAAAATTCAGAGTTTGTAGGAATAGAAATATTATTTACATATACCACAATTAATTATGCAAATAATACATAGTAAAAGATCCTTGTAACAAAAAACTGTTTTAAATATTATTTCCTATAAAGATCGAAATTATTTACTTTTTCTCTTCATAGTTTTAGGCTTTGCCCTCGGTCTGTTACCGCCGCGATTTTTCGTTTTACGTCCTTTAGTTTTTTCTTTAGCTTTAGTCGCGCGTAAGTCCTTCTTCATTCTCGGATCGACTATTTTATATCGACCTTTCACACCAGGAGGCCGAACGGCCCGCTTCTGCGCGGTATGTTTCTTTGCTACGATATACTTGAGTTCCTTTCTTGGCTCTTTCTTAGCTTTCTTGTATAATCTACATTAAATCAATGATAACGTTAAAATCAAACGTGCGTTAAATCAAACATTTAAAAAAGAAAATAATGTACTTACGCTTTAATTTGTCTGGCCTTTTCCTTGTCATTGACATCCGCATTATCCATCAACACTTCCATCTTTTTCTTGGCCTTCTCAAGTTTGCGCATTGTGCGTCTCTTCTTTCTCGCCTTAGCTTCCATTACTTTCTTAATCGGTCTAACATTCAAGTCTTTGACCTTGTTTTGATATTCTTCGACAAGTTCCTTGGGAACAGGTGCTTCTTTCTTCATGTGTTTTTCCTCATCCTTGATAAACCAATCCGGTAATTTTTCATCGTTAAACGCGTATCTATTCCAAGCAGAATCGATCAAATCCCTTCGAGATTTTTTACGAATCAACAAAGATCCAAGTGCCAAATCTTCGGGGGTCAGTTTCCTCTTCTTTGATTTTTTATCTGTTTAATCATAAAGGAATGTGTTCAAGTTAACGTAACTAACAACTGCCAGTAATCATTAGTAGTCTCGGTCGGTAAAATTTTCGATCAAGCTTACCTATTACTTATCTTACCTATTTTTTCTTGCGGTACTACTTCAAAGCCGTCTTTTCCGCCAACCTTCTTTATTTTTTTCTTAGATGCCATCATTTCTTCTACGTCGTAATCTGAATTTGTATCGTCGCTTTCACTAACTTTACGTTTTTTTTCCTTGTTATTTTCCTTGTTAATTTTTTCCTCTGTCTTTTTCTCTTCTCCGAGAATACGTCCACCTTTTCTCTTGTATTGTTCGATCATTTTATCCAATTCGTAATCTGCATCATCTTCTTGTTCCAAATTTTTAAATGCATCTTTTTCAAACCAAAGTTCAGCTTTATGAATTTTTTTAGTTTTTTTATCTCGAAAATCTAAATCAGTTAGCAAAGGATTGTTAGAATTGTCAGAATCTTTAGATTGTTGTTTCTTCTTTTGCACTTTTGCTCTATTTGTACTTTCGTCTTCCGAATCCTCCAGGCCTATTTTGGGATAATAAATTTTGTTATAAATTATAAAAAATGTGTAAGTAATAGAATATATACAAATCTTTTAAAATCACTTGAAAAGGAATATTTAAAATTAATGTTAATATTTAAAGAGCATAATACCTAATCCTGATTTCTCACTATCTGTATCATCATCTGATATAGCATCGGTATCATTTTCGTCACTATCTTCTGATTTATAGTATAAGCCCTTGCTATCCAAATGACCTGTATCTTTCTTGTAAGAAACCGTCGTTGGTTTGATTTCTTCGTCCGAATCTGCCTCACTCTCTGCTAAAACATCAGGCGTTTGATCTGTAACTTGTTGCAATTGCTGATAAGTTTGAATCTGGCTTAATTGAAACATATCGTCCCCTTCTAATTTAGGACCTTCATCATTTTTATGAATCATTTTCAGATTAAGGCGTTCATTTAATTTATTTCTCTCTTTGAGAGATTTCTTCTTCTTGCGCTTCAATTCTTTAGCTTCTGCTTCTCTGAGCTCGACAATTTGTTTTTCAATTACTGCATCTTCTAAATCTTCCTGTTCTTCAAGACTAATTGTTTTAGATGCTGTTGTAGTTTCATCTTCTACCACATCTTCTTTCTCTTTTGTTTCTGCTTGTGCCTGTTTTAATGATTTCCACCAATTAAGCAGCAGTTTCAAGTCTTTCCGACCAAGTACCTTGATATCTTTGCAACATTCTCTAACTTCTTTAGTCGTTTTTTCATGATTGTTGATAAACTCATCATCTATTACTATTTCAGAAGCATTCTGCAAAAACTCTACTGCATTTTCACAGGCAATAAATTCTTTTGCAGATAGTTTATGATATAATGTGTAATCATTCGTAGGATATCCCTCTGCTTTATTTTTCTTTTGCTTGTCTGGTTGAAGGAAGTTTGATTTGTTTGTAGATTCTATTTCTAATTCAGAGAATACATATTTTGCATCAAAGAATTTAGGATCTAATTTATCAGGAGCAATATAATATTGACACACTACAAAAATTTCTGCAGATTCATTACGTGAAGCTTGAGGTTTAGTAGCATGTACCTAAATAATAAAGTTGATTAAAATATGAAAATTAAACGAGACAATTATTAGTAAAAGAAAATTCCTCTTAAATAATATTAATACCTTTTTAAAAAGCTGTTTTAACACCCAAATCAATGCATGGTAATCTTTAGATCGAAATACTTTTGTTACAAACCAACCACCGGCTCTTAAAAATTGAGTAGCTAACTTAACAGCTGATAATGTTAACACAACTTGTTGATATGCATCGTGAAGCCAATTTTTTCCAACATTGGGAGCACCATCGTTTAAAACAACATCAGCCTTCCATGTTTTCAATTCACGTGAGATAGCTACTCTACATTTATCTGTTGTAATATCTTCTGTAAGACTAATACATCCTGGTATAGGCTTTATTGGAAACAGATCTACACCTATAACTATAGACGATACTGGCATATTTTGCCTGGCAACCTGCATCCAGCCACCAGGTGCTGCACACAAATCGATGCATACTCTGGACTTTTGTAAAAATTCAAACTTGCGATTTAATTGAATTAATTTGAAAGCAGCACGTGATCTGTAACCTAAACAAGAAATTCAATCTTAATTATCATTATTTTAATCACAAGTAACAAATTGTCTAATACAAATACTATGGCATGTCAAGCTATTGCAAATATTAATTAATTCCACCTCTCTCTTTTATAGCATAATATATAAATTAATATAAAAAAGATATTAATAATTAGCACTCACCTGTTTCCTTAGCTAATTGATAATATTTATCTTTTCTTTGCTTTCCAATTTTCGTCTTCTTTCCCATTTTTATAAAAAAATAGATATTAGCTTTTCTTTCACACGTATATAATTATATAAAGTATGTACTATCTAGCGTGGTTTTCTAATATAGAGGTTAGGAACTATCGTCTCACATATTACATATACATACATAATTATAGCCAGTAAATACTACCAACTTAACCATACAAAATTTTACTATTTTTCATTCATAGGAATATAATAGAAATAAGATATTCCAATAGGCTCTTGAATAGAGAATTTTTAAATTCAGACAGCACAGCAATGCGTAAATAGGACCATTTTACATCAAAATGATACCGACCTGTTTTCGTCTATAAATTTGTCGCAATCTGCGCAGATTCGCACTCGCTCTTAGCACACCGTAGGTGTAAGTTTGTGGTGCAGACGTTGATCTACGGATCTCGTTTGATCCGTCTCGATTTAGTAATAACAGGTAATAATAATTTTTCTTTCTAACCGAATTCGCCGTTTTTCTAATATATAAAAGGGAGAAGAAGAAAAAAAATGTGGAAAGTCGTAGTTCGTGGAATCCGAGAAACGTTGGAACGACGTGTCTGTCGCACCAACGTTTATTCCCAATCATCGCAGGATAATGCTAAGAACGAAGTCAAAACAAGCTTGACATGCCAACAAAAATTTCTTCCACCAATGTGTATTACTTGTGATAAGAGTTTTTGTGGACCTGCTAAAAATGCAGGTGCTAATGATAAGAAACACGAATGGAATACCAAGCATAGTTGGCCAGAGGCTGTTGGTTGGGTAAATAAGTTTTTTTTTAAGACAAATATTATCTGTCGTAATGCATTACAGCAACATTAAAGAAACTTTATTGCTAACGTAATATTTATTTTATTAGTCTAGCGTACTGGCAGCTGGACTAATTGTGTGCCAAACTCTTTGCCTTCATAAAAGGATCTTCAATCGTGAGAATAAGGAAACTTTAAAAAACAAATTATATAATTACTCTGGAGTTCCATTTATTCTCACGCAAATATTGAATTTAGAAATAAAGAATATTCTGCCAGTTACTAACTGTGTTGGTAATAGTAATGAAAAATCTATGCTACAAGATTCAGATTCACAATGGAGCGCAGCCAAACCGTTTGGTCCTATCACCCTTGAAGAGGTGAGGATGTTATTATGCAGAAATTATACTTTGTAATTATGTGCTAGAAATATATAAGTAAATTAATATAAAAGCTTGCGATCTTTTATGCTCCTGGATAAATTTATCATGAAGAGAAATTACATACATGTATATATTGACATATACATGTCTTTATATTTAGAGCTACCACTATTATGTTATTGATATACATCCATCTTATAATTATACTAAACAATAAATATACAAAATATATATATGTATGAATTCTTTATTTAATTTTACATTTTCTAATAAATTTGAAGGCATTTTCTGTATACGTAGAAAAATTTCTCTAATTTTAATATTTCAATATAATAAAATTTATTATTGCAATCTTTTAAAATTGATAGAAATATCTTTTAATAAAATATGTATTTTAGAATTTTTAAATTAAACTCTGTATTTAGCAAAGTGTACTGTACAAAGTATTGTAGAATAAATGAGAATTTGTACATATTTATTTTAAATATCTTTCTAGAATGGTTGACTTATTCTGTATAGGGCTAAACATATAAAATACCATATCTATAGATTTTTTTACATCCTTAGGCACTTAAAGAGGCTGCTGATGAATTTACAAATACTCATAATGTAGTGGTAGGAGAATATGAACTTCATTACGGTATAAAAGCGTTGAAGGAAAAACGCTACAAAGATGCTTTCATGCATTTTTCCGCGGGCGCTAATCTATCATCCCCCGGAAGTATGTTTAATTTAGGTATATGTTATGAATTAGGCATTGGAACTTTAGCTGATCAAAAGAAGGTATGTTTATAATATTTAGATCATCTCCAAAGAATTGCAAAAATTAATTTTAAATTATTTAAAATTTTTTTGATTTGTACATAAAGATAAAAAATATTCATTATTATGACATAGAAACATAAAACATTTAAAACTATAAAAAAATGTTTTTAAAAAATATATATAAAACTATAATTTTCCTTCAGGCTATAAAATATTACAATGATGCCGCGGCCCATAATCATGCTGATGCGTTATATAATGTAGGAGTTTTCAATGCTCAAGGAAGAGCTGGTTTACCTATTGATATTGATATTGCACGAACTTATTTCGTTAGAGCAGCCAAGCTGGGCCAGATACAAGCGCAATATGCACTTGATTTAGAAAAAGCTGATACTTTGAAGAAAAATAACAATACCTCCATAATATCAAATAACTGTTCAACAACTGAAAGAAATTTAGAAAAGAATAAGGCAAATGATACGCGCATAAAATTAAATAATTACATGTTGAATACAAACATTGATCAAATATTAAGTACGAATTTCACCACAAAATGTACAGTCGAATCGCCAGGGTATGAGAAAATAATCCAAAATAACACTCAAGTATTTTTAGATTTTCTCGGCTTAAAAGACTCTAGTCCAGCCGTTATGATAACTACTAATGATTGCCATGTGCCATGTTAAAAAAAATACTTTTGTTGTATCAGCGTAAGATTCGCCAAGCAAAAGAATCATAGACAGTACAAATGTATTAATTTCTACATTAATTTTTTGTGTATAATATTTTTGTGTTTCAAGTATTCATACGTAGAAATACGTATTACATAGAAATAGGGAGCGATATTTGCTCAATTTATATGTTGTATAAATCTGGTTGCTACTTTAAGCAATTTCACGCCCATTCGTAACATTTTCATGTTTTATTATTTTAATATTTTTCATTTAAGAACAAAATAAGTGTATATATATATATATATATATATATATATATATATATATACACATACATACATACATACACACTTACACATATATACACATCTACATATATATGCATCGTACTTATGAAAATTCTTCATTTTCATTTTGTTAAAGTTATATGTGTAATTTCATCATTACATTGTGTATTATATAATGCATACATTGATATATACTTTAAGCAGAAAAATTTTAAAACTATATTTATACATAATATTATGTATAAATATAAGTTATATTTTATTATATTTATATATATGTTTATATATATGTTACTTGTAGTTGAATTAAAACTTAACTGTGATGCACGATTAAAAAAATATGAAAATGAAATGCCTGATACAACAATGACATTACAATTGAGAAAAGTTTGGGTGTTGTACGCCGTCGCAAACTATCCTAAGATTGTAGTACTTGATATATTGTTGATAATTTTATGAAATGTATATATTTCGACTCTTACATTGAAAAATCTTATTGAATAAGATGTATACATTAGATGTAAGATTTTATAATTTTGTTTGACATGTATAAGAAACGACATTAATGACGTTTAATGATTCATCCTTGTGTACTATACAAAGTATTAAAAAATACGTGCAAAATACATAGATATATGGTACGTAATATAAAAATAAATTTTTTTAACTTCCAAAAATAGTTTTTTTTAACAATGACATTCTCTACTCTTAGAACGGTCGTAATCATAACTTTAGCTTATCTGCTTCACCAATGCGCATTTCGTTGCAACACGGTCTTTTTCAGAAATTCGCTATGATTGGCGTATAAATTTATTTGGCGATTCACATCCATCCATCTTACGTTACGCGCGTCGTCCCCAGCCATTAACGCGAGTTTCCCGACGAGACTGCTGTCTTCGTCGTGAAAATTTATAGCCACCGTCTCCATCCAAGCGTTATCCGTATTTCGCGGATCGTCCACATATCCTTTATAAATCTCGTCGCCTTTCGCGAAAAATTCTGTTATAGAATCTTGTAGCATCTTTCTTTCACCGTCATCTCTCTCTAAGAAATTTAACGCTTCTTCCATAAATTCTCTCATTAAAGTAGTAGAGACCGTCTCACCCGGATCAACCATACCTCCCGGTATAGCCCATTCTCCGGAATCTCTTCTTTGTATTGCGACGAATTGTAATATGGGTTTTCCTGTGTGCCCATCTATTTCTATAGCTTTCGCGCTATCGCGTTTCCATCGCGTAACGATCGGATCGGCAGCGTGATTCGGTCCCCATCGGCCTAGAAGCCCTCGTCCAGTGATACCGGTTCGTCCCACAGGATTTAAAGGATGACCATTCGCGATCACGTAATTTCCCGTAAAACTTCTTCGATTCACCTTGCCTGTGAAAAATTGTACATCAAATATAGCGCGATAACTGCTTGCGTTTCGCATGCGCAATATTATTTTTAGTTATGTCGGTAAACTTGTTAACCTCATAAACACGACATTCGTAAACACTACATTTTTCCGTTTAATTATTTACGTAATTATGACAATTGCCCTGAATTTAGACAAAGAGAAAATCGAGAGGATAGTTACCGTCTATCGCATTCCATCTTGGTTTGAAAGTAAGCTCGTTGATGTCCGGATCTGCCCAAGGTTTACCCTGAAGAACGGCAGCGGTATACGCGACCGGTTTATACTCGGGATACTCGACTGTCCATGGAATTTTTTCTTCCGGCACTGCGAATCTCTTTATATTACTGGCCGGATACAAGCCTTGCGTACATTTCTGGTGAAGCATTCTTGTACATCTAGTATTCATTTGACAACTCCTTCCAGGAAAATCGATGGGATGAATACACGATTAGACAATGTATATAGACCTAGTATTAACATTTGACGTATCTGAAGAGTAGAAGAAAAAACAGAAAGAGTCCACCTCTTTCCAATAAAAGATTGCGCAAGCACAAATGAGAGAAAAATATTCCTTTCATCATATTTTGTCTCCTTTTCTGTATAAACTTTATCGGCACAATATTATAGTATATTTCTGCTCGCGATTTATTTATTATATTTATGATGAATTTATTTATTTATATTATATGCATTTATTTATCCAGTGACTCTTCGCGTTACTATAATAATTTGCAGACTCCATATCATGTATTGTCTTCAAACAAAATTAGGAAAAAAACAAAATACATATAAGTACAATGAGTCTTTTTTACAAAAATTATATAGTTTTGAGAAAATTACAAATATTATATTAGGTCAAACAGAATGTAAGGAAAAAAAGATTGAAAATTTCAGTTTCGATTTAAATCTATATATTTTGTATATCATCTTAGATTTAAAAAGTGCAGCAGATTTTATTAAAATCTTCGAGTTATATAACATTGTACTATATCGGATTATTATAACTGTTTGCACATGGTTTTTTTTACATAATTCTTTAAACACAAGTTTTATATAACATATGATATTTTTAAAATTTGTGCAAATCAAACTGCATATTTATTTAAATATGTGTCATTAAAGTAGTATAATCAAAATGAGATATCGATTTTTTTATAATACTTATTACATAAAATAAGTTGCAACTTATATAAGACACACATGGACTTTATAAAATTGTAAAAGTCTTATTCCATTTAATCCTTGGCATATGTGTATGGCATAATATTAAAGTATATGTGAATTTTATGCATATCATAATAATGATACAATTACATGTTATATTTACAAATGTAGGCTTGTTTCCTCCAGTTCTTGAACGCATACAGATTTTTGCAATGTATTGTTTTTTTTATTATAATTCGTATAATTTCGTTTAACTTTTCACAAATCTTGTATTTATACGCTGGAAGACTAGATTAGACGTATCTATAAAATTTAACAAACTCTAATAACACTTATCTACTTAGATTGGTAAAAGATCGTTTATAATTAATCTGGATGTTAATGAATAATACTTGTGCATGATGTACTATTAATGCCCACTACTTCAAATAATAAACTCAAATATAGTTCAATATACAGTATTTGAATTGATATTAAGAAAAGGCTGCGCCGAAAATAAAATGTATGTCTTTGATAAAAGATATAAAACATTTTCATTTAACAAGATAAATTTCAAAGCCTCTGCGCGTGTGTGTTGACGTCTTTTATTATTCTCCAATTATTTATTTTATCAAAAATATATGCTCTATAGAATTATTTTTATTATTTATAAAATTTGTGCATTTTCAAGTCAAGAGTTAATATATAAAAATAAATAATTTAATAATTTTGAAAAAACAGTCGTATAAATATATTAAAAGTTATTTTAATTTTTACACGCTTGAAATATTGAAATTTAAATAATTTCTCAAATATCTTATATTTATCCCGAGATCCATCGCTTTTCTGCAAAGTATAGATGTGATTTAAAAAGTTCATTCTGTAGAAATAATCTTATCTTAAATCGAATTTTAAATTAAGATTAACAGAATAAATTATTATCAATTGCTTTCTTGCAGATTTCTTTCATTATTATGGACAAGCGTATGGCTTTCTCGAAAAAATAATTTAGGGCTAAGATACCAAAGGTATCAGCCAGATTACAAGAAGTAGTTTTAATCTATCATTATATGCAGGGTCGGATTTAGAGGGGAGAGGGAGGGCAACAGGGGCTGAGCCTCCACAACACAAATTTTTGAGTAAAATTTCCTATCGAATGGTATACAACACTTACAAGGTTTATGTATATTGCTTGACCTTATTCTTTCACAATAAATTATTTAAACAACGTAAAAATTTCTATTTGATTTTGGTTTAAAAATGGTTAGGGGTCTCCACACCTTTAAATCCGACCCTGATTATATGAAAAAAATTGTGTAAAATTCTGGTTAAACTTTTAAATTCATAATATTCAGTTAAAGTATCTCCTACTTCGGTTATATAAATACGCATTTCAAATTTCAATTGTTTCGTTCATTTTATAAGAGCGGCTTAATTCTCATATCGCTTGTTCTCAGTTTTACAAATCAACGTGTTCGTTGATAGTTTTCATCGAAATTACATGTGGAAATGCACTTTAATATCAGGAATAGTGCCTAATATAAAATAGTTTCATATTATAGTGGACAATTATTGGAACGTTTCCAAGATATATTAAAATAATCATACGTTATTCGTATCTCATATTTCAATTATTATTATTTTTAGTTGAAAACTATTTTCATTTTAGGCATAATTCCTTATGAAATAACCTTATAAAAAATTAAAGACCAGAAATCGCTATATTTTCGTTTGTGCCGAGTCAGAGAACTCGAGTCTATATCATGAATCCGCTTTACTTCTCATAAATAAGTTTTCTTTATCAAACGCCGTGATCAAATTCGTGGTATCCCTCTGCTCCGGTAAATACAACGTCAACCCAAACACGCATAGCTTCTGGGCTGGGTGCCATGAGATGATATAGTCTAGATGAAGTCTTGACGATGAAAGTAAGAGAAGGTTGTGGCGATCGAACAGTGTTCATATGATCCACATAGACTTCCTCGATCGACTACAATACATAAATACATTAATGTTAAATACATAAATACATTAATGTTAATATTTCAGTATTAGGATTTTTAAATAATAAAGAAACCTTCAGAGCGCGCTTACCTGAAAATAAATTACGCCGCGAGCTTTTCTAGACGTGTTGTCACTGTAGTAAGACAGCGTTTTTCGCTTGCGATCGAATACAAACCATCGCTTGTTCCAATGATGAAACTTTTTACTCATTTTTGATAAATAGCCACTGCAGCTTGTCGTGTCGACCGTAACATCATAAATCAGAGGTAACTGATGTCCGGCAGTCTCTATGTGATGCCTTAAATCTAGAGATTCCGACTTGATGGGGAGATATCTTGTAAGTGGCCTCTGTAAAAGTTATCGTTTGTTGAATCTCGATTCATCAATAATGTGATAAATCAAGCAATTTATTATGTACAGAATACAATATAAAATATAATATAAAATGGAATATAAAATGGAATATAAAATAGAAAATCTGTAATATTAAAAAAATTATTATAAGTCGAGCATAATCGAACAAGGGATTTCTCTCCGAATTTTTAGCAGGTTTTTTAACAGTTATTGTCTGTTGTCTATATCATCTATTGTTGATAATTAATCAAAGGATTTTATATAGGAAGTTACCTGAAGTTTTGCCTTTTCGCGATGTTTGACAGGCTGCAATGGGCCAAGAGTATCCATCTCGCTAGATGTCTGAGAAAGGGGGCGACTTTCGTTTCCGTCGATGATGCCTCCACCGCTACCACCTCCGCTATTATCGCTAAGCCTCTCACCTTCCATCGATGTTCTCCTATCGTCTCTCATCTGGAAATAATCCACGAATTTTTCGTTATTTCGTTTTATAACAATTCTCGTTATTTTTATTATGCGCGTCCAGTCTCGTAATATTACATAAAAAATAAAATTTAAATTTTGTTTTAATAATGTGTGTCAGAGATATTTAATCTTTCAAAATTAATATTTTTTAAATTAAGTTTTTCCTGCATACATGTTTACAAACTTCGCGTCTTCGTCTGACGTGACGTTTTTTCGTTCTGCCTTTCACATAACTTATCCACATTAGTGACATCGTGTATTACAATTCAAAAAATTCGTCCGTATGATTTTACAGAAAACGATGGCAAATATGCCAAGACGTCTCGTTTCGTTTACACAGATCCGAACAGATGACGGGGAAAGACTGATGCTGAGTGGTTCAGCGATATAATTCCCACCGTAAAATGTGACTCCGCGCTCCCACCCACTTATTCGACGAATGCCGTGAGCACCAAATTCGCCCGCGCAACAAATTTTGATTATTCATTCATAAAACATTATGCCTCGTGATATATGTCGGATGACACAGATCGCTAAAATATACAAGACAATATTGCTACCTTTATATTATATTCTTAATATATTCTTAATATTTTTACATTTATATATTCTTTATACTTTTTATATTTTTTAAATATTCTTTACATATTATTACATTTATGTTGGATATGATAAATAAATGAATACTGATAATAATAAATCACAATTAATTTGATAAAAATTAATGAAGATAGATTGAACCTAGTTATTGTTATCAGCAAAATAATTATTATTACATTTTAATAGACTGAGATCGTAATATAACGATACATATATAACATCAAGAATTCCTTCAAATAATTATTCTTTTAATAGTTGGAGAATGGTCCAAACGAGATGAGAAATTCCATCAACTCGGCAAACGCGGAATGACTCATCACAAATATTAATTTACATCCGACATTTCGCCTCAGCTTAACTCGATGCTAAGTAAAGTATATTAAGTGGTGTATTAAGTGGTATATTAAAGAACATAAAGGGAATGTATATATAGCGAACATTTCTTGAAGAAAATATTTATAGGCATATTAAAAAATTAATCTGTTAAATTTATTTTTGACACAATGTAAAAAAATTGAAGCAGAATATGTTTAATTATATGTCTAAAGAATGACACGAGAGATTTATCTTACATTTATAAATATACAAGAAAGGGGTCAATTGCAAAAGAGGCTCATGAATCACATCATCAATTCTGTCATTATAAGTTATTACTGCAAGCTTAATCAAGATATTACAAAAGCTCATTTATCTAAGTATAAACTATTCTCTGAATCTTGTCCAATGCTCGGCATTCGCGGTCCAGATGCGTACTGTACACCGGGAAAAACACGTGCGTAATGCCGAAAACACTTGCTCCAGAATGCAAATGGATATACTTGCGAAATGTTAGTGTTGAAAAACATACGTTTCCACAACGTATAAACTCATGGCGGTCCAAGACGACACGCGAACTTCCGGCGGTAACAAATACGATGTTTCCGATGTACATATACAAAAGTATATGTATTCGTTTGATCTTCTCTCACATAAATCCTTATTTTTCATGAAAATATTTTGGCAATTGAAAAATATCATCTTAGAGTGCACTAGTGATATCTTTCAATTGCCAAAATATTTTCATGAAAAAAAATGAACGTCGTACAAAAGAAAAACGCATATCTTGTCGCATTTAAAGCAGTTGACACGTACAATATGGTAAAATTATCTTAAAACAGAGAATTTCTTTCTTTGCATTGTTTTCTTTGGATTAAAGTTATTTTTTAAGTATTTGAAATATTAACTATGCATTTATCGAATATTTTTCGAATATTTCACGCAGTTGGTTCACATTTTTCATGAATCATTTTACATAAATATTCGCTTACAGAATTGTTCGAAACGTACGTACTTATTCTCTGTATATAGTCTACGACATATAGCATAGTATCTACACTAAAGTATTTTTTTGATATTAATAAATATTTTAGAAGATAAAATGGATAAATTTATGATACTTTATTGCTAAAGAAGAAAATATTTCAACGATGTTGATCATAAAATTGGAAGGAAAGAAAAAGATAAAAAAAGAAAAAAGTAGAGAAAAAGAAAAGAAAAATTACTTATTTATATTTTGCAGTATTTTTATTGTCTGCATGTGTGCGTGCGTGCACAATATGTATGCGTGTGTGTAGTGTCTTTTATTATAAGAGAACATACCAATAATTAAAAACTCCACATGAAAGAAAAGTTGACTGTCACGATTTCAGCAAATTGTATATAGAAAAAATTTTGCGTCTTAAGAGGTCAAGCGCACGAGGTGTTCGCAATATATAAATTCCCGACACAAATGCGTGTCGAGGCAAGAGAAATCATGCTTGCGTGAAGACTAAAAAATTTTGAGACGAGGAGACTGTCGAGAGACATTTCTTTGAACAGGTGTGCGATAAAATCCACATGAACAAAAATAGATTCGAAGATAGATTTTCGCGTTAACTCGAGAGACGTAACATTTTACAATATACATATGCAAACGACCATGTTTAGTAATATTTGGCTGAACGATAAAACATTTTTTAGATTAAAATATAGATTATTTTTTGTAAAGAAATTATATATATATATATATATATATATATATATATATATATTTAAATTAATGCTCTTTATATGATTAATTTAAAAATATTCTGCAAATATAAAATGTTAAATGTATAATTTCTGTACAAAAAATAATCTATATATATGAATTATGCTTTATTTTTAATAAATTAAATTTTCGATACAGAACATGATAGCATTTTATATGTAGTTATTTATAATAATAATAATTTTATTTGTATTCGAAGTCATAACAAATATAGCATTTTGAAAAAAATAATTCACTCGACTTTAAATCAAACAATCGCTATCTATCTTCATTCGGAATTGTTTATAATGGTTATAATTTCGTTGTAATCGAAGCTATAAAAAAATACATTTTTTTAAAATGACTGATTCTAAAATTAAAAAATTCTATATATTTTTTTTTTATTTAAAAGCATTTGTAGTTATACTTTTACTGATTTTTTCCGATTGTAGTTTATTGTTTAAAAGTTATGATATATTGCAGTTGATGAAAAATGATATAACTACAAACAAAAGGAAGATCACCACCAAATATTTCTAAAAAATCCGATCAATAATGTGATAAAACCAATATATATATTTTTGATTACAGAGATGCTATATAATAATTTTTGAATATAGAGATGCTATATAATAATTATGTACCGGGTCGATCTTTCTAAAGAAGGAGAAATGTAAATACTTTACAGCACGTGCATCTCAATGCTCAAAAGCTTTTATTGATTGCATTATTTCTTGAACTTGCTTAGAGATAACGAATTGAAAAAATTATATTTATTTATTTTCATTCTAAAAATACGCAAGCAAAAGCTTTCAGATTTCTTTAAAATTGAAAATATTTCGTTTTTTATCAATTATAAATATACTATAATTTTTATACAGATCAATTATATACACAAACGAAATGAAAATCGAATAACGAAAAACTGTATCAAAATAAAAAAACGAAATATACTGTGTCATTTTCTGTATTGAAAACTTAATCTATTAAAAGTAAAGTGCCAAATTCACATAAATATACAAATTTAATCTCACATAAAGTGTTATATACTTACGTTATCATTTTGAAGCAAAGTATAAGAATTATTCGATGGTCCTGGACTGGGAGAAGTAAGCTCTGAAAGCTTGCTAGGAGATAATTTTTCACTGTTTCCGCCTTCCGCACCGTCGCTACTTCCGCTACCACTGAAAGTGAATTGATAATATTAATTATAATTACGTCGTAGATATATCTATTTTAATCGCAATAAAATTTTTAATTAAACTATTAAAAATAGATCCACTATAAAATGACAATTCGTTTCATTGTCTCTTGCATCTTACGTAATTGCGTAATGTCGATTAATTTATGAGAAAAATGTTAAAATAATAATAAATTAATTTTAAAAAATGTGAATACATATAAATAAGCATATAAACAATTATGAATAATTCGACTATCGCGCAATGTTATCGTAATGATATCGTCGATCTTTTGATATCGTCGAATCGTGTTTACACTTTATTTACATTTTAAATGAAGCTTCTCACTGATTTAGCAAGTGCTATTATTAACTGAAGCGTGAATCCTGATTTCCGCGAATTTTATTCAGCGTCTTCGACATCTTTATGTGAGAAAATACCGTGCACTTTGAAAATCACATTCCTAGCTTCTGACCATCACGAGACTGAGGAGAGAAGACGAGACCTATAGTCGACTATAGCGCGAAAGGCAGGTATTATTAAAACCTAACAAGTACAAAGTGACTCGGTAGACCGGTTCGGCGATACCACCGGCATAGCATTTAATTCTTCTACAATGTTAAATGCAGCGCGAACGATACCCGAACATTCCGATCTCGTTGCTATGCCAACCTCGGCCTTGGTTGGTTAGAAACATTCTCTTGTTCGCGATAACTGATCTTTCTGATGTTAATAGTCTTTGTACTTTGTAGCTCAAATATTTATCAAGCCTTTCATTCAGTAGTGATTCTAAAGCTATCATATTCTCACGTGTATACACGTGAATGTTAGTTTCTGAAGAGTTCTGGTTTAGTTTTAGATTGGATCTTTTCACAAGAGATCACCTTATTTCATAGGTATATACACATTGTTAGATTAATTTTAAACAATCCAATCCACCGTAAATAAATTAATCGTTTAAAAAACTTTATAGCGACTATGTTACATTATTAGGTAAGTCTATGGATTTGGCGAAAATAAGTTAGTAAGTTCAAGAATTTTGCATATACGAAATACAGCTCAAAAAGTGATATAATAAAAATATATATTTAATGAATTATGAAAGTCAATTGAAAGATTTAATAAATTATAAAATTTTTAATAAATTAAAACTTGATAACGTAACTATAAAAATTGATAACGTAACTATATAAATGGCAAAGTTCTCATTAATTGTTTTTTTTTTTTTTTTTTCATTTTTTTATATATTAATAGTTCACACAGTTTTATAATATTTAAATAATGAAATATCTTTAAATACAGTTGTGTCTGCGTATCGCGTAGATATATTGTACAACTTATTACATACAACAAAGAGGTCGAAAGGTGAAATTTGTTCTACTTTTTGCAATCGTCTTATCTCATCTTCGCTTACAATGTGCGTCAAACACGTTTATATAACATTTTATAATAATAAATGTGATATTTTATTTTGCTTTATTTTAATTGCTTTTACTTTAATTTATTTTAACAATTTTTATCTTGATGAGATAATTTATGCTTCTAATAATCTATTTTCTACAAAAAAAATAAATATATTAAGGAGGATTAATTAATTAATTAAAAGGCGAAATTTTTTAAAATTATATTTTTATAATTAAAAGTTTTTTTTTAAACTGACATATTCAAAAGAATTGATTTTGATTTGTCTCATAAATATTATTAATCGAATTAGTGTTGTCTAGTAGGAAAAACAAATTTTTTTAAAAAAATCCATGACTCACAAATAACGTCGACGAATATCGCGCGTGTGAGTCTCCAGAGGACGATAACAGCTGTCGGAGATCCAATCTTTAGCGTAGATGTAACAACGATTACTAGTGAGTAAAGTGATCAGATTGCACCCCGTAATTCTGGCCTCGTTCAGCACCATTCCGCCTATTTCTCTGGGGTTCATTTCGAAACATCGTCGACGATAAATACCGAATACACATCTTAATCCTTCGCGTTGTTAGCAAATCACTGTCCGTCCATGTTTATCGCGTCGTGACGTCTCGAACATTCTCGCGTTTTCCCTTGATTTTCATTACACGACACGTTAACGCGAGTAGAGTCTCGGAAAGACATAAGCTACACGCTGATATCGTATCGCGCGATAACGCCCCGCCTACCTTGCGCCACGAGAGAACGAAGACTCGAGTCGAGTGCTGATCAAAGCGACGCGATATGCGACCCTCGCACGCGATTAGTAATTGCTCTTAATAATATCTTGGATATTGGCAATAACGTTATTAGCGAGACTAATGCGTAGTCTCATTCTGTAAATATCGCCTCAGGAATTTTTGAGTTAGAATTTCTCTTAAAATTTATATATATTTATTTTTTTTTGCTTTATATAATGAAAAAGATTCTTCATTTTTCTTCGGAAAAATGAAAAACGAGGGAGAGTGTATTTATAATCGCCGAATATACCTTAAGTGTTTGCTCATTTATCTACCTTACGTCATTGATCGACAAATTTGGATTTTATATCAGACATGAAGTACACTCATATGCTAGCGTGTACACATCGAGGCGCGTCGATGAGGAAGGTTTCGTAATAAGCTCCAATCAACGATGAAAAGGTCGTCATGATTAACTACGATATTACGCGATAACCCAAGCACCTTGTATTCCACATACTTTGTGGTATAAATAGTGCATGTTTCTGTGCATTAATTTTTATGTAGTGTAATAAACTTTCATTTTTTCTTTTAGAAAAATTTCTCGTAAATATAATATGCATATTTATGATACAGTTAAGCATCGTGAAAAATTATTAATAAATATTTTCTGAATCGATATCATTGTTTATCTATTCATAAAGAGATAACATGAAGATACATAAGTGTAATATTTTATAATATTTTATAGTAATATTTTCATATCATTAATCATAAAATGAAAAAATCATTATTTGACTTACCTTTCTGTTGGTCCAGTGGAATAACTGGAAGACTCTTCGCCAGATTCAACGCTGTTGAAAGACGCGCAATTCATTTTTCTCTCTTCCCACTGCGAACGAACCTCATCCTGTACGCGTCTTTTCAACTCTTCGACTCTTCGTCTTTCCTCCGAGATTACTTGACTCCCTAGAAAGACATTAATATTTTCATTTTTGTTCTTCGAGTTCTGCGAGTGTTATTAAATTTGCAAATGGGAATCGTTTGCACCTTGTTTAGCTAAATGAAGCTGCCGATTTCTCTCGATTTCTTTTAGGGATTCGATGGTCTTTCTTCCCAAACTGCCTTGATTATTTACGATAGGAGAATCATTTGTCACTCTGGAGATTCTATCAAAATCTTCTCTGCTTGGAGATCGTTTCTCCTCAGAATATTCAATAGAGTTTTGCGCCAAATAACTGAGTTCCTCGTTTATTTCTCGTACTCGATTTCGAGCCTATCGTAATCGCAATTTTTTAATCGATTCACTAATTATCAATTAACAATATACATTAACCCACTAAAATATAATGTATAGTAATTCATTGTAGTTTAATAATTTTTATATTGTAAGAAGATAAAACATAGTTGTGCACTTTTGGTGTTTATTACTCATTCTTAAATTTACATTGCACTTTAGCAGGTTAATGTTTTTCATAATTACATTACTGTACTGACTTCTTCCAATCGTTTTAAATGTCCCAATTTTTGTCGCTCGAGACATCTAGCTTCTTTACTCGCTGTATCTTTTATCTCGGATCGTTGCGATTCCAAGTGACTCAATTGCGACTTTCTGCCTTCGATCTTATTCGTAAGCTCGCTTAAATATCTGCAAAAACGTATAGTAAAATCTCAATCTCGATAAAACGTATAAAATGTCAAATATTTTATTAATTGAATTTATATTAATTGAAATATACATGAAATGTATATTTTTAGAAAACATACAAAATATTGATTTCAAGAAAATGTAAATTTATATTTTTCATAGAGAAATTCTGCAAACATCTGCCGAGAAAACTCATATAAAATATACTTTGTAAATGATTATGTAGATATAAATCTTTTTCAGATATATATTTTTACATTTTTATATTTTATCGATGTACCTTTGCAGCTCTTCTCTCGTGGCCAATTTGCTCGCCTCTTCCTCGAGATGATGAAACTCCAAATCTTCGAAAGCTTTCCTTTCGCTCTCGAGGATGTCTTGCTGCGCTGCTAACTTGTCAGTAATATTCTGCTGCGTAATTTCATCCATGCAACTCATTAATTGTTCGTCCAGTCGAGCGCAAATTTGCTGTGCTTTTTGAACGCGTTGTTTCGCTTCAGCTTGCAAATTCGAATGAGTCGCGTTATCCTCTGCCATTTCTCTTTCCAGTTCATTTATTCGCATCTGCACTTTAATCTTCTCTCCCTCGTCTTGTGTGAGCTTCAAAGATTCCGATTCATATTCCGCGGATAAAAGCGCCTTCTCCAATTCGAGCTGTCAAATAAGGAACGCACTGATCTTTAATATCTTCCACAATTTTTCAATGAAATTTTTAATAAGTTTGAATTCATCGAAAAAATAAAATGTTGACAAGATAATTGCTTTTAAAATGCACCATCGTTCATAGATTCCGTACAATTATTACACATAATATAATAAATTTAATATAATAAATTTATAATAAATTATTACACATAGTATAACAAATTTTCTATTTAATTTTTTATTAATTTATTTTCTGTGAGAAAAGTTATTCTACCCGTAATTGTATCATCGTTATTGCTGTATTCTATATACGAACATCGCGCACTAAACATTAGTAAAGACTGACTCGAAACCGCAAGAAGATCTGATATAAAAATATTCTCCAGGAAAGCGTGAGCATATCTAAATATTAACTCGGGCGGTTTAAACATAGATAACAGAAATCCGGATTTAGAATGTGTCATAAATTATTATATTATTAATCAAAAATATATTTTATTATCTAACAAAACGGATACTTACAATTAGACGTCTTAGCATTCCATGCCCAGAAAGGAATAATGAGAACAAATAAATAACTCATTTAATATACGCGCGACGTATATGTGAAATGACAATGATTCACAATTGTAAATTTATCTGTTAAATATTGTTTAGAAAGTAACGTGAGACTGAAAATTACCTCTCTACTAATTTCTTCCTCTTGAATTTCAATCTCAGCGACGCTCCTTTTCAAAACATCCATATTGCCAAGTATATGCAGCTTCTCGTTTTGCAAGAATTCTATGTATTTCTTCCTGTCTTCCTCTTCCAGCTGCTTTCTCTCTTTGTCAGCTTTCGCCTCGTTAGACTTTGCGTTGTCTTTTTCGGAATTGTTTCGCTTAGGAGTCATACAGATTTCTTTGGGCATGGAAAGCATAGATAGCTGCTCGATCGCCTCGAGGAGATCGTCGTTCGATATCGCCAGCTTGTTCTCTATCATTTCGCACGAGTTCGATAATTGGCCGTTTTTCTTTGGCATGGAATGATTCTGATTGTTATTTCGCGTCGTCGGAGATAGCACGATGTTTTCGTAAAGATTCGCGTTTCCATTTTGCGTCGCTTGCTGCGATTCGATTTTCCTTCCGTTCAGCCGAATCGTTCCATACATGGACGATGAACCTTTAGTATCGTCATCAATTTTTACGTAATTATCGATTTCATCGCCGCAACTATTTCTATTATTGCCGATGATAACGTTTTCGTAATTGCTGTCGCGGGAAATCGAGCCGGACAAATTACAGTTTCCATTTGTGCTGTGAACATTAAAGTACTTTGCCATTTGATTACCGTTCGATTTAGTTGCATGTGGAGGTCCTACGGGAACGTCACGCGAATAATTCTCAATTTGAGCAGACTGATCCTTACGATTGACAGGCGAATTGCCATTTTGGAAAATAACTTTCGAATTTTGCACGGATACGTTTTCATATGACGAAGTACCCAAACTGGTTTGCTTGCCGATATCGAAAGAGAAATGCGGCTGGTTTTTTGACGGACTCTTCGGACTGTCGAAAGGTGAGGTATAGCCGAGTCTCTTGTCACGTGGGAGAGATCCATTTGTTATGATCCTGCAAAGTATTTTATTTTATTATGAATCACTAATTTTCTTCTCATTCATCTCGCATTAAGAAATTTAAAAAATTGAAAGAAATATCTGAATTTTAATTTTAATTTAATTTAATTTTAATTTACTTTAATTTAATTTAATTTTACGATATAAATTTCTACCAGTTTTTCGAATGATTTATTTTGGAAAATAGTGAAAATGATTGGCAAAATTCAAGAAAATGAAAGAATTAAATTGAAATATGTAAAATATGATAATTACCGATTAGGCTGTCTCGGCTTTTCTACAGTGCTCTGTCTCTCATACTCGGCACACATCGCTAAGATTTCCTCGAGTCTCATTTTCTCTTGCCTCTCAACCTCTTGCTCCCTTAACCTGTCTTCCTGCGCTTGTTTCCGCTTGGTCTCCGCCTCCCTGCGTTTATTCTCCGCGTCGGCTTGTCTTTCCCGCAACTCCTCGAGGGAGCAGCTGCTGCCGACACTGGGAGTAGGACTCTTGACCCTCGCGCAAACTTTCTTTTGCTCGCTATACCGCGGATTCCGATTAAATGCCGGGCTCGGTGGCTGAATTCGCTTAATGTTCGGATTCGAACCGAAACTATGAGCGGTAGACGGTCTCCAAATCGCGGGATTAGGGTCTCCATCGATACTTGCGTTGCAGATACTCGGATTCGATCCGTATTTCTCCAATTGTACAAACTCCGTGGTAGTTTTCGTAACAATGAGGCTCTGGCTCATGTTAAAGTCCCTGTCGGCGAGATGGTCGAGTTCGTTGGAGTTCTGACAAGTCATACTTCGAGACATCAAGTCAAGGCCGCTTCGGGCGGCGACGAATTCTGACGCTGTCATTCCAAGCGGCGATCGAACGTTCTTGCTGTTGCTCTCGCGATAATACGGCTTGCACGTCTTCAGGTATGTTTCTGCCGAGTACATTCTGACTTGATTATGATTCTGGCATTGCATGTTCGTCGTGTTCGGTCGAGTCGGCGTCCCGAGTCGCGAGTCGGATCGCTGACGAGCCTCGTCGTGATAGCTGCTCGAGTTCTGCGAGAGTGAGTCGAGATTACCATTCACCGGAGATTTCGTCAAAGATACGAGACTCGGTGATCTCGAATGACCGAGGATTTGATCGGCGGGCACATTCGTCGTGAGAGCACCTGCCGGAAAGACTTTCGGCGAGACGCAATTGGTCCTGTTTTGCTTCGACAGCATTTCGAATTTAGTCAGCTTGCCCAGAAAACCGATCTCGTCGTCGGAATAAGAGTTCCTGGGAGATTTTCGCGGCGCGACTGGCGGCTTTCGCTCCAAGTGATGATTCTCTTGCGGCTGATTGTCGGACAAGGTGAAACTTATCGGCGCCATTGAAATTCTCGAGTGAGGAAGGACGGATCGTAGATGCTTAGCCTCGGCTGGATGATTGAAGCGCATGTAATTTGATCGACCTATCGATAGCATGCAGCCTGAAACATTTAGCATTGTTCTCTCTATTCCGATAATTATTTCACATTTTATTTATTAAAAGAAATTTCGGAATAAATACGTAATAATATTGCAAATAATAAATAATAAAATATCTCTAGTTGGAATATTATTTTTGCAAGTTTTTTACGAGAGGAACTTTCTTTGCATTGTCCTTTTAAAACGTCAGCTGTGTTCATCAGGTACGATTATTCGTATTTAGGCCAAGGTCTCTTACCTTGCGCGAGTCTCACTGGCGAATTTATCAGTACACCATCGACAAACGTGTTTCCATTTATGGGATGAAGAGTAACCACGCCGTTATTGTTTTCGATTGTGCAATGTACGGGCTCGACGCCGGTGCCGGCCACCAAAATATCCGCATCTCGGTTTGATCCCAGCGTGATCTTACCTGTGGGAGAAATGAGGAAGAAAAAGGATAAATTTATTTATCGCGAAAGAAATCTCGGGAGAGTGAAAAACTGCAGAAATTTTTTTCGCATCTTTTTATTTTAAACTTATTAATTAAAGTTATTTACGCTCTTGGGAAACTTGGTGTTTGTATCATTCGAACGTAAGATGGAAGATAAAAAAGAATGTTACAAGGAAGCGTGACTAAATATTTCTTGCGCGTATCTTACGGTTGAATGGAAACCAGGCGAGCGCATATGCATTCCGATTGAAATTCTCGCGGGCTTAGTAAGGCACTTTCCAACATAACAACATGCTGAGTTACGTTTATTTTGGCAGCGGCTCTCAGGAGTGTATCGGTATATAAATATCGACATAATTAAATTCTCGAGTCCATCCGCGGAATTGCCGCGCGCTTTAATTCCGAAAGGCGCATAGAGCCCGGCCAGTTTATAATATTAATTTGAGCCTTCTAGGAATGTCAACGACCTGGCGGTCACGAGGATGGCGGATGTATTTTTTTATCGCCAGATACACGAGATATATAAATACGGAAATAAGATTGAAGCTGTCGAATTAAAATGCATTTTTTTAATTAACCAGACTAGAATTTTATTATTAATCGCTTGCACCTTTGAAGTTCAATTCGCCCGATTCGCTGTTCCATTTTTAACGGATTAATTTTCGACGAAAATACGTACACACGGAGCGGACGCGACTTTTCACAGCTCTATAGAATCGGCTCTCGATACATCGATAAATAACTCGCACTGGTTTCCGTAAAATAATTCTGGGCGTGCTCTCTGTTCTGCGCGACGCGGGTAAATCGTGGTGCATTCTACGAAGGACTGCAGTTATATTTAGTTTTAGCGCGGTCGTGCACTCTCTCTTGCATTTTCAGTCTTTTTGGAAATGCGTTGGCCACGACGCGCGTTGTGTAGAAATATATATGTCCAACAGTGTCTAGATTTAAGTGACGGCTGAACTAATTTTTTTTCCGCCAAACGTGTTCGGAAGATCGGATCATGTTCAATATTCGCTAGAAACGCGACACATGAATTCATATATCGTAAATATATTTCGAAAATATATTCTATTTTCAGATTATTCAGTTGAATAGCCTATATCATTATATCAATCGATTATATTGGATAGATACGAATGTATTTTTAATAACATTTTATCGAAAACGTGCAGATATCAGTTTAAATTGACGCGAGAACCGATAGCTACGAAGACGATGTCTCGAAAATTGAATTGTGTCGCGTAAACGCGTATTGTCTTGTACCGGAGAAAGTTCCTCGTGGTTTCAAAACGAAACGCGACCGTAAATTCCAAGTAGACGCGATATTCCGGCTTGTATGCAAGCGAGCGGACGGACAGGTGCTCGGGGAAAAGTATGGCACTCTTATCTCGCGAAGGAAATATTCTAAAGAATTGATAGGTTGCTAATTAATGTCGTTAATTAATTCTCTTGACAATTAAGTTCGAAATTAAATTTCTGTCAATTTGACCCGCTTTAAACTTACCGGAAAACTTTCTTTTAGTTTAGTTTATTATTCCACCCGAGTTTATGAAAGCCGAGTAGATCCTTGAATTTATATTACGGATTCGTAAAGAAGCTTATTTTTCGATGGAATTGCGTTATTCAGTCACCATGGCAAACGGAAGATAACTTCCTGTCGATCAATTGCATCCTACGCGTATCTATCTTTGTGCAAGCGTTATGCAGGTACATGCGCCCACCCAGACAGATTTATTCGCGTCACATGTACACTTTATACTCGTTTACGCTGTCCTCTCGTGTATTCGCCTCTCTCTCTCTCTCTTGAAAGAGAGAGCGAGAGATCTCATCAAAATTCATTTCTTTATTTTTTCCGTTTTATAAAACTCGATCTTGAAAACTTTCTCGAATAACCCGAAAGTTACGAAAGTGGAACAGAAGTAGGAAGTTTGACTCACGCAATAATTTTATTACGCTCGGTTGCATGACGCATCGGCTGGTATATTTAAGGGATTCTAGAATTCATAAACCGAATTCTCCTGTACCTAACTATATCTTAAAATTTTTTCTTTTATGCTTTTGCAGATTATATATAGCTTAATATTATAATATCGGCTTTAGATTTAATCTATTCGCCGTTTCATTCACGATATTGTTTCAGAGCTCCATCGCTTGTTCTTACAGAACGGAAATGTAGGGTCTATAGGGATCTTAAAACGGCCCTGCTGCCTGAGAGAAAAACGATCTTTACGCCATTTATATATCCCGTACGTTTATATATACCGCGCATACGTGCGAGCAAGTTTCTCATACGTATATATGGTATATGTATAAAAGCTAAAACGGAGACCTCGAAGGGTTGTGCAGTCGCGGATATTACGCTCTTGATATTTCCTATCGTGGGTCTTTCAATTTAACCGAGTATAATATTTGTTATCTCGCTCTTTGTTCTTATTTAAATCTATATGATAAAATAAAAATTTCATCGTCAATTTTTTTCGGCACATTTGGCAGAACATTATCATCCGATTTTTTTTTCTTTGAGCTATTTTCCTTATGAGTAGTAAGTTAAATATTCGTGAACCTCGACGGCGTCAAAAAGCTTTATCAGCTTGAAGCATGGATTAACAACGAATGAATCATTGGCGGTTACATAGCTCTTATCTGCTACTGATTCGATTCAATTCCATGCAGATGATAGGAAAATGCGTAAATAGCGTAAATTGATCGAATCAGTTTGCATGCACGCTCTCTATCTTATGCTCTCCGATACAGGTGCACGCCTCCGGAATTTAATACGATTAAATAAGTTGTTCGATAACTTTTAAGCTTCCCGAGACAAGAGACTTGACGCTAGACAGGGAAGAGTGAAGTAAAGTCACATCGCTTTGTGTAAAGCGATGTGACGTTTTATTTCACCCTCCTCTTCCTCTAACCTTCGGGTAAAGGATGCAAAGTCACGGCCGTCGACAGTCGTCCACTTCCCATGGAGACGAGATGCGGTGCTTCCGTTTGAACGCGCAACGCCCGACCCGCCTCGTGCACCTCGAGACCGGCGGCCGCTATGCTCGCCATGCCTGTAAAACGAAAGCATTCGTAATAAATGCGTGGTGAATTAGCAGGTGAATTAGCGGAGAAATTGGTGCGTCGATGGGAAACGTAACGTAACGATCCAGTTCCATCAATTCCCGGGAACGATCCGCGAATACCACTTCTCATTAGCCGCGTAATGAATCGAGTTTAATGACAAAATATTAATGATACACAGCAGTGCAATATTATAAGTAAAATCATAATAAAATAATAAAATAATAAAATATAATAAACAAGAATAAATAAATATAATAAATATATAATATAATAGATATGATAAAAAAATATAATATATAATATAATAAATATAATAAATATACAATATATATTATAATAGATATGATAAATAAATATAATATAATAAATATATATTATATATTATAATAGATATGGTAAATAAATATAATATAATAAATATAATAATAAATATGAAAAATGAATATAATAAAAAAGAATTATTTTCAATAAGCTTATACACATCGCGAATTCTCACGAGAATTAGGAAAACTATGTAGAAATTGTAGTAATTAATAGTTGTGAGAATTTGCATCCTCACCAGAGAGAGAAGCACGATTAAAATTACGCTTACTCGATGTCGGACATATACCACCGAGAGGAAAGAGGAAAAGTTTATCGAGTCTTATATTAGGTATAGCTATAACGAACGACCTCGTCGAAGATTATGGTTATCGTTTCACGAGAGATCGATCCAGATGAGTTCTACGAGCGAAGCTTCATATTGGCGGATAAGAATGGAGAGGATTGCCCAAAAGGAAAAAGCAGGAACGAAAAACCGGTCTTTCCGAGACGAGCAAAGATTTTTCTATCTTTTTTCTTGCTCCTCCCCACATCATAAAGTTAGTCTACGCCAGGGGTTCTTAACCTTTTTGCGACCTACTGCATCTCGTGAAGATTTATGATAATTTCGCGCTTGTAAAATAACTTTATCGATCATTTTATTTTTATCAACTTAATTCTTGTATTTGGCAAATGCTTGCAATTAATTAACGCTTATGTGTAAAAAGATCTTTATACTTAATAAACCCGGATATAAAAGGAAAATTTCAGTCAAGCTGAAAATTATCGTTGCAGTTGACGCCATGTCTGCCTGCACGTCGTTTATAGGGTTGTTCATCTCATGTGAATGATCTTAACGAGTTGAAACAACTTTAATTAAACGCATTACGTTAGGCCGTCTCGTTGAACTTTGCTAACGCGTCTGGTCACGAGGAAGTAATGTATTTTACTTGCAATTTCTATATCGATTGGCTCATTGCAGAGAAAACGCGTGGAAATGCGTAGAGAAATATAAGAAGAACAAAATATAAAAAAAAAATAATAAAATAAAATAACTCATTAACGCATAATCTCACATTTAAAAATAAAAAGATACTTGGAATCAACTTAAGATTTCATAAATTTTATTATATATTATATTCCTGTGCATCGTTGAATTAGTAATTAAATAAAATAAATAAAAGCAGATGATAATAATAGTAATAATAATAATTATAAGAATTAATATAATAATTTAAAAAAATGTGAAACATATTTAAATCTAAAATGGCAAGAGAAAAATTTCTTTTAAATTTAGATAAAGTATATACTTTTACCGATTTCACTTTATTGTTATCTGCAGTATCACATGAAGAACCATACTTTCATGTATGCAATTTTAGTAGTTTATCCCTGCGGTGAAACGACTAAACGGGCAGCTTATACGGTTCGTGTAATACATTCGCAATCTGCTTAAATTACACCTCCTCGGATTTCATATCGGCCAGTAATTTAAAGCCGACGATTAAGACGTTGGGGTTTCGTTGAATTTCTTAAGTGAAGCTGAGATCTTTTGGAGGAAGCAGAAATCTTATCGTTATCTCCGGCTTCGTTCTAACATACGTTGAATATCGCGATATCGTCTCCTTGCTTTCGAATGTTAAGCGTAGTCTGATGGGTCATCGCTGCAAATCTGGTAGGTCATCGACTTATTACGCAGCTAACTCGCATCATCGTGCGAGTTTAGGCGCGCGAACGAACGTTGTCGGTGAATGCGGTTGGATCGATACTCGCGCTGTCTCTTATACTCGGAATACCAGACCGAGGCATTTGATAAGATATCCGATAATAAACAGAGCGCACATATGCTTGTCGCAACATGACGGAGTGCGTCAAGTCGATAAAATTCGAGACCCGCCTCGTAATATGCTATAATCTCGGGGCGCTAACATTCGCCGAAGGAATGCAATAATTCGGAGAAAGGATTGCCACTGTATTTCTCAAGTCAAATTTGGAGTACGCGCGTCACAAATTTTCCTCGTGACACTTGGTTAAAATCAGTCAGGCCGCAGGTGCGTCGTCGACCTCTCGCGTGACTCTATTTGTACAGTAGACACCTGTCGTGTGCGGATGAATCCATTGGGGAATTAACCGAAACGTATAAAAAGATTGAGAGAATATTCTAAATTAAACTTCAATATGTATTTGATATGATTAATATTTATCAAAGATAAATAGTTTATTCAAAGGCTAAAAGAAGGAGAGAGATAATTATTGAAAGATCTATACATACTGTAAATTATCAAGAATTGCGTATAATTTTGCGGAGATAAGTTAAGTAAATCGAAAATAAATGAGAGCGAATTCTTCGCGAGTTTGCAGCTATATATGACACACGTATTATCATGCAAATACAGTTGGTACCAACGGCCTTGGACGCATCGTTTTGCTCGTTACTCGATAATTTTTTTCCGTCGCGTCGCTCTGAAAAGACAAAGTTTGAAAATATTTTTTCATGTCGCACACGCACTTGGTACAAACACGTAACCAAGATTTTGCGCACCTAAAGAAGATACGAGGGAGGCAAGAGACGGTAGGCAAATGGCGTATGTAAATGTTTGCCAGCACGCGAGACGATAGCGCACAATGATTGCATGATATAAACGAAAACATATAATCACGCCTCTTTGTGCAAATTGCAGCTTAGCGCGCCTATCTAATTAGATTAGATTAGTCGGTTATAGTCCTTGTGAAGGAAATGGGAAGACTCGTGCTCGCGACAAACGCATTAAGGAATGACGTGTGTCAATTAATCGGGCCGCTGTCATCATCGACACACTCTCTTCTGGAGCTTTTCTCAATGGGTCAACGGTTCGTTCTCCATTAGCGGCAGTTAACGCGGCGTAAACGTTTACCGATGACGTCACTTGTGCCACACGCGGAAAGATTTACAATGTTGCCCCGCTATTTGCGTCGCCTACGAAGATACGAGCTTTATCTTTAATGTTCGCGAGATGTACACGGTAGGCCAAGCTGATACTCGGCTGAGATGTTTTTTTCATTCTTGTTTCTCTAAAAAATCGAACCATTTCGAACAAACAAGACAAAAATCAGTAGTCATTGTTGTGAATTTATTCCCGATAAATTGCGGAGTCGACGGTCTTTCTTTCCTCGAGTAACAATTTCATCTCCACAAAGTTGCTTTAGACGCGAGTCTCGGACTCAATTACTGACATATCTCCGTCTTACGAAATCCCGAATTAAAGGAACGGCATAAAGAGACTAGACGGCTCTCCTTTCTCGCTTTGAGCTTCGACGGATGCCGGGTTTATTTACAGAAACCGTTTTAGCAGGAAGAAGCACGTTCGTGTCAGGTACCGACCGTAAGCACTCTACGTCCGGTCCTGTCCGCGCTCCGTTCCGTTCTGCCGCATATAGAACATCCGTTGCACTAACTCGCATACGTGCAAGCTTTGTGCGCGGAGCTTCTCATATGTATGACATAAAAGATTCTCAATTTTGAATTGAATTATTTATTACGACAGGCATCTCGGAAGGAATTATTTTTAGAAGAAAAATATCATCCGTATGTTTGCTGCACTTTTTTATGACGAGTGACCGCATAATCTCGAGAGACGTAATCAGTTTTCATTGTAAACAGCCACTATCCAATAAAAACGAGAAGTTTGCCATCGACGATGACAGCTCACTCGTTAAACGCCGATATAGAGGCATATGTGGAGGATAATTGTCTGAATTTAAGGCAATTTAGAATCTAAAGTGATGTAGAATCTGACGCGTGGAGAAATAACGATTCGACGAAATAGCGATTAACGATTTAAAGGAAAGCGATCTAGGTCGGACGAGGAAGAGAGGGACGGTGGGCGACTCGGAAATGCCATGGCCCGAAATCGAAACCAAGAAGCAATACCATAATTTATCGCGTGACAATCGTTTGCACAAACGTTTCACGAATCATCAGTTTTGCTCGTCTCTGGCGGCGACATCTGCCTGGCAACCGCATCTCGCGTCTGCTTCATCATTTTTTACCATTCCTCTCGTACGCGAACCCTTTGGATAGTTTCCCATGGACTGCATTGACGCCGACGTACAGTTTATAGACACGTACAGTTTATAGACACACGAGATGTTTATCGAACATGAAATTACGAAATAGAAACGTAGCACTATTATTATAATTATTTACTTGTTTTGCGTATTCATGTTGTGATTGCTAGCATAATTAACTCTTGATTATATACGTATTAGATATAAATTGTGATTATTTCTTTTTTTAGATAATTATTCCTTTCAAAATCTTTTTGTTTTTTTATTTCAATTTGCTTCTCTTTTTCTCTTTTAAAATTTAATCTTCTTACAAAGCGCGTGCGTAGGCTTCTTTTTCACTTTCCAACACCTAAACAGATTCCTACTCATATTTTTCATTGATATTACGTGGGTAGAATCCGGTCTATGCGCGCTTTATAATCGGCATCAATGTCGATTAACCTCGCGCCTCTCGAATATTTAAATGATACGCATTAAACCAGTTATTAGAATATTAGATAAAACTAGCAAAAGAGAGAGAGAGAGGGAGGAAGTTATCGCCTCGTCACGATCCCCGAGGCATATTATGCCATCAGCGGTCAAAGCGAAAGTCGTGCAGGAACGTAAATTGTAACGAGCATAATGCATTAAATCATACGTTCAAGAGGTCTTTATTTCTCAAGGTCGATCTCTACCGACGTTACAAGTCTTTTGAAAAACAGCAAGCGTTCAACGATGTGTAACAGGTTTTTCGAGCCAGGTACCTGCAACGGTCTCTACGTCGATTACATTATCGATCCCCGTACATCTGTTTGCATTTCTTTGTCGCGAGTTTTCGCGTTGCTTCGTTACATTTTCGTCTGGCGAAAATTAGAGCGTGCCTTACATCGTCGCGATGAGAAACGGCGACGAAGGGCGAAGAAATCAACGTGACGCAATGGCCCGCATAAAGGCAATAGAACTAAATGACATTAAATTGTTGGGTGACTTGTTTTTAGCGGGTTCTATTTCGTTCATTGGAGAATTGAAGACGAGCATTAGAGAATGAAGACGAGATCGAGAAGCTCGCGTATTTATGTAGAACCACGTGATGGCTGCTCTCTAGAGTTAGAAACATAAGCAATTATGCAGAACAGATTTTTTTGTTTATTTTATAAATAGCACCTCTCGAATTATAATGCATTTGGTTATAATTGTCCGAGGCGAGATAAAGTAAATTTTCAAAACGTCCGATTAAAACAATTTCCCTTAGGAAAATCTGCAAAAAGGGAGATTTATTTCAAAACGCGATCATGTGCTTCGCGACGCATAAGGACATTGTTCGTCGTTAGGGATGTGCGAACCGTAGGCTATAGACAGCTGCTTCGCAGCGTACAATTCATAGGGTGAAGTACACAGGGAACTATACAATGAACGAGACCGAATCGTCAAATCGATCCAGGGTTGCATTCAAAACCGTCAGTTTGTACACAGTATGTTTTGCTTACAACGGTTATAACGAATCAGAATTATTAATATTTTATAAAATAATGTTCTCTTTTAGGAAAGACGAATTTTCTTAATTCTCGAGAGCAGATTAATTTATAAATATTTAAAGTCTTATTTATATATATATATATATATATATATATATATATATATACTTGTAATATTTTTTTAATATATTAATATGAGATGAATTTAATTCTCAATTCAATTTTCCCATTACTTTTTTAAGAATTATCGAACAGATATCTGCAATTGACCTAACAAGAGGAGATTTCCGATAATATTCCGTATATTCCCCGCGTTCTCCATATCCCTCGTATCCTGCATATCGGCAAGGTCACGACCTCCACCGAGAATCGTGACTGGATTGTACAGAGCTGCTCAGGTCGTTGCCATCATCACGCCGTCACGCCGCACTTACCATCTCACCAGTTTAATTTTCGTTTATTTCATGACTTCCAAATATATTCCAAAAGCAACAATACTATCGTTTATCTTATCAAGTTCAGAAATTACAAAATAATAGATTAAATATTCAATGTCGATCGTTATCCACTTGAAAAATCAATTTTCATTCATTTCCTGATGATAAGAGAAATCTCGGATCAAAGAAATGCCTCTGGAATATTCTCTGTGTGTAAATAAAACATTTGATTTCAGTGTTTTACACTTTAATATGAGTTTTGCTAAGCACAGAATATAAGACGGTATTCTATTTCATGCTATGTTTGGCTCAGCGTCCACCAGAACGCAAAGACTTGCGAGCGGAACGCGAATATCCTGTTGATTTTCTCCTGTAAATCATTTTAATTTTACAAATAATAGAGAGGAGTATACATAATTAAAAAAAAAATTAACAAATTTATTCTAGTAGGTTGAATTTTTCTAATCTTCAAAAAATCAATTTTTTAAATAAAAAAATGATATCTAGCGGTGATAACCTGATAAAGTCTATCCTTGGTCTATCCAATAATCAATTTTTTATTCGGAACATGATGTCATGTACATACATGGCAAATGGAACGTACGTCGCAGTGAGTTGAATCGCATGTAGGAAACTTTCAGTTTCCGTATTGTATAGAGGTAATCAATAGGAATTGCGTAAATCTACATTCTGCATCTTATATATCTTCGTGACTAGTTTCCGAGCTATAGCTCAGTTAGTTAAATGAAAAATAAATGTTGTTTTGGAAACTTACTCTCTACATCCACTTAATTTTTAACACAAAATAATTCCATTATTACGCTTTTATCTAGAATTACGTCCTCATCTTAGAATTTTTTATCTAAAATTAAAAAATAAAAATTAAATCTATCCAAATTTGATATAAAATTTTATCTTGAAATTGTCCTATACTTTAGCATGTAATATAGAGCTCGAACTATGCAAATTTTTTCAAAACATCTAGTTTATATTAGACATATTTTCTCGATATACGCGCGTTTAGTTCCCCCCCACTTTGATTTATGGATTCCAACGATTCTGATTGCTCGTACGCGCTCGCATCACGATGGAAAGGAATTTATCCGAAGGGCTCACCGACGCTACCTGGAAGGGTCCAGACTCGAATTCCAATCTCGCTAAATCGGCAAAGGCTCGTCCAAGTGGCACTCTGATTTTTTTTTTCAACGCGTCCACCAGGCGTTCGTGAGTAATACTATGAGGGATCGGCGTTCGCGAACACTCATATTTTTTCGCGCGAACGTGCACTCGCGAAAAGTCAGTTTCGTTTCCCTTTATCTTCGCGGAAGAGGGAGTATTCTCTTTCGAAAAATCGGCTGTCGCTTTTCGACAGGCGCTACGCTACAACGTTGCGTCACGTGCCGACTTATGCTATACTGTCGTGGCAACGGGTGCTCCGATCCTATGTTCCATAGCAACTTCACTGCACGAAGGCAGATCCGCTCGGTGATTGGCGTAAAGAACTGGAAGGGAGAACGGAGAGAGGACTTTGTTCCGACGATATAGCGAGCAGGGTTTGAATTTTGGCGGGGATACCATGTATCTGAGCTATCTGAGAGAGTACATTTTTGAAGAATTAAACGCGATAAGATTGCGAATATGTGCTCCTTTTATTTTGAAAAATGTCTCAAGAGTGTACTCTGGGCTTTTTTCAACCCCATTTGTTGAAATTGCAGTCTATCATTCTTTCTGATGTAACGGGTTGTAAAGATGGAGGTAGATAAGGATAATTCATTAATCTTGACGACATACTCCATACTGGATAATTGAGCTCTTCGGTACCGCTCGAATCTAGCACGTTCTCGAAATACTCTTTAATAATATCTTCCGAATTTGGCCAGCCATCTTTAGGTTGAACTGTCAAACTTTTGAAATTTTTCATTGCGGCTGAAAAAATAAAATTTTTATTACTGCAAGTTTTACGCAAATTTAATGCTGAGATGATCCGATAGGATGATTACCGAGCTGTTGAAGTTCCCATATCATGTGAGGCGTGTAATGTGAATATCGACAACCGAAACCGAAAGCGCAGTCTCCAACTGTCATATAACGTTTGCATGGAGTCTTTGCGTATTCTTCTTTCAATATTGTTTCCGGATCTAAAAATATAACGTACAATTCAATCAGTTACCAGAGATTACCTGTATAAGAGAGGTTATGTACGAGAATAAAAATTTTTCACAAGAAAATTTTATTTTTAAAAAGCTTGCCTTTAAATGCGTTGTAATGATTTGCTCGATTTTTTGCATGCTGCAAACTTGACAGATGCTTTTTACGGGCTTCCACGTCGTCCTTGAAAGATCTATCGCAATAGTCGCAATAATATGTCTTGCCCATTGATTGATATGATTAGTACATGCTCAGTGTATGTAATAAATATAGGAAAAAATATATCAAATTTATTAATAATTATATATTGTGCTATACATATAATTATACAAGTGAATGAACGCACTGAAACACAAACGTTAACTTGTATCGATCATTCCAAATGAAGAAGAACGTATAAACAAAGAGAGTGATGAGAAAGATACAACTTTAGAGTGACATCTGACTGTATGAATGTTAACTGAATAGTCGAGGTTTACTTTTAAATGCACGTCAGATAACAAGGATTACACGTGCGGATTTTTTTTCATTCCGAAAGAGAGAGTAATTATTTAATGCATCTTATCGATTCAATGAGGGACTTTGCTCTTCGACAGATTTATATTAAATAGTATGATTAAATAGAAAATCAATATTTCGAGGAAAAAACGGAAATGAATTACTCTTTATTACTTCTATCAAAGAACTCGGGCAATATTTTTCAAATATTGACATATAATTGAATTATACTGTCTGCATAATATAAAAATGTTAATCGTTATGTGATTATTCAAATAAAAGAAAAATGAATTATTGATTCGTTATTGTTTGCTATATTTTGTAATATTATTACATTATCGTATGTGTGTGTGTGCATTATCATGTATGCGCATTATTCTATCGGGTCAAATCTAAATAATGAGTTTGCAGATGATATTAAAACTTTAGTCCGTACATTTAGCAAGGTATGTATTTTAAACAAACGGATTACATGTAATGCACCGCTCGCATCAGCAGTACAGTCATTTTTTTTTATTACATTCTTACAATATATTTTACCACACTTGTCTTGTGCACCGCTAAACTATTTATACGTGATAAAGTAACGTATCGACAAGAATGACTATTATCCGTCGCAACGTTACGCATTCTATATTATAATTCGATACAACAATATTCTTTATCCACAATATTCACTCCCACATAAACTAGATAACGTTACTCGATGATAGATCATTTTCGACGATATCAAAGCTTCGTTTTAATTTTCTACAAGCGACAATCGATAATCTATGAATAATAATAATCGAGTGATCCAAGACAGTATTTTCATAAATTATTAATTAAAAAACGATAAGTAAAGAGATCGTAGATATAATTATGAAATCCGGAAATTTGTAATTTTTCCTGGAAATTTTGGGGACACTACTACTGGGAATTCGAAATATCTTAGAGTTAGAGATATAGCATATAGGGATATAGGGAATGGGAATTGGAAAATTAGAAATAAAATAATTGGATAATGGTAATGAAAAAAATGCTATCTGACTATATCTATTTGAACAATAGTTGCACGTACCATCGCAATCAATATCATTATGAATATTGCGCACGCAATATAAGAACATGTTATATTATAGAAGATGGCCGTTTGCATTATATTGCCGCGATACGTCGATTAATAATTGTATAATGATTTTAAATCGCAAAAATTTTGTCGCATGAATTACGTGCGATTATTGCTCATAGTCAATGTTAAATGTGTAATATCGAAATGTCGCGTAATATTATATTAATTTGTCTTCGGCAAATTGATATAAATATCGGTACAAATTACAAAGAGTATAGAAGATAGAAATAATATTCGCTCTGTAGAAAAACGCGTGGACGAATGTGAGGAAGTAAAAAATAATAAATTCGCAGTACCCTGCTTTTATGGACGAATAAAGCTGGCATTGAAGAGTAAACAATTATTCAAGTAGTTGAGTTGCAAATTACTCTCGTTCACATTATGTATCTTGAATCGCTTACTGATCGCTCGTTGCGTTGCTATGATTGTACACAAGAAATGATCGATGAGTGTACGCAAGAGTTAGTTTCTTTAGGCCTGGTAAAATAAATTCTCATTTCAAGATATTGAAATATATCGATGCTAATTTATATATAAAAAAATAAACAACGAATCAAGTTGGAGAGGTAGCTGTCGATATTCAAAAAAGATAAGCTAAATTAAATATTAAAAGAGAACGACGTAATAAATGATTTAAAAATATGATATTTTAACTTTGGTCTGTGAAGATTTTGAGCAAGTAAATACATACTCAGAGAGATCATTACTGGAAAGAATAGACTTGTTATTTTGACGGATTTATCTTTCAGTTCTTTTTAAGCAATTATGAATTTTATATATTATGCACATTTTTAATCCATGCAGTAGAACTTCGATTTAATAATTGATTTAATAATTGCTCCATAATTGACAATAGGCCGATAAATTTTCTTAAGCACATTTTTTTTCAGATGCCTTCAACAGATCGATACGAGACGCTTCTGAAAAAACCACATGATTGAGATAAAACATATTAAGAAATTTTAATAAGAAAAATTCCACACAGAGATTCACATATGTATAATAATCTAAATTTTACCTTAAAATTCAAACGTATATTATTGTTTTCTATAAAAGGTTCTACTGCATTAATGAGATAAAATGCAACAAAATATTTTTTATTCAATATTTGCAAAATTATATGAAAGTTAGGAATGCTTTTAATATCCAGTATATGGGAAAGATTTTTTTCTAAATTTACAGATCCTCTAAAATATGTTAACAAGTTAAATAGTAATATGATCAAGATTCCAGCTTCTTTCGCTCTTAGGTCAATATGCTTTCTTTCCAAGCTCTCAAGGGAGAAGCAATCATACACATTTTTACACTTTCCACATTTAAAATGATACATTCGATTTTTCGAAAGAGGAGAGAAAGAGAGAGAGAGAGAAAGAGAGCAAAGGAGAAATTGTAGGAAAATGTAAAAAGTGCAGTCAAGAAATATACTTTAGTTATCACATTCCGTTTTAACGATATTCAATAAATTAGGAACATTAAAAAAAATCGTGCTCCAAACATTCATGTCGTAATAAAAAGTATTTGAAAATCACTTTCATCGTTAATAATTGTAAAATTGGAAACACTACAACCATACCGTTTATTTTACATAATACAGAAACTTATAAAAGTTACATGCATATTGATATTTGGTGCATCTTAACGTATGCTCCGTTCATCGTGCGCAGGACAAAGTTATACTCTATCGTTCTTTTTTAATGTGTTCCACTTAACATACCTACCAGATATGAGGATTTTGCGTATTCGTCGCTCTATTCTTGTAAATCACCATTTATATCGAATATTATGTCGGCTAATTATAAGGAACTATCTGTTTTTTTTTTCTTTCTTTTTATATCCTATTCTTTTTCTCAATCATATTTTATGCAACGTGTATTATATTATACTTGGAAAAGTGCTTTAAAAAATCTGTCTATTACATGGCTCCTCCGTCCATATTGTAGCAGACATAACTCATAAAAAATGTAAGTATAAATCGATAACACAGGAATAGTTCGAGAATAGTCATGTAGAGTGAATTGTGTGAAATGTACTCAAAATCGATTTGTAGCAATCGATTCAAGGAACAATTTTTTTTTATTTACCATTCTGCTCTGTCTTTACACAATGCGACTTTTTTCCAAGATCAATTTTTTTATATATCCATAAACGATAGAGATTTGGATACCCCCCTATTCGAGTGTTTTAACCTGCATACATCTCATCTGAAAAATCCTCATTCTAGTCAAAGTAGAAAGCGCTTAAGTCTCACTGGTCCCGGGCGAGAAGGCTGGATTAATTGTTAACATAAGATAAACGGTATCGTTGTTTACAATTTGTGGTCCGAAGTGAACTAACATAATCAAAATTCTTCGACTGTCCGTTGTTTAGCTTTCCTGGAATGCCTCGTATATTTACGCGCATAACTTACTATAATTCACGAATGCTACATTATGAGGTATAAGAAATAGGGGATGGCATTCAAATCTATTAAGAATGGCACTGGCTGTAATAAGTAGTAATCTATCTCCCGGCATCCCTCTGCGTTCGAGTAAGCGTCTTATTTTTGAGTTTCGTCGGCAGTAGTATGAATGTTGACTTCCTGACGAACCTTGTGACCGCGGAAACTCGCTTGGATCTTAGTCGCTGCCTTGTGCAAGTCCGGATCGGCCAAGTCGATCCCCTCTAATTCATGTACAGCGTCATGCATCTGGAGCAGAGTTTGAGAAAAAGAATGTGAAGCGTGAGAGATATCGTGATCGTCCCTTGATACGTCTCGACGTTTCTTCATCCTTTGGAATAATTTTCCAAATTGAGCTCTGTACAGAGTGTCTCGCGTTTAAAGAAGTTACTCTTCTTTCGTCGATGAGACTGAGACTGCGCGGAATCCTGCTGTGCGTCAATTATCCCGTACATAATTAATCGACACGACACGAAAGTAACTTAAACTTTGTAGACCATGTCCTCGCCTCCCGCCCCTCCCCTCTCCCGGTTCACCGATGTCATGGGATGAGCTTTAGTAGCGCTTCAATACCCAGATGATCATCTTCAGCTTGGAAGGCAGCTGTCGATTACTTGCCGGGCATGGATCAACATAACGTCAAAGGGTCTAACAATAGCTTTCTCTCACGAACCTCGGCACAGAAATGATCGATCATGACGACCTTGCGCATCAAAACCTATCATTACTGCTCCATCGATCGAATCATTGTTGTTGTGTCGGATTGAGAAAAAAAATTGCTTTCATTACAGCAGCTTTGTTATTTATTCTTTTTTAATATATATATATATAGTGCACAATGAACAATGGAAACGTAGTATGATCATAATGCATTTTCCAGAAGATAATTTTCGATAAAATAGATTTTTTTGTGTAATCAATTTACTAATTAATAGTAAAATATTCATATTTCTTATACACATTTTGTGTACGCAAAATTATGAATTTGATTCATTATTAAAATAATTTATAATTATTAACAAAAATTGATTTCTTTAAAAAGGTTTATTCTTTCGTAATTAGCGCTCCGTTTTGCCAGTCTTTAATTTTTCTTGACAAACTGACAATGTATATTTAAGAAGTTTTCTCAGAAAATTAATCATCATAAAAATGGAATTAATTATTTTGCACTGTGCACTATCAAGAAAATGAATCAAGAATAAATCGTGAAATATTATTTTTGAAACTCTTTTTAATTATTATATGGGGCATACGTGTAAAACTTTAAATATGTCGAATATTTTGTTAAAGTAAACTTCTGTATTAAATGACTTAATCGAAAGCAAAAGTTTGTACATGAATATCAATGTAACGGAAAATGCACAGTGAGATGGGTATAACATTTTCTTGAGTCTACAATATTAGCTCAAAGAAGAGATTCTGCAGGCAGTTAATAGCAGCTCGTGTTTAAATTTTCCACGGAAGGTCGAATGGGGACGGATATTGGATAAAGTAACGTCTCTTTTATCTAACTTTTCCAACTATTTTTTAATCAATAGTTAGCGAGTCCATAGATATATTTAATAAGATTGACTTACCTTTTCTTCTATCTTAGCAGTCGCGCTCTCGACCATGTTTATCGCCGATTTGGCGGCAGCGGTAGCCTGCTCCTTTCTCGACATGTGGCCCCGGAAAGTCGCTTGTATCTTCGTCACCGCGTGACAGAGCTCTATGGAGTGGAAGGCCGTTTCGAAATGCCTGATTTCTCTTGAAGGAGCTTCGAATATTAGATCATGTACAGTCGCTTACCCTTGTCGTCGGAAGAGAATTCCTCCTGCAGCTCTTCCTTCGTAGGTTCCTTTTCAGCTTCCGAAGGTGCTTCGTTGGTCTTCGGCCGCTCCGATGCTGTTTCCGACACTCTTAAACTTTTCCTAGCGTGGTGTCCGCGGAAAGCTGCTTGTATTTTCGTGGCTGCTGCCTCCTCCTTCTCTTTTTCTCCCTTTCCGTCGTTTTCTTTCTCCTTGTCCGAGGTTTCCTCGGTTTTCGTTGCACTGTCTTCGGCCGCCTTTGAGATATCTTTAAGGAAAAATAATTAAAATAATTTCAATAATTTTAATTTTAATTAAATTAGATTTAAATAATTTCAATTTTAATTAAATTAGATTTAAATAATTTCAATTTTAATTAAACTTTGAATTAAGCACGACTTGGAAATATTATAGGCATTATTAGAGAAATATTATATGCATTATTAGAGGTATTATGTACTAAAGTTTTTTGAAAAATGACTATAATTGAAACAATTAATTATGCAACGAAATATAATAGCGAAATTATACGAATAAATTATTACGAGAGATCCCATCATTATTATGCGCTCGAGTAAATTTTCCCCAAGGGAAAAACAATTCTAAATTGTTCAGAAAATCCGTAGGCGATTGGAGAAAGGGCGCGGCTACATCTCGTATATTAGAAATGGCCGCCGTGTTAGCCACAGTTCACCTACATTTATTCCGAACATTTCACCTTCCACAGACACGTCCAGAGAGCGACAAGTATCGATTAGCGTTTCTATTTTCGCGCTGCACGTTCGAGATTACACACGGTGCCCAATATACATTTTTAATATTTCACGCCCTGATGGGAGATGGTGCGGCAAGTGCCAATCGATTCTTTTGATCTTTTCTGATTAAATTAAATCTTCCTGTGTTCCCGTAATGATTAATCGATGTATGTATACTATAATAACGTGCCGACTAAAACTCTATCGTGTTCTTATGCGATTAGTTCACGCGATATGACTTTTTCTTGGAAATCACGGAAGATAATCGGTATAATTTCCCTCATTTCTTCCGGCGAAAGAACAATTGTAGCAAAGATTAATCCTCGCTTCTGACATCAAGAACTTATAAGTTTCATTAAATGTTCTTAATGCTTCAACTTAATCATACTCATCTCTGTAATCCTGAGAAATAGGATATACGATTTGACTAAGATATATGTTGATTTGTTTTTTAAATGCATATTATAATACAGTTGATTAAGATTCTTGGAGCTCAAATAAAAATGCAAAGAGGAAGGCGTGAAGTGCAAGGATTAAGTGTGGCATTATCGGAAACTGAATTTTCTTTTAGAAAAGTAGAGAACCCTTCAGCTATTGAGCGCTTTTGCGCGACACCGTTTCCCTAGGTTACCACTCGACAAAGTAGGATTTGAAGGAATACACTGACATTTTCACGACAACGACAATTCTTCCATAGTTATGCGCTTCTCGACTGTTTTACCACTTTGTGCAAACGAACGGACCGACCGTGCGAGTCCGCGGTAATTTTATCGACGTTTATGTTTATGTACGCCGTAAAGCTCAAGGAAGAAAGTAAAAAGAAGGGAGAAAGATGATAAGATCGAGGACATTTTATGCGCGTGGATATGAAATTTTAGTTAAAAGCTAAAATGTGCTTGTCTAGGAGCTAGTCGCTATTTGTACCGTAATCTCTTCTTCAAGCATCCTTCACGTGCTCATTTCAATGTATTTTACGACAACGTTTCTTAAACGCTTGGCATTGCTTTCTTATTTCTTTTTCTAATATCACGCAAGGATGCTCCACCATCGATCCACCCAGACCTTGTTACTAGAACTACCCTCAAGGAAATCAAATTTCCCATTAGAGAAACGTCGTTACCTTGATTATGAAACCACGTAAATCTCGTAAATGGATGTAAATTTCATTTTATTATCGAAACTATAGAGAGGTCTGATTGTACTGTGAATTGTTTTGTCTTTCTTAAAAAAATTTATGATGTAAGTTTTTATTGAGAGACAATTTTTTATTACTTGAGGAACGTTTGAAATTAATTGTTGGAATGATAAACTTTAGCGACTCATCCATTAATATATTATGATTTTATTTCTAATTTAGAAAGAAAAAAAAAATGTTTTAATTTTAGATTGCCGACTAATTGATGCAGTAATATCCATCAATTTTAAAACATTTTTCTGTCGGATAAAAAAAGATCTCGCAATTTATAATGATTATGTCGCTCGATTAACTGTTTTTAAATGAACGCGAAATAAAATAAATTGGGATCAAATATTTAGAAAGAGACAATTTCTAAATCTGGGAATTTATTCTCTTTGATCGAGACAATTCTTTTTCGGGGATGTGCGAGAGAATTTATTTCGTGCATTTATTGGTTTATGGTCCGTCAGAGCGTGCGAGAAATAACTGTCGATATCAAACAGCTGATCTCGAATCGATTTAGGGCTTTCGAGCGTGCAACTACTTCCCCCGCTTATCGCTAACGATAACGATCTCCTTTTACTTGGCCGAACGGTCATGGTTGGCGTTCGATACGCGTCCTCGGATGTGCAGGCGAAAGAAGAAGCGAGGAAGAGGATCGCACCTAACAATCGCCTCGTCGATCATCGTTTGGCTTTTGCGCGCTCGGGACATTAATGACGAACGCGACGAATGCGATTCGCGTGCCACGGGACAATATCACTCGACCCCCCGGCCGGCCCTTTCCCCGCCGCTTCTTTCAACCCGGATTTTCCCCGACGACGCGATGCATGCACGCGAGGGAATCGTCGTCGCCGAGAAAGAATCGCAAGGCGGCTTTCGGGTCGCACTCGCGCCGCGACTCACCTGCGTCGGAGTCGCGTCGCCGCTTGCTCGCTCGCTCGCTCGCCCTCGGATTCTCTCACCTGCACATCCACGCGCGGCTCGATCTGACGTGCGACTGACTGTTCCCGGGTTCCCGGCGACCCCGTTTATAATAGCGGCCGATCACGGCCCTGCCGCGCCGCCCGTTTCGCAGTCGCGGCCCTCTCGATTCTCGCCTCGCGACGAGAGACACCCGCGGAACAGGGCCGTCGCAGGTGTCGTTCAACCCTCCGTGCTCCAAACTTTTTTCCCGCCGCTTTATTTACTCGCCTCCGACTTTAATCCGCTCGAGATTACGTCGACTCGGATGGCGATCGCACATGGCTTACCCTTAAATTATATCGGCTCGCGAACATGTAAATCGCGTCTGTACTTTCAAATGGTTAATATCTTGGTCCACTTTAGACTCTCCTGACTCAAGAAAGATATTGATTTTCTTTTCTCTTTTTTTTTTTGAAATTATCGAAGATTGTTTTACTTTCGTATTACTTTCATAAAATACTTGTAATCATGCTATAGTTAATTGTGTGCTTGTTCTCGCTTGATTTGTCTCTCATTATAATAGCGATTTTAAATCGTAAAATCTCTTCTTTTTAGTCTCTTAATTCACAAATGTTTGAAAATATCGCATTATAACACAATGCGAAGATGCGCTATAAAGTTGCATAGTGTAGTAATATTTTATCTCTTTAGAAATGTTATTCTTTATGTTATCCTTTTCGAAAAATATCAAGAAACGTATACCATTTTAAGCTCGGCAGTGGGAGTATCGTCACGGCATCTAAATCGCTAAGAAGCCGGTGATGGTTCCAAAGAGGATTAAAGAAGAAGCTAACGTACACATTTTACAATTTCTATTAAATCTGTGTCAATAAATGATAAACTATTGCGTATAATACAGGCTTATATCAGGCTGTTTATCTGGCTCATTAATTGCATATTATTATGCACTCTAATCGCAAATATTGAAGATACAACTGCTGCAATTTTCATTTATATTCAACTCCTATTAACGAGAAAAATACAAATGTAATATATTTCTTGAAACCTTTTTTTTTTTTTTGTTATCTCATTTATCGTGAAATATTCTTTTTAACAAGAAATCGATCGCGCTATTTTCAACCCGGAAATTATAACTATTTGCAATTATATACAATGTAACTAGGTCAGATATATATAACTATAAAATTAAATTAGCTGTTTTTTCTGTCAACCATGCAAAAAACATTTTCAACTTATTGGAATTTTGCATCCGAGAGATTGTCCTAGTATTTTGAATATTTCACATAAATATACTCTCGTCCGTAAGAATGTAACTCGAAACAGTATCTTTACAGTCGATTACCATATTTCTTTGCGAGACTTTTATGTGTATCAGTGTAGTCATCCATCATTCTACAGCATTTCTGTCTTCGATCGATGAGCCATGCATATAGAATATCTATGCGTCGGTATTGATGAAACTCAATATCTCGCATGCAGAAAATCGAAGCTCCAAGTAATTGACTCTGCCCGAAAAGCACAAATTACGTTGCATAACTTGTTACTGCAGCCAGTAAAGCAGAATGTGCTTAAATTAAATAATTAAACTTGCACAATTGTATCAACTTATGATAAGCTAATTTCCTTAATTATTAGTTATTAATTAGTATGCTGTGAAACATGATACGCAAAATTCATGATAAAATGTTATCACTTTATCAGAAAAACGTGAACATAATTTCATTCTGAAAATCAATTAATATTCTCAAATTTACTCTGTGCTCTTTATCATTATCCTATTACACGTTTTTCTCCACATAATATAATTCATTACTATCTTCGGAAATTTAATTACTGATGTATACTCGATAGATTACATTACTCGATAGATAAATATTATGTAACGATTTAAATTTCTACCGATGAGAATCGAATTGCTCCAGACAGGTATGCATAAATTTTATTAATAAATGATAGAGTTATTATATTCTTTTTCTATTTACTACCACTTAATTTCTTTAATCTAGGCACCTTTCCTATTTACTACCACTTAATTTCTTTAATCTAGGCACCCTTATCTCGCTACATTTTTCGATTATAAAAGGAAACTTTCGTAGATGTAGAAACTGAAGGATTGAACCTTGACATACATCACGCGAGCAGTACTTCCATCGGTTTTTCGATATATCCCCATCGCATTCTACAAGCGTCCCATTTTTCGTTCACCAAGATAGTGACGTTTGTTGTTCTTATTAAGAATTTATTTTATCATTAAAAATATATCGTACGAGAAATCGTAAATTAAGGAGACAATTTAACGACATTCTATAAACACTGTCTACACGCTTTGTTAATATTAATTTTGTCTATTTATTCTACAAGAATGCGTTAGATATGTGTTTTAAATATTGTTATTCATAAATTTAATTTTGCTTCGAATAATGAGATATTTAGACTAAAAATTCGGATTTATTTATTTTTTAATTATATTATAAAAAATTTATTTTTTATATATTAAACTAAATTAAACTAAATTAAAAAGAACTTAATATTATTTCATGAGAATAAAATATATAATACGTTTTTTTTCTTAATTTTGGCAAATCTTCCTATCGATCTCTAACAATCTGAAATTCCACTATCTGATTTTCCACTAAGAGAATAATCAAAATTCTCCGATATAAATCTCGCAGAAAATATGAAATAAAATTTTAGTCGAATGCTAAAAATTTTTACATTCACTGCGCACACACTGAATGCATTCATTACGCAGAAAATAGTCGTTTGTCCCGCCGACCCTACTGATTGCGTTGATATTACTGAAGCGTGCACGCAATCAGCTCAAAAGATCTAACGAAATGTGTATGTGTGTGTGTGTGCGTGTGTGTGTGTGTGTGTGTATGTACTGAACAGAAGTACATTTATCATTCGTGAGACAAAGCAGACTCTGTCATTGTCAAGATAAACAACCCAGCAAAGTTCTGCGGAGTATGTAGCCGCGATCTATAGAGATTAAAATTCATAACGCTACTGAATAGAATGATAAAAAGCATCAAACAATAATGTAATCATTATCAAAGACATTAACATCATGCAAATTGCAATAACAGGAATGTGCATGAAACAACATTACGTTTATTGCACGGCGTTTAAGTTTGAATAATAATCGCCCATGCTATTTGTACAACTAAGAAGAATTAGAAGGGATGATCGCTCTCACCCCCGTTCTTGACGGAATCGCCTTCTTTTCCCTCTTCCACCGCCGGCTGAACACTCTCCTTGCTAGTGTTGCACCCCATGTCTCTCCTCGTTTGTTCTTTCCTAAGCTTTCCTTATATCAGATTAAATCACGTTGTTGAGAGACGCCCGTATTATTGCAGCTTCCTCGTTAACATAGCGTGATCAAATAAAAATTGTATCAAATTAACACTTTTCTCAGTAGAATAATTAGTCTCGTAGGAATATACGTTCTTCTTTTTTCGAGAGGCTGAGTAAAGATATTTTTTTTCGCGCCTCTTTGACTTTTTTTTATCTCCTCTTCATTCTTCTTTTCTTACTTATTTCCTCATCTGCTCCACCGTTCGCCCTTTCCTCTTTCTCGCCCGCTTTCTGTCTCTCTTATCGCTTAAAAATTTTATATAAAAATCGTACTACTTTTAAATATATTTTTAAATTATCACCTTTCTCTTTTTAGTAACAAGGTAAAGAAAAGGCCCTCCTTTCAGTCACAGTTTCCTATAATTCCTTTGAAACACTTAAGAATATTCTCTGGATCTTTAATTAAGATTCGATGACTTTTATTCAAAACTACCTTGCGCTTTTTCTTTCTCCCCCCCTTCTCTCTCTCTCCTTTTATCTACGTATGTATATGTTTCGCCAGCACGTTTCTCCTTTTCCCACCCCTTAATCTTCCTTCCGTTTTATTCGGGGGTTACTGACACGGGTCGCGTGGCGCCGGCACCTGCCAGACAATCCTTCACACTCGAAAGTAATCCGATGCTTCCTCACGCGCCTCGCTGTCACGCGATGTCCGGCGCCGTCCTGTAACGTCCTTGCCTCTTCGACGAAGGATTCAAGCTGCCGGGTCGTGACTCACCGAAAGTCAAACATCACGAGCACGCAGACGAGAAATCCTGTCCTCGACGTCGCGAACGGTACTGGCGTCGCTCGCTCACGACCCTGCCCTTGCTCGCGTTGTGGCGACCAAGCGACTTGTACCACAGAGTCGCTTTACGTGTTATATATATCGCGCGGATGTATATTCGCGCCGCGGAAAATTCCCCGTTCCTCATGCGTGGAGAAACGCACGCGGAAGCGATCGCCACGTTTCTAGCCACGTTTCCAGCCGGCGCGAAGCGGCATGCTTGGCGGCAGAGGCCAAAGCGCAAGCCTCGCTGTTGCCCTATGGCGGTCGTCCTTCTGCGTAAAGGATTCGGCGTGCGGAGGACCGCTATAGATATATAGATTGTTGTAGCGGCACGCGCTTGTTGAGCGGAGGAGCCGTTTCGATCCGGTCCCGGTCGCGCGCCGCGAATGACTATGTCAAAAATTGTGCCGCCACTCCCTGATCCTCCCCCATACTCTGCCCGTCATCCGGAGCGGATTCTCCGCGACCTTAAAAGCGCGCGATCGATTTCGCATAGACAGTGGCATTTCGCTCGCCTAGACAGTTGCCAGACCGGCGCCAGCCTCTCCGTTCCTCTCGTTTTCTGGAACGAATATCGATCTCGCGGTCTTCACGGTGCACGCACATGTAGCTAACATATCGCGGTCGTTACGCGACGTTAGAGCGAATTCGTGACGGATGTGTAAGGATAAGGGTAAAGATATTACGGATAAACGATACGAATTTTTTCCACGCTAGAAACACAGCGTGTATATTGCGTATATATCGCGATCGTATATCGAAAGAGTAAATGAAGAAATTTATATGTGTTGTATATCTTGAAACAGATTTATAGAAATTCCTTTCTTCATTAACAATTAATGGAAATAGAAAATTTCTATAATTATACATAGTAATGTATAATTATTTGCGAATGTAATCACATATCTGATGTACTCCATTTATAAGCTTCTTCTTGCCGCGCTACCTTTGCATTTTGTGTTTCGAACCACTTCTTCTCGTATCCGTTACTTCTATCGACGCCGTCCCATCGATAACCGGGTTTAATACGGAATCGATTTGGCGCGAACGAGCCATGATATTGTATCGGATCTGGAAATGAAATTTTCAAATATATATAATATGAATATCATAATAGAATTACTTTCATAAATTAAGTACCTGGGTTTCTTTTTCCCTCTTTTATCTGCTTTTGTTTTATGTACTTCAACATAGGATCACCTTCTCTCTCTTGTTCTCTCAATTGTTTATCCAAATCTGCATCGTCCGCATATCTTGCTAAAGGTTTATTTATCTCATATAAGTCGTTTTTTAATTTCTCCTCGCGATCTTCCACTTGTTTCAAACTAGAATAAGTATGTTATTACATATTATGCATCATCAGAACAGATTATATCAGATAAAATGAGCATTTATTAATTAATAAAAGAATCTTTATCGATTATTACATATGATTAATATTTCTATTTTTTATTTGGAATACATTCAAATATATTCCAAATGAAAAATAGAAATATTAATAAGATGTAATAATCGATAAAGACAAAAAGATCACTACCCCTTTCCCCATTTGACGTATTTTTCATTCATCTCTTGTTGCTTTTTTTCTTGTTCGCGGTTTTTCGCTGCTTCTTCTTCCAAATTACGCTTTCTTCCCGTTTGTTTATCACGCAGAATTGCAGCTTGTCCTCTTCCGCTTTCCTCGTTACTCAACTACGAAACAATTTGACATTTATCTCTATGAATGAATTAATTGCTTTTATAAATTTGCATTATAATTACCTTGTTAAATAACTCTGCATCTCGTTGTTTATGGGCCTCAATTTCCTCTCGCAGTTCTTTCGCAGCTTGAAATCCCGCTGTTTTCCCATCTAATGTTTTTGTCATCCGATCGTCACGATTTTTCGAATGATTTTCCGCGTGTCCGTTTTCAAAATTATCTGTTTCTGTGTCCCATCGCGATTTTTTTCTTTTCTCTCTCGTATCTGAATATGATCGAGATTTATGATTTTGATCTTCATAATCTTTCCGTTTAATTCTGCTTGATCTGTTTAAAAAATCATTATATTTACATTAATAATCATTATATTTCTATGGATATTCGACAAATGACAAGTTTACATAATAATATTAATCGGTTATATTAATTAATTTTTATCGGACTTCTATTGTGTTTTATTTCAATAAAATTATCATCAATTTACCTTGATACATCTTCTCTATTAGATCTGGATGAATTTTTATCATAATAATCGCGTCTTCCATCGGTTCTGCGCGAATTGGAATATGGCGAATCTTCTTTTCGAGATCGATGTTCTTTGTATCGTGATGTGCTTGAATTTGGATCTCTTTTATTTCTTCTGTTTTCATACAAATCTGCATCTAAATTCTGCTTGCGTTTTCTGGATGGACTAAAGTTTGAGTCACTGTTTCTGTTACGTGAACTTCGACAGCTTCGTTCAGTTATACTGTGAGTCGAATGTTTCATAATTTTTCTAGGTACATCTAAATCCGAGTCGTAATTTCTATATTGTCTGGGTGGGCTCAAATCCGAATCATTGTCGTTATTCCTAGATTGTCTAGGCGGACTCAAATCAGAATCATTCTTATACTGTCTAGGTGGACTCAAATTTGAATCACTGTCTTTGATATCATCTTTAAATTTTTTACGTGAATTCACATGCTTATTTTTAGAATGCTTAGATCTGGGTGAACTCAAATCCAAATCATCGTAATTTTTTTTAGATTGTCTAGGCGGACTCAAGTCAGAATCATTGTTCCTAGATTGCCTAGGTGGACTTAAATCTGAGTCATTATCTTTAGATTTATGTTGAGATGTTCTACGTGGGCTTAAATCTGCTTGCTTATTCTTAGAATGCCTAGATCTAGGTGGACTCGAATCTGAGTTATCATTTTTAGACCGTCTACGTGGGCTTACATCTGCATTCTTATTTTTAGAATATTTAGACCTAGGGCTCAAATTGGAATCATCACTGTTATTTTGATTGGCATCTGTCTCATCTATTTGAAGTATTTTTTCCTTATTAATAGTACGATTAATAATAGTTAAATCTCCTTCTTCATTCTCAGTTATAATTTTCCATCTTTTTTTGTCTGTGAAATCAACTGGTCCACGTTCGTCAATTATACCAGCAATTTGAGGAGCGTCTTCTCCATTTAAAAGAATATCAAATTCACCTTCTTCAATGGGCCGCATATTCTTCAAATCTATGTCATCATCTATAATTTTTACTCTGTAAAGATATATATCATTGTATCAAAAATATCTCATTAGAAAATAAATTTTTTAATAAATAATTTACAAATACTAAAAGCTTTATAAGCTTTAATTATATTTACAAATACTAAAAGCTTTATAAGCTTTAATTATATTATGTGAAAAATTGAAAAGGTCTCACTTTCAAAACTAAAGATTGATTTAATTCTACATTGCTATGTATATGTATCTATGCCTAAAAAATATAAAAATCTCTATTGCACAAGAGGAAGAAATAGTTTTATTCAAAGAAAAACTGCAATAACCACACATAGAAAAAATGGTAATCTGCAATGACGTGAATAATATAAATATAATTATATATGCATTATTTTGATTGCAATCTGTCTCTATCAATATAAATAAACTTAACCTAAACATAACCTCAAGGTAACGTTCTCCATTAATGCAAGCTAAAATGCTTCTGAATTGATTCTTACGTTTTTGTTCCCGTTTTGGATTTCTTCTTCTTTTTCTTCTTTTTTTCATCTGTATCGCCCAAATATTTCTTCAAATATTCCTTTTGATCAATTATTTTGTTTTCCATATCGCTTGTGACAGTGGCTTGGACATGTAAAATAAATCATTAGATGATGACCATATGATTAGACTTGGATTCACACTGAGATTTTTAATAACTATGCTTTTATTAATAATAAAATAAATAACAAATTACTATATAAATACATATAAATGTATATTCGTGTGTATCATGTGTATTCACCTTGTAAAAGAAATCGATAACCACTACGTTGTGACCACCACGCGGCGTTCTACGTACGAATGATTGTTTTCAAGTTAGTGCGAATCAAGCTTGAGAGTTGCCAGCACTGTCTAGTTATCAACAAGCACGTGCTCGGAGAAATCGCAATTTGGAAATAATCATATGCAAAATATTTCGCAATAAGTTTTTCTTAATTTATATTTATATTTTTATAGATTTATATTTTCTTTTAGAAATAAATATCTAACGAGATATCTTCTATCATAAATATAGATAAAATTTTCTATAATAAATATGAATAAATAAAAAGAGAGAAAATTTTCTATAATAAATATGAATAAATAAAGAGAGAGAAAAGAAAAATTACAATTTTATAAAAACAGAGATTTTTTTCTTATACTTTATTCTACCGAAAAATTATGATTGTCAGCGAGAAGAAAAAAAATCTTTATATTTAACGTAATTTTAATTTTCAGTTTCTTTTATATTCATTGATATATATATGTATATATTACGTATAAATTAAAATAGATGAATAATTATTGATTTTCTCAAAAAGATATCTATCGATCCATTAAATATTGCATATATTTTAGATTTATGTAAATATTTGCTATATATTATGCTAGATTGATTACAGACAGAAACACATCTCAAGGAATTATTTTTCCCATATCATGGCTTTTATATTTGCTAAGCCTCATCGTTTAAATATCGCATTCTTCATTCCTTCTCTTTATTGATAAATTTTAATAAATCTTTATTAATAAATGGAAGCTTAATGCGATTCAAATAACATGGAATGCTAAAAAACTGTAATATTGGCTAACATAATAGTATATCAATCAGGTGAGATCAGATGAGAGAGACTAGTCGGAAACACAGGACTGAATTGGAGGTGGAAGAGAAGCAGTCAGGTAGGAGGTAGGGGAGCGAAAGTGAGCGCGTCTCCAAGAATGGGCAAGAAGGAACGGATCACTGCGAAAAGGTGACAAGCAGGAAGGTTCGCGGTGGGCGATAGCGAGGAGGCTCGTATCGGGGCGAGTTGGTGCTCATTAATCTTCGTTCGATCATCCATCGATCGCGAAAAGTGCGGAGAATGCGTGCGGAATGTGCCGCTATCTTCAATGGACGGAAAAATGCGATGATGAGGTGCATCGTGGCATAACTGGTACCACAATTCGCTAGCACGCAAAAGAGATTGTAAGGAGAGGAAAAGAGAGAGAAAGAAACAAGGAGAGACGCATGCCACACATGCTACGACGTGCTGATGCGATACAAGCCAGTGATTCTCACCTCGCATCATGAGATAGCGAATGGAAAAAAGCTTGTTCCTTGCGCATACCTTGATGTGCATTCAGTGAGCGTGAAGCCGCGGTGACGTAAACGCTCGCACGAACCGTCAGTCTCTGTAAATACAACTGAAAAAGTGTTCTTCTCGGCGGCAGGATGACGAGGAAGCTCAGTAAATTCTTAATACTTTTCGATAATACAAATCTACTCTATTTTCCTGGACACTTTTTGTCCGGTCGTGTTCTCATAGAACTGGACGATGAGGCTTAGTAAGTAATGTTTAAAAAAAATTTTTTTTACGTGTAAAAAAAGTATATATGTGTTAGAAAAAAATTTTTTTCAATCAATTTTCTTTTACGCTGAATCAAATCATAGAGTGCGCAAATTAATCATATGAAATATATTATCGTAGTGTATCGGGATTACATTTCCATGTTGTGGGAGAAGGTGTAGTTCGGGTACGCAGTCAACGTGCCGAAAGAGTTTACGACAAAGAGAATTACATCGATTTTCGCATGCGACTGTTGGGCGAACCAGGTGAATTAATTATTTCGAGTATCGCATGTACATCATTCAATGGTCACGCGCGTATTGTTTAAAAACTAGTAATTTTACATTTCTATCTTTATAAATAACACATATAATGAATTATATTTACATACATCGTATATATTATATAATAGCTTAACGAAAAATATCTTTATAATAATTGACAATTATATAATTAAAAATATATATTATCTTTAATTTATAATTAAAGATTTATAATAGCCTTATGTTTTTCTTTTCTGATGAATATTTTTTTCTGACGCGATTCCGCACAGGCGAAGGGCCGTCATTGCTATCGCCGGGAATACACAGCTTTCCCTTCAAATTGGGTTTACCATTGGGTCTACCTTCTACTTTCCTCGGAAAGCATGGATGGGTGCAATATTATTGTAAAGCGGCTCTTCGCGAACCAGGTGGACTTACGCATAAAAATCAACAGGTCTTCATTGTTATGAATCCGATCGACTTAAATCTGGAGCCTCCGATATTAGCGGTGAGCATTATGATAATGAATGAATTAGTATCTACAGATTTAATTTATTCAAATATTTATCTCGAAAATCTAGATATATCTTTACGTTCAAATTATCTCTTCGATAGTTAAATATTTTAATTTCTTAATCGGTAGAAAGCAACGTGACTAAAAATTATTATAAACACCCAAGCTTTACGAAATCGATTAAGACCAAGGAAAGTGTTTCACGCACGCACGCATTAAGTGAATATCCAATTTACATTACCATGTTCCAAATACTGGTCATCAACCCGAGGAGAAAAGCGTTGTAAATAACTTGAGGCGCCACAAAGAATTTTTAAAAAGAATATTGGATATAATATATTTAATATTCACGGATATATTTAAACATCAGAAATAATAAAATGCGGGCTTCTGTGTGCACATTTCTGTTGTTGCAATATAATAATACTAGCGTAGATCGTGATGAAATCACCACCCATATTTCCCGGCAGCAATGCATCTGCGTTTCTAGAAAATTGCGTAAGAAAAATTTTTACGTAGGCAGAGGTAACATTAACGGGTATTGTTTAGCCATACAGTCGTATCGTTTAGCAAACATTAGTGTTTAGTTTAGAGATGCATTTTGCTTTTTAAAATATTGTTTCTAATGTCGAATAGGCCTAGAAAAGTTTGGCTTATTAAAAAAGTCTACATATAAATAAAATATTTTCGTAACAAACAGCAACCTGCGAGACAAGAGATCGAACAACGTGTGGGTGTCTCTTGTGTATCGGGCGGTCCTGTATTTTGCAGAGTGAGTCTGGATCGGGGTGGATATGTACCTGGGGAAACGATCGGTATTTCTGCGACTGTCAGCAATCGCAGTAAGGTATACACCGTAATTAATGTAGCAAACGAATGTAATTTCGATATTTTTAATAATTTGAGACAACAACTAAGGACACAGTGCGAAAAGTTTCTTTGAAAATTCGAATTAACAGGTGACGATGAAGTCGACCAAGGCGTCGCTCACCGAAACAATACAATACTTGTGTCGGGGTAAAGTGCTCGCTAGCGAGACCAGGGAGCTGGCGAGCGTTTCCAGGGGAAAAATTCGACCGGGCGAAGGCGAGGAATGGTTGAACGAACAAATGTACGTTCCTCCTTTGCCGCCGACGAATTTGCGAGGGTGTCACTTGATCAACGTCCTTTATCATGTTTATGTGAGTGTTGGAAAAAATATGTATCTCTAGAGACGTAATAAAAAAAATTCACACGGTCAGGAACGGAAGCATTTCCGCGAGAAGAGAGATCCGCTTATAATAAATATTTCTCGCAGTTCGTCATAAGTCCCAAGAGTTTGGACAAGGAGATCAAGTTGCAAATACCGATCGTATTGGCTACGTATCCATTGAGGCCGGAAGGTGCACCAGCTGGTACGGCGCCATCCAAACGGGGCGCCCATTATCCATCGACGCTACCCATCTTCCGACCTTGGCTCGACGATAAAGCTTTCGAAATACAAGAATGAAAACCAACGTATATATAGACGTATGTTATAAATATATCGAGTTATTATGTGAACAGATAGTACCTTGGTTAAAGGGGTACTAATTTTTTATGATCATAACTGCGCGCACACGCGCTTATATATACAACAAAAATCTTCATCGATTTTCACATTGCTAGTCACAACAACGCTTGTGTAAAATTTTAAAGAATCGTTGATGATTTTTGGAAATATTGAATTTGCGAAAATATATATAGTTGTTAAAAAACTTTAATTATATTAAATTTTATAAATACTGACACAGTACGTTAACTCTATCAATTGTCTTTATGGGGTGAAACAGAGATGTGTAAAATTGTATAATACTGTAAAAAATAATTGGTATTGAACACACAAAAATATGATAAATAACATAAAATGACAATAAGTAACATAAAATTAAAAATATAACATTAAAATGTATTTATTAAGGAAAATTTATACATATATTATTTAGTAAAAACATTTAATGATAAAAAAAATTTTTACGCAGTAAAAGAAAACTTTTTAATTGCCCATTTCTCCTTTTAATTTCGCTAAAACCTGATCTGTTGTAATTCCTGATACTGTAACTGTTTTTTGCCGACTTCGAGATCCCTGCACAAAAGAGAAAATTAAAAATTTATTATTTCGGCATGCAGATTTTAATAGAAAAAAATTATCTTGAATTTACCGAATTATATACTTACACGGTCCAAAGATACATTGGATTTTCTTAATTCAAAAATCGAAGCTAAATATTTAACAAGTTCGGCATTTGCTTCGCCTTCCATTGGTGGGGCTGAGATTGCAATGCCTACTGCTTCATCGGAAATATCTATGAATATTTATTTGCATCTTTTTAACAATCATGATTTTATCAAAGGAAATATTTTCTTTTTTTTTTTTACAAAGTTGGAAAAATAATTTTCTTTATAATAAAAATTCAACAAACATAAAATATGTTGAATGATATTTTTAATTACCGGTTATATTGTTACATTTTGCTCCAGGTTTAGCCTGAATTTTTATCACTACATTTCCATCTTTATTTAAAACTACAGGTCCTGTAGATTGATTCTGCAAAATAGTGCATTAACAAATGAAGGTAATATTTAGTACACTTGTCCTACGTGTGTAATTGTGATGCAATTATCAATGTAAATATTATTTTTAGAAAAGCGAGAAATTGATTGGTTAATATATAAGTTACATATTATTCTTTGATGTCTTTCGTTACAAAAAATCATAAGCTTCAAATTTACGCAAATTGATGATCAAATATCTGTGCTTTTCGCTAAAAAATTATTTCTAAGAAAATATAACATCTAAACATTTTGATATTAGAATTTTTATCTCAAAGTATTCTCAATAATGTATCATTAAAATACTAATCGATGCGTCTAGAATAGAAAAAGGCGCTAAAAATATATGACAAAAAATGATTGATCCATGATTTTTGTTGTCCAGTCATGTACTGTGTGTAAAAAACAGTCCATCTACTTTGTCCAATTACAGCTGTAATTCTCAAATTATACTGTAATAGTGAGCTTTAACTGTGTACAGTTGGTAGAAGTGAGTCTAGTCGCATTTATACCGATACAGAAGTATCAGAGATGCTAAAGTGTCTAATAGAAAATGTCACATTATTTTCGCAATAGGTGATCGTATATCCTGCAAACAAGGAACCGGTGAGTTTTATGTTAAAACAATCGCTCACATCAGTGGTCGTTCCCTTCCGCATCTTCTCATTTTTTGCAGACCGTTGCTTCGACATTTCACGCGTGACAGTTAAATAAATTCCGTAGCCGTTTTTACTCGATCGCGTAATCATGAATTTTTGGCGTCACATTAAAAATTGAAATTGAATACACTGCACACATATAATAGCGAATTTTTATATGCCATTTATGAACGGCTTTGAAACGTAAATTATTTTGGAGTCTCTTAACCTGAATCTTATAACAGCTTTCACAGTGTTTTCGCGCATGTGCTACGACTATTACCAACTCAAATATAGTAATTTCTCTACATACGCCCGCTATTTTCAAAAATATACGAAAGTAATACATAAGAATTACGAGTAACTTTCAAGATTTATATATCACAGATCAATATGCCGAAGAAATTCGTGGGTGAGAATAGTAAGGCGGTTGCCGCCCGAGCTAGAAAGGCCGCAGCTAAAGAAGCCGAAAATATAAAAAAAGCGATGGAAGCTGAAGACAGAGCCTGGGAAGATAATGACAAACAACTGTTGAAAAAGAAACAAAAACAAGTATGTTTTAGGATTACTGTAAAGAAATAATTATTTTAGATTATGGAAAAGAAAAAATAAGAAAATAAAAAACGTAATATATTATTACATATATACAGGAAGAACTTGAGAAGAAACGTCAACAGCAATTAGAAAAAAAAGCGGAAGCTAAGGCTTTGCTTGAAAAGGAAATGGCAAATATAAAAGTCGGTGGCAAACAACCAGCGTCCAAAATTACTAGAGCTGAAATTGTTTCTATTACTGAAAAACGAAATCAAGTAGCAATGAAGAAAGAGGAGGAGACACCAATCGAAGAAAATTTAAATAGATTAACTTTGGAAGGTGAAACAGCTCACAGTATAGATGAAGCTATATCTATATTAAGGTAATTATTTTTAAGACATTAGAATACAATGACAAAGTATCAATTTCTAAATTTTATCCAAATTTTATCCCACACAATTCTCTGCAATGGTAATTGTAGATTGAAAGCTTTAAAAATTGAGAATGTATATATGCAATAGTATATATAATATATAGCATATTATATTTTCTTTTCTTATCTCTTCATCATTTTATTTTCAGTACAAAAGATTCCGAAATTGATCGACATCCGGAAAAACGGATGAAAGCAGCATACGCAACTTTCGAGGAAAAAATGATGCCGATTATTAAAGAACAAAATCCTACCTTGAGATTGAGCCAATTGAAACAGATTCTTAGGAAAGAATGGATGAAATCACCCGAGAATCCGCTTAACCAGAAATTATTGAATAACTGATAATGATATTAAACGCGCTCGGTACGTACTTGCGCACATCACTGACTGATTAATTATTTAATTCCTAAATGTCTCAAATTTGGTTATAAATAACTGCAACGATATAATCAGCTGTATACAATTTTATTTGTAAAAACAAATAACTTATATTAAAAAATACTATCTATGAAATAACGATATATATAAATGATCTTTGGTCTATATGCTATTTCATAGCCTCTGTTTACAATATTTGTTAGATCACTTTGAATAACTTTTTTTCTTTGAAATGGCCATATATGAAATAACTTTTAAATAAAAATTATTTAGAGTTTAAATGAGATTTCATTTCATTTATGATACATTTCATTTATGATAATTTCATTTATAAGTTCTCTCAGGTACATTAAAAGAAATTTTTAATTTAAAATCAATCAGATGCATGATATTATAAAGACAAAATTTTTAGATATATATATAATTTAAAGTTATTTTAAGTGATCGAGGAATAAAAAATATTTCATATTTATTTTATTAATCCAAATTTTGGCACATTTATGAGGCCGCTCAATTGTATCGATTTATCTTAATGTTCAATCTTTTTGAAATATATCAAAATATTGCTTACACTTCCCTCCACTTAAAATATACACAAACTTTATGTTACAGTTAACTTTGATAAAGTCTGTTGATCGACTCAGTCATGCAATTTTAATATCATACAGATTTTTAGATCATTATTTCTAGATTGAAATTAGCACATAATATCACTGCTGCCATTTTTTGTTTTTCCATAAATCTATAAAACAATGTATCATATGATTTAGCTGCTGAGGGCATTCGGTCATCGGACTATGACCAGCCATTGGAATAGCTTCAAGGAAAGCTTTCACCATCGTCTGAAAAATTCGAAACAAAGAATTAATTTAATATCGTATGATAAATTAATTTAATATCGTATTATTCTTACAACAAAATGATTGATACAAAGTTTTTAATGTAATTTAACATCTACATTGTCTATATATATTAATCGCGCGTACTAAGGATTAACAGTGATATAAACTCACTCTTTCCATTTGACATTCCTGCACCAGCGAAACTTTATTGTCCCTTAATCCGTGCACTAGAAGCGTCGGTGTGCATATCTTTCTGTGAAAAGCGTAGTCACCCTGCGGCCAGATCATACCGTTCAATATGTATTTCATGTGAGAAGGCCACTGTTCCGTCGATTCGTGACCGCAATAAGGATGTTGGCGGCCTCGCGCGGAATATAGGATATCTCGATGAAGACCGCACATTAAAAAAGGTGCGAGAATCGCCCTGAGACAGCAATGCCCCGCGCATTCCGTACTCGGAGGGGCCAGAGGAGTCGGCCCACCGCCCGATATTAGCACTAGCTGGTGAATATTGCTATCATATTTACAAGCTAATGCCGTAGCGAAGCTGCATCTGGAACAGATTTATGCACGATGTACACAGTTATTTATTTTTATTAAAAATAATTTATCTAAAAACAATTTTTCAGTAATAAAAAGAAAAACTGCTCGTATGGCTTTTAAATAGACGGCAACTTACCCGTAATTATGTGCCACCAAAACGCACTTTTCCCCGGACTTGAAAGCGTAATGATGTAGAATAGCGTCCAAGTCTTTGAGTAATTTGCTAAAATGATAATCTCTAGACCGTCCGGGAGCTGAACTCATTCCGTGTCCAAGCATATCGGGAGCGATGCAAGGATAACCATGGGAAGAGAAATATTGGAGCTGATGTTCAAAGATCTCTGCCGAGGAACCGAAGCCGTGTAGAAAGACTATGGTTGGTTTTCTGTTTCTTCGAAACATTATCGAATCGCGAAGACTTCGACGAGTATTTTCTCGTGAAGAAATACTATCGAATTCCGTCCATTCTTTTCTATAATCCTTCAGCTCGATAGAAGTGGTTTCCGTTAATTTCGTATCGAGTTTCGATCGACTTCCATCATTCAGAGGCGTGCCGTTACTTTGAAATTCCAAGCGTAGTTTCTCGAAATTAGTTTCTGTGTTGATAATATCCTCGTGATACTCCACTTTGTCGGGATCAGTTGATAATATTTCAAGATTGGACGAAGTTTGTACAGTCTCCTGAGAATTCATTTCGGAAATTGCTTTTCGCAAATTTTTCTCAGAATTATCCTCCTCCGAATTATTCGTCAGAGGATCTCTTCCCAATTTTTCATCAATCATTCGTAAAAGGGATTGCTCGAAGCTGGGTTCTTGGTCAAGTAATTGAAATTCGATCGTTTCCACGCTATTTATTCCGGAATCCACGCAGTCTAATTTTTCCGGAGCGATGCTCTCGGTATTTCCCGACATTCCAAAGTACAAGTCGGCTATTCCATAAAAAAACATTGTATGTAAATAAAAAAGAAATTTTACATTATACGAGACATGTTTAAAAAATACAATATATATATGATAACATAAATAATCTTATTTTTCATAAAATCTGTCGCTTACCGCGTTTTTTTGCAGACTGATCAAAGTCCAAAGAAGCTAATTCATCTGTCGAATCGACAAAAGCAGGATTCACATAACCCTCGCCTACTGAAACTCTAGCGAATTGTTTCTTACATTCGTTTTCTGCACTCCATTGCGTCTTATTTATAGGAACACGGGAATTAATATCGATAAAAGAATCATCTTTGTCTCTCTTTATCGAAATTTCATCTTCTAGTTTATTAGACTGTGATTTTAAATTATTTTTCGTTTTATGCCAAGGATGTTGAACATCATTTTTTTCCATTCTAGTTACATGTTTAACGGTGTCATCCAATACTTCTTCCAGAAGTGTGTTGATATACCTGGCATAATTTTTATTAATTTTCGTAATGTGTAAATTTATTTAAAAGTATATATAAAAGATAATGAATATAAAGAAATGAGAAATCAATAAAGGAATGTTCAATATACTGTATTTAATATAAAATATTACTGTGAAAGTGATCGGTCGAAGGCGATAAAATCTCTCGTATTTCTCCATTCTTATTTATTGTAGCTTAAATAAACCTTACCTTTCTAAATCTTTAACGATTTGTTGCTTCGCATTTTGCTCGAATGACTGGCGATCCGTTAGTGTCGAAGGCACCGTCGTCTCATTCGCCTCATTTATGCGATCAGCGACCGCGTTGTCCCGTAATTTTTGTAGATTCACCGAAACTTTTTGCTCCAGTTCCTCGAGATCCCGCGCGTTCTTCTCGCCCTCGCAAAGACTCGTTCGGATGCGATTCAGTTCCGCGGATATGATTTGTTCCTCGGTCGTGCTCAACGTCGCGTTGGATTGACGGAAGGAGCACCTACAGTTTCCGGACGGATGCGGCCTCCTGGTCCATCGGGCGAAGAAATTGTCGTTGACCGATTCCGGCCGGTCGATCGCCGTGCTCTCGTAATACCAGATGCTCTTCAGGGACGGTTTCAGGACGCGCAACGTACGTCGCGGTGCCACGATGAAGAAATCGCAGTCGGGTAGCTCGATTCTTCCGGGACTAATTCGACTACGACTCCTCCAACATTCGAAAATCTTGCCGTACCAAGGAGACCCCGTTGGAGGCGAGGGAGTCTCCTCTACTTTCGTCGCCATTGTCTCTTCTTTGGGACAGCCGAATCATAAATACGTCAGTCCATTAGTCGATTCTTAAACATCGAATGCGCAATATATGCCATAGCACTGGCATATATTTTCTAATTCATTGTCTATAAAATGAAATATTAATATATAATATTAGTGAGCCATTTTATTCGTGTATATGATTTTATTTATTTTAATAACAGTTGAAAAATAGATTCACACTTTTCTTGTAATTGTTTACAAGATTTGTTTACATAATAATTGAATCTTTCTTGTAATTGTTCTTGTAATTTAGCAGAATTGTTTACATAATAATCTTTTCTCAACAATTTATGCGATTGTAGAAATACTTATATATTCAACAATTTTGGAGTCATTAATATTAATTATATGGTTATTAATAGATAAGGTTACTGTTAATTTAAATGCCATTAGATACGAATGGTTTCCTTCAACTCGTCAGTGTTATAGTTTATAAACTAACAGATATTTATTGCGCAAACATCGACTTTCTCGGCTTGTATCGCTTTTCGTACGTTCTAGTCGAGCAATTAGATTTCCCCTCGAAAAATGAAAGTGTTGTTTCTACGCTCGAATAATTCGAAACCATTTTGAAAGAATATTTTTTCCCAAACGCGATATTTATCCAAAATTGATGCAAACTCTAGCGCTCATTTTAAGGAAGAATGTAAGTTATATTTTTGCATCAACAGGAACTTGAATAAAACGCGTAGGTGAAAATCTAGTCTGACGAGAATTCAACCGAATAATTGATTGTGCATTCTTTTACAGCAACGTAACTATAGAGAGTACTATACTATACTATAACTTATCTATCGGAACAATCTTTCTTTTAAACGAGGAAAAGTATAACATTAGAACATATAATGTGCATGTATATTCAATGATTTCACTTTTTTCATGGAAATATGCTTATTGGATGCGTTCATCGACGACGTTACTTTTTAAAGGCTTTATAGACATAATAGTGAATAAAACGTAACGAGAATATCATCAGTTTAAAGCGCGTTAATCCAGCTAGATTGAGCGAATTATCTACGTAGGAGGGAGATGAATGAAAGATGAATGAACGTTCGTGCAAAATTTTTCACACTGTCATATCTTCGAGATTTTTTTCAATATTTATATATTTGGATTTTTCATTTGATTTTGACATGACAGTTTTATTTAAAACATACACGCCAATTTTTTTTTCGAAAATAACTCATTAGAAAAGATGATATACAAGTCTTTCGCGGATACACTTGGCACGATATATATATTACCGTCTCTCGATTTTTAGATCCAACGATTCTTTAGACTGCACTACTGCCAAATTTTCACAGAATATTACAAAAATAAATTACCTTCCTTAAGCGAGCGATATATACACAGGATACATAATAACACCAGGGGACATGAATGCACTGATCTAACGGATAACGTCTCTAATTGAGAACGCGCACTATGAATAACATAGTACAATATTAAGGCAACGTTCGTTTCGATTGTCGTCGAAGTCTTCGTGAAGGTTTAGCAACCGCGTTCCAACGACGTAATGTACCCGTATGCAGTCGGTCGCGTGTCGACGGCCACTGTGTTTTCGTCGAGGAGCGTACGCGATGACGATATGTCAGGACGACGCGGGCGTCGTTTATCGGAGCACGCTGTCGAACGGACTCGCGCCGAATGATACCACCGCGGCGGAGCGTCGTGCATCTTTTTTTTCGTAGGCGTCTCTCAGCCGGCAAATTAAGACGAGAAAATTGAGGACGATTAATACTCGAGGCGCGCAACACGTTGGCTCACGGCGGCCATTGTATGACTCTCGGGCACACACGGATAGGCCTAGTTGGTGAGAGAAAAAGAGAGAGAAAGAGAGAGAGAGCGAGACCGGTGGTTCCCCTACCATTGGGAAATCGTTTGTATACAGGGCGTTTAGAAAGTTCGCATCGGGTTTACCTACCTACTTCTGGTTTGCTTGTAATCATCATATTATAAACGGAATTTCTCTGCAAAGTACACATGTGTTCGTTGTATAAGCAACGCTATATCGTGGTTCTTTGCGAAGAACAAGAAAAGTGAAAGTTATAAATGATACTATATGTCTGCGTGATGCCACAATAATAATAATATTATTCGACAATAAAAGAGCTACAATATAATTAACGATTCAAGTACTAGAGATCGAACGAGCTAATTCGTATTTTGACGCCACCCTTTGATGTTATCCCTTTCGGTAACATCTCTGTAAATAGTTTGGTAACGGTACTCTCTCCCTTGAATGGAAATCCCCATGACCGGAAGAAACTTTATAAATTGCGAACGTACGTGGACACGAGCGTGAAAGATTTTATAATCGTCTGACCTATTAAAGCTACTCGCGATGAGACTACTTCGGGAAGGGGACGGGGGAGGTCCAGTAAATAACAGTACTAAATAGTAGGACGAAAAAACGGATCTCGAAAAAGATGAAATTAATAATGCAATTTTAACTGTAAATAATAAAATAATTGCTTTCCCTATAATAAAGATAAATTAAAATTTTACAAGTATATTTTTTTAATTTCTGAGTAAGTATGTTATCGATGAGTAATGCAAATAAAAGAATATGATAGCGCATCCTCTGATCTATATAATTCAGCAGATTACGATAAGATCGAATGTCACTGACCTATTGAGAATAATGATTTTATCGTTCGATTTCTAACAAGAAAAAAAAAATTCTTATCTGAATTCAAAATGTTAAATTTAAAATATCCCGACCGTTTATTAAAGTATTCCGACTATATTTTCAAGATATATAGCTTTGTTTATAAAGTGAACAATTTATTGCGAACGAGACTCTTGTTCATATCTGTAATTTCTTTCAGCGTGCATGAGAAAAATTTGCATGATAGTACACATATGCAGGATGCGATAATGATACGTTTTTGAATAAATGTGTTTGCGGAACAAACGAATATGAGATAGCTTGAAGTACATTACAAGGAAGAAAGCTGCAAATAGTAAGTTCAAGACGTTTTAATGAACGAGGTGCTAAAAATAGAAAGAAATACTAAAAGATAATTTATCCTTAAGTATCGTGTCGCGATATAAAATATCATCCTCGTGTTATGTAACTTTTCTTGTATCGCTAAACGATTATTCGATTGCATCTCTTATCGTAATAACATTATGTCTGAAGAGATTAAGAGAGAGAGAGAGGGAGAAACTGATTAATTATCATTGTGAGAAAATATGTTGGCATTTTGCATCTTCTGCCTTCGTTACGCCGCGAATACAGCCTGCTGCATACAAATGCACGGTCGATTGTGGGTTTCGAAGAAGCTCCATGGCGGAGGACGCCGATAAGCAGTGCAAATTTGACGTTGCACTCCAACGTTGTCAGGAGGTAGATAACAATTTATGTGTTAATATATTAGCCATACGTGCGACGACGTATCTTTACGAGAGTGCGTGCGACGCAAACATGTCTCTAAGACTTTGACAGCGCAAACTCTCCGATGGTCATTAACCCCGCCGCCCCGGTAAGCAGCTTAAGGTATAAAGGGTTGCGTCGCTCATCCCGCCGATTACTTTGTTGAGGAATCTCGACACTATGGAAGTGATGCATTTGCTCATCGTGTATCTTCTCGTTGTTCTAAGCGTGCACGTATCTCGCGGAAACGTCGAAGCCGAGGTCGAACAGGAAGGCATCACCGAGGAACAGCAAAAGGTGCATGACGAATGCCGGAATCCGGATTACAAGAGATATCTCAAGTGTTTAATAAGGCCGAGAAGGCACCATCATATCGGCCACGGAGACGGGCTGTCGGAAAATGGTAGATTCAGTCATAACAATCGAGATAAACACACAGGAATTCGCGCATCTGCTTGGAAGTCTTCGTTCGAACATATTACGCAACCGCATCTGTTATACACGATCATTTAAGAAGATAGACAATTGTATTAAATTAAAATTACTCGATCTCTTATAACGTAACACAGATGTAATTGCGCAATATGGTTGATCATTAACGCGACTGTGCAATATGAGAAATATTGCGACGGCCTCTATTCTTATATGATTAATTATTCTTCAATTATCTACTATGTAAATGATGTTATTTCATTCGTAAACGAAATCTATTGTGACTGTAAACGATAAGCGATAAAATTTCGCAGATCCCACTCATTGTCTGGAAGCGTGTCTAAAAAAATGCGACCATCATTTGGAACATGACGATTGCGAGAAGAAATGCAGTTACTGCACGAAAAGAACCAAGCATAGACATCAGATCATTACGGAATACGAGACGGAATGCGAATCGGGAAATTGCGGCTCGGCTAATGACGGGCTAAGAACTACCAATATAACAACAAACATCGACATTAATAATATCATTAATACTTTTAGCAATGCTACTAAAAATGGTGTACCTGGTGCACCTCTCCTGGTTCGCCTGGTGTACCTGGTACACCTGGTACACCTGGTGGACCTGGTACGCCTGGTTGGCCTGGTTGGCCTGGTAAGCTCGGAGATGATAAAAAAGGTCCTAATGAAGAGAATGGTGGTATTGGAAAGACGGACGAATGGAATAAAGTAGGAGACTGCTGCCGTGAGTCAAGACTTTTAATTAATATAATTCTTTTAAATGAGGTTTAATGTAATAGGATGTGCGTCTCGATAAGTCGCTGATAAAATCGCCGATTTAAGCTTGCTTTCAATTTACAGCATCTCGTTTCCCATCGCTTCCTATAGTACCTCAAATTTCGTTGGTACCACAAATCACGTACAGTGTAGGATTCGGAGCTGCAGGTGGATGCGCTCAAAATCAGTGGCTCTGCGTCCAACAAAACGGCGTGAAGGAAGTGCAGGTAGACGTATCGTATCAAATCTGAGACATCCTGTGTATATTAAAATACAATATACAATCGTAATTTTTAAACGCGTAGCCTGACTGCTCCGGATGCGGCAATCCCGTCTTACGCTACAGATGCGATGTAAGTTGTTATGCAACTTACGCCAGTGCGGCAGCTAAAATTAAACCACCTTGTAGTAGTCCGGAATGCGTTGGGGGTGAGAGTCTGTTATAACTCATTATAAATTTCGAGCAATATCTCTTTTTTTTTATTTAATCAACAGACACTCTTTGCAAATTATTCTCTTATTATTTATGCTATATAATTTCTTAAATATATTTATATAATTTATAATATATTCAATAACATATTTATTATATTTTTTCACACTTATTTACTATCTCTTCTATTATATTATTTATTCATATAGTATTATAAATATTATTCTGTCTCTTAGGTTCCGCATAATTTTATTGGATGCGTTGGAAGCAGCTATAATGTGAAATATCATCATTAATTGTTTGAGTTTTTTATATTTGTGTTAATATCCTGATAAAAAATTGCTTGTAATAGAATATATAACTCCAGATTTCCCAATTAATTCTCTACTGTAATGATCTGTTTCCCAACATTAGCTTATGAAATAAAGACAACTTTACTTTTCTTTCATAAAATCCTTATCTTAATAACCGTGTCTAATACGAAAATTTATTATTAGTTTCAAGAGATATAGAAGAGTATATATCTCGTAGTATATATCTCGAGTATATATATCGATAAGCGACCATGTACGTGTGGTTGCCGATCTCCTGGCGCAGTACGAGAAAGCGTTTATCAGGATTTTCATCAAAATTATTATAGGAATAGATTATTTATTTAAGATTAATTATTTTTTAATTATTTCTTATTAATTTCTTATTATTTTTTTCTAGTAAAAATATAGAAATATGAAATCGTAAAATTGATTATGTTATGAAACAGTTAAAATAATATTCGCAAATTGCTATCATTTTAACGTATGACTATAAATAGCGTTAGAACGTATGTGAGCGAAGGAATGGTCGAACTGAGACCACAAACGGGATTACCTTATGTCTTGCATTATACTATTTATGGCATAACGCATTGACAGTCGTCTGGTCGTCGTCGACCGCGTCGCGTGGACAAGCGATGTGTTCTCGAATCTCTAAGCGAGCGCGAGAAGACTTCGTCAGGTGGAAACAGGTGCTGGAGAGGCGTAATATTCAGATGCACTGTGACGAACAACTATGACATATGACAGCGTTTACGAAGAAGCTAAATAAAATTAATGGAACTGTTCTTCATCTGCGCTGAATAAAATTAAAATGTCAAAAAAAATCTTTCCCAAATTGATAAACGAAAAAAATCGAGATATAACGTTTCGTATTTCTTTATAAAAGAATTGCACGATTTTCTCGTCAGAATTTTTAATAAAATACATGATATTTAATTAACAGTAAAACGATTAATTAAATTAACTATAATTAAATTAAATAAAGCTTAGTTGAATTTTTTACCGCTCTTTCCTTAATAAGTCAAAGTAATCCAAGTGTATGATAGTTACTTGATTATTTTATGCATTCGTATATTTGCCTGTACTTTGGGAAGAGAGGCCTGTACTTTCATTATAAATCTTCAAGTTCCTGAGACAAAAAATACAATCATGAACCTGTTATGTTTCGCAATGCACCAATGAGATTAGATAGCGAAAGTGTTTGTAGCATCCTAAGCAGGCACAGCGTGGGAATAGCAACTTGTTTCTCCTACTCCCATCTTTCTCTCAATTACGGGGTGTGAATGGCTCCCTTTCTAAGAGAATTAAGTGCGTCGTTTACGTGATTCTTGCGTACTTTGTTAAAAACAACAAGAATTAAGCCGATATATACTTGAGTAAAAGGATATAAGTATCAATTAGCACTATTTCAGCTTGCATTAAATGTAATTCGTTTCTTTATATCCGATGCGTAAAAGCAGAATGTTTTAATATAGAACAAACTGTAATATAGAGAGATAAATATAAAAGTAGATACATTTATTGTTGTTAATCCTGATAAAACTAATCCTTTAAAAACGACAGATAAGATATAGTATATATTTAAGGAGAAAAAAAATAATGGAGAGAGAAAGGGAAGACGGATGCAAAATTGATTCAAATTATCTCACATTTACGATCTTACACAACCTTTTAGAATGTTGTAATATCGAGGGGCGCGTTTGCGAATCGACGTTAGAAACGTCATATTGAAGATACCCGGAAGTGATATCCTACGAGAAGAGGGCATTTCGCACGAGGCCTCGCGTAAGCGCAATATTTTACCGTCACGACGCGTCGATAGGTTTGTACCTGAGAAACTGTACTAGGCGGACTTGCCCGCGAGCGACGCCTTCCATCGTTATTGTATTGTTAGAAGAGACAACTAGCCGATACACATACACATGACGCCTGTAGACGTGCTATGCTAGTTTCTCGAACGATAAGAATGCAACGTTTCCCCGTGGCGAGCTCACGGACCGGACAGCGTGGGCCGCCCTGCCTCCGAACAATCAAATTTACTGCGAATGCAGAGGATTGTTCCTGCCATTTCTGCCCACTCTTGCCCGAGTATTCGCCAATCAATTCGATTTTGTAATTTTTTGAGGATATTTTTACAACATATTTTTGAAAACTTTAGAGAAACATTTCTAATTTTCTTGCGGAAAAACGACGATTAGTAATCTCGATCGCAGATAGAAAATATTTTTACAGCTTTGAGATAATCAAATTTCGAGAGACGTTTCTATTTTTCTTCTGAAAAAAATAGATCATTAATTTTGATCGTAAATAAAAGAAATATTAAGAAAAAAAAAAAATTTCGCGAACAATTAATGTTTGGAAAAAAAAAATTATGCATTACCATCCGCGTTTTTAGGCTCTTATCGCTCGTTTCATAATTATCATGTTGTTAAATACATAGAGCCGTATTCTTTATAAATTTATTTAAAAGAAATATTGTAGAAACTAGTTTAAAAAAATAAGAATTTTGCGAACGATATTGTTACCGAGGGTAAACTCGCTTCTTTTCTTCTTTTAATCTACACCTGGCGTAACTTCTCAAGCGCACGATGGAGACCACCCACGGATATATATATCCGAACCCAGGTGGAATCATTAGAGCGAGAGATGTAGACGTGTAGACATCCGCATGCGTATACCAGACTGCTAACATCCGTTGGTTGGTGTATCAAAATGTCACGCGCCCCAAATTGTCAAGAGTTTCGTTCTATACATTCTAGGTTTTTTATAACTTCTCCATCCATTCTCCGTGTGTACTTTGCGTAAAAGGGTTGCGCTGCATGATATTGCACTAATAATGCGTTACTGCTTTTCTCCCCCGTCAAGAACATTAATTTTTCACGGTACGATGAATCTATTTTTCTGTAAGACTGCGAGGGTGCCCAAAGGCACCCCTCGAAGACACGTGGCGCGTGCCATCAAATGAAGCTATCAATTAACTCGAGCACGTGTCATGCGTATATATCGACTTCCTGTGTTTAAAAGAAATTTAATATTTGTCTGAAAATAAAACAAGGATAAAAATGAAAAATTTTTTATTATTTTCGCGATTTACTTTTACCTGCACGAAAGCGTTTACATTTGTATAGCTGTTTAGAATAAAGCGGAACTTGTCTAGCGAACATCAGATAGATTATCGATTATTTACATTGGAATCGAGATCGTTATCGGTTGAATAATTTGAGAAGTTACTGATCCGTAAAATGACTACCATCGTGGGCATCGTCGAGAGCGAATGGAAGTTCGTTGGGGACAACCCACAGTCAAGAGTTAACAAAAGTCCGTTACAGTTATATGTATTCTTCGAAGTAATTGTTTGGTCGAGCACTCGTGAAACATTGATGAAGCCGGTAATCGATTTGAATGGTAGTACATGCATATCGTTTCATTCGCAATTTTCAAACAGGGTCTTTTCAAGCGATTCAAATAAATATGAACAAAACGTATGAGTATAAATATCACTAAACATTTCGACTACTTTTAAAACGTTTATTGTGCATGAGATATATTCGATTCATGAATATTTTTATATATAATATATTTACATATATTATGATCATGAATATAAAATTTAAAAAAATAAATTTTTTAATTTGAATTAAAGATCAAAATGAAATTCATAAAAACAGACAAATAGCATTAAATTAAATATAAATTTAGTATAAACATATATACATTTTTTCAAATTTATACTAATAATATGCAAAACACGGCCATTAAAATATTTCTCACTTAAAACATTCTCATTTGAGTTAATTATAAAACTCTTACGGATTCCTCATAATCATTTTACGAGCGATCAACGTTTTAATTATTTCCTTAATTGTACAGTGCGACGACCGTACATTTAATTAGCTTTGTAATTGAGTCGATGAGAACAACAAACGCGTGTAACTGAGGACGTAATGATTGCGGCTGGATATTACAGCCAGGAGAGAGGAGCTGCTTTTATAGATAGGTTTTACACTGCCTATCGTTCACCGATTGCTAAATAAGTCGGCGTCGACGTCGGCGTGGATTTTTTTCTTTTTGTGCAATCGATTTTAATTTATTCAGGAAGGTTGCCCACGAACTGTACGACCTCTTCGAAGTCTGGATCTATTGTTAATTGCTCTCGGGAGTATCGCTCGTGGGATCCGATTATACGCATACGCTTTTCCGGTGAGGAAACGCAACGCGCGTTTATTAGAATAAAAATGAAAACGAAAACGAAGACTCTCGATTTTTATATTTTTATGAAATCATCAAGCTACTATGACGTAAGAGATCGCTACTTTTTTGGCTGTATCATAAATTAACGCTCCATATCGTAACATGATGTTCTGTATTTGTCCGTGCTTCTGGTATTAATTTATCGCTCGCTTGATCACATGTGAGATTAGTGAGGAAGGCGTAGGCCATGTCAAAGTGTTCCTTGCCGATGTTTCATGCGTTACCCACGCACATCTCTACGTTTTAGTGTCTCTGAATAACACAGGATTGATTAACAGGTATATAAGTTTTTTGTCGGTAATAAGAAGAGCAGATTTTCTGTATCGCTGGTTGCATCAAACACCCTTCTGTACTTGTTCTCGCCAGTAGCCATGTTGAATTACAAGATGAGTCTATGGTAGGAATCGCTTTTTGCTCGACTCAAGGCCTCGGCGAGAGATGTGAATGAATCTAGAACCTGTTTCTCCCCGCATCTTCTTCTCACACTTGCCCGACTTCTTGCATTCAAGTTGAACGATAATTTTATTGAAAATAGCATCCAACGTCTTTTTATTGCATCCGCATTTAATACATTTTTAATGCACAATATTCTTGGTAGCTTTATAAAAAGATTGGAAAGCAAAATCTCTTGCTTCCTCTCGCTATGAAATATGTGCGCTTATAGAATTATTAAGAAGGATTTTTCACAGGCTATAAGTTAACGAAGAGAAATAGAAAAGGAATAACTACTATCGTTGGTATTCACTGCGGATAAAGACACAGATAAAAATATTATTCATATAATTGTTAAAAGGAAAAAACACAAGGAATAAACGGAAGGAGGGGCAAAAGGATTGTGTTCCTGTGCAGGTAGCGCCACGCGTAATCGGTACGACTGTGATGCCGGCAGTTTCGAGCGAGTCTTGTCGGTGAACAGGTCGAGCGAACGGGGCTTCTTCCCTTTCGATCAGTGGCAGATATCGGTATCGTCCCTCCTCGCCTCGGCTTTGCTCCGAAACGGACGGCCTTGTTGTTGTGTCGTTGACCGTTTTCCTGTTTATCAGTGCATTTCCGCATTCACGGACGCGTGATAAAAAATCGAGAATTAGGTGCGAATCACCGATGACGTATCGCTTCCACCACAAGATTATGTTCGCGCTGTCGACGAGCAATAACGTTCCTTGATCGAAGGTAAGAAGGATCTTCGGTCACGGTGTACTTACTATTTTATCCTCCATTCCGTTTGTCATTTATCGTACGCGCTGCTTCCGCGATATCGCATTTCGAAATAAATTTAAACTGATAATTGATTACAGGAAAAGTCTATTTTTGTCTTTTTCTACATTAGAAAATAATTAGAAAAGTTAATTATTTACTGATAACATTGTATAATATTGAATGCTTTGTCATCCTTTTTCATAGCTTTACGCGTTCGTACTTAATTGTTACTAGATAACATATTCCTGACAGAGGACACTGATGTAAACAAACGTCGTGTATACTATGTGAATTTAACTCTAATGCATTATATCGAACAATATCTAAATCATATATTTTCAATATTGATTGTATTCAATATCGGCTGTTTTATATATATCCTTTACAGATAAAACATGGAATCACATTGATATTGTAATATCTACCAAGGCCAAATAATATCTACCAAGTGTAATATCTACCAAACATATTTCTAAGGCCATTAACAATATGAATCATATTTTTTCCATGTAAATGAACATATTTAAAGAACTTTAACTATTTTAACATTGCAATTATATGTAATCAAGAGAAGGGATCTTATAAATATGTATCTATAAGAGTATATGTACATATATATACATAGAATAACTCGCATTATATATTAATATTACACACGTTACTCATTGCACACAATGTATTTAATATCGTGCTTTTGAACTATGCGTTCGGATAAATATTCACCAAATCGATATGAGTATCATAAATAACCGTGCACACGAATGAACATTTCAACGATAAGACAGAAATATTTCGCAAATAACTGCACGATCCGCAGAAAGCTTTATTGTCGTAAGTCATGCGCAACCTATTTTGTTCGATCATGTTGGCAGTTAATATTATAAACAACATGATTAACTAGTAGATACACACTATGCACTATGTATGCATTATATACCGCGAACTCACCTATTTCAAGATAACGGTATAAGATCATAAGCGATGTGCAAGATGCATTACTGTTATGCAGTATGCGCACTTTATTCTGTGAAATTAAACACGCCCCTTTAACACTCTGATGGACAGCCGAGAAATGCAATATTAATAATTGTAGGTATTTTTAAGAAGCTTTATGTTTTAATTCTTGAGGGCGATGCATACAGAGAATATCTAGAAATTTCATATTATCATTTATAATAAAAATATTATTTTTTATGAAATTTTATTCTTAGAAAAATATATGATAAAGAGTCTCTAATATTTATAATGTATTTATAGACTCTCTCTAGATGACTTTTCTACCTCTCGTATTAAACATAAGGACTCGCAGGTGCACACATCACTTTTACCCTTCACATAGCATTCATAATTACGTGCACTTATATGAACCTCATCATTTTTATGTCTGCATGAGGGGAAATTGAACTTTGCGCACAAATTATCCCTCGCTCCTAGTTTAAGTATGACCAAAAAAAGAGAGTATATAAAAATACATTTAATAAAGTTTGTATTCAACTATAAATGGATCTACTTATTGATAATCTAACTCGAGAAAGCCTGGACTCTCTATGTCAATTATCAATTAACTCGCAACTTTTTTTATCAAATTCACGAGATCTTTAGAAAATGATCTGTCTGCATTATTCGTGTAGTGAATGTATGCCGGACTGTGCGCCGTTCGAGGACACGCAGCCTCCAGGCCGATAGTTTTACTTTCTACGGGACCGTTTGGTGAAGAGTAAAAAAATATGGAAAAGATATATGCCGGGAATTAAGGAGGAGACTAAAGACAGACAGAAAGAGAGAGAGAGAGAGAGAGAGAGAGAGAGAGAGAGATTCATCGCGCGGGCGACCGAGATATTTACCGTATTTCACGTTGATGCGTGGCACCGATTTCGTTCCTTCGACCGATTCGTCGAAGGAATCGCGCTTATATTTTTCGGAGCCGAGGCCTCATCAAGGCCTCCGGAATTTTGGAGACAAATTTATGATTTTGTAGGAGAAACTATAGAGCGCACGCGCACACCAGCGGTCTCGTTATTACCTGAAACTATATGTCTAATCGATGAAATGATGAGGGTAGCTGCTGTCCCTCTTTCGCAAGGACAATGGACATCTGCTCCTTGGCACGTATAGCGCTTCCCGAAAGGCCTGGCAGGTTCCCATAGCTGGCGAAGAGTCAGGTGTGTCTAGCAGTGAAAGCGCGAGGGCTAACGCGAACCTTGCAAAGAACATATCAGTAATCTTCTCTTTGTCTATTTATTTATATTTCCTTATGTAACTGATTTTTTTATGTTTTTATATATAAGTATTTTTCGAGTAATTAATATAACTTTTAAATTATGATCTGTCAAACTATTCGATTTAAAAATTCTGATATTTTAAAATATATATTTATTTTTATATATATTGTGTTATTTTGAGAAATTTTTCTTACTGTTGAAGCGGAAATCAAATTTTTAGCAAAGGTATGAACATTAATTTAGTATTGGTAGCCTCGAATCGCACGAAAAACGAAGAGGCTGTGTCGTAACCCAAGTTCCAAATTAGGACTTGGTTCTGACTCCGCTATGTTGACAGTTTCAGTTCACTGTTTCGCAACAAATTCCATGTAAAACGTCAACACGTATAAAATTATGCAAAGAAATATAAAATTATTTTATTCTTGTAAAAGAAAATTTGTAAACGAAAACGTTTTGACTAAAAATAATTATTGCTTATTCTTTGATGCAATTTAATGATAGAAATTCAGGCGAATATTTCTATACAATTGAACACAGTTAAAGGCATTTATTTTGCTAGTACGATATGTAAGATATTATCCAGCTTTGTCATTCTAATTGAAAAGCCTTAGATAGATCTTTGCTTTCTCCACTCGAATTTGCAATCGCTTAGATTGCATCGAAGATATCAACCGTTACTTTGTTCTCTTCTAAATATACTCTTGACCAATGCTCTCAGTTTAAGTCCTAGTTTATGCAGCTGTATTTTCTCTTAGATGATAACACATACAATAGATAACACATACAATAGATAACACATACAATATTCTCTCTCTTTTCTGGAACTTGTTGTAAATTTTGTTAATTATTAGATATTGTTATATTAAAATTTATTATTAATACTAGATTAAAAATAATATTAAAATACACAAATATAATTATTATTCGAGTAAAACAAGGTTGTGAAAGATAACATTTGATAAAACAAATCGCGTGAGAGAGAAGAATCGCGATGTGACTACAGAAAATAAGGAATATAAGGAAGAGAACATATAAGCGGGTTCGTTGTCCTACCTGCGGTATTCTCGCGGTCCATTTTGCTCCTTTTCAAAAACAGACATACGGGCGTGCGACAGATGTACATACATACGCGATGGCGACCGTTTCGTGGACGAGAGCTGACGTCATTCGACGACAAACCTTTCAAGGAAGTCCGAGGTTGTCTCGCGAAGTCTCCCTTCCATGTTTCTCTCCTTTCTTTGCTTTTCTTACTCTCATACGTACAGGGTGTTCCGTAGAATTTACCGTAGCTGATACCGTAGGATTTTTCAATTTGAAAGACGTTTTTTACTCAATATGTAATTTTTCAACATTACAGTATTTACATTGAATTAAATAAGCTGAAGAAAGAAAAGGAAAAAATAGAGATTCTGTGATGGTTCAAATTATATTTATATCAACTGCATAATATATTTGCTATTCATATTTTTACCAGTGCTTGAATATATTATGATTTATATTAACATCAGTAAATCATTTTACTTGCAGCACACTTTAACAATGCGTCTTTTCAAACGTTATGCAGTCGATACGAGTCCACAGCTTGTTTCTGCTATACCTATCTCTCAAGATATTGCTGCTACTGTCGAAAGTAATCCTCTTGAGATATCGGAAAAGAAATCGAAGACAGACGACAGATTGGAAGATCCTCTTCCGCTTAAAAATGTTGACACACAAAAAGAATCGGATTCTTCTATTCTAACTCGTAAAGGTAGGAATATAATAAGTTATTAATATTTACAATATTACAACAGTGGATGCGTACACATGCTTTGCATCTGTATCAGTGTATATCACTTCATTGTAAATGTATTAGTATTATAATAGTAAAAAAATGTATTAGCATTATAATAGTAAAAATTAATGGTAAACATTAATCTTGATTGACATCTTAAAATAGTAAAGATTAATTTTGATAATTTTGATTGATCTTATAAAATCAAATCTTGCACTCTTGCTCGTGCTTGAAAGGAATTTCGACTTGGGGACGAAAGATGGGTCAGAGATGGGACCAAATGAAGAGGTCGGACAGTTCCGAATTGCTTTCGGTATCGCGACGGCGACGACGATGGAGCCCGCATCGGAAAAGCAGCTATGATGAAACGTCGAACGAGAAAGAAAACGTAAAATATAATAATATTTTAACACGCGTTATATGCGTGCGCATAATCGCTTCAGCTAGGATGTTGATCGAATAAATCTCTCGTTGCGCGGAAGATGTTATTCTGACTAATCGGCACTTTTAGGGTAATAACGAGTTTCCGAGGCCAAAGAGAATTCCCAGGGTGGAATCGTTGAGAAACTTCTTTAGGACTAGTGGAGATCATTCGTTCAACTCCAAAAACTCTGCGAGAAACGCGACGATACAGGAGGAGGACATCATCGAAATCAGACACTGCCCGATGGAGAAGACTCTGAGCGAAGGTGCGATCAAGAAAATTCCGCTTCGAGGCTTCTGCTCCGACAATATCGACGCTCGCGAATTCGCTGGGATCGATCGAGAAACGTTCCTTCGTCAAAAGAAGTTACAGCTTAGTCGTAGCATTCAGGATCTTCAAGAGCAGCGGCGAGTCTTGGATTATATACTCAAGAATCAGGAAATTCTGAAGACACATCGAGGCGACACGTTCGTGAAAGAAACACTGGAGAACGTTGGAACGAATTCGCAGCAAATCTCCAATTCCGATTGCTCTACGGAAGAGACAAAGAGCGCCTCGATGCGAATGACTGATCATCACTCTGCTCCCGTCAACGAAATTAAGGAAAATGTTTGTCATTCCCGTGGACCCTCCACCGCGCTGACCGGTTTGGAAGATCTGCTGAGCAATCTGCGCATAGGCTGCGATGAAAGTGGCTACGATTCAGATAGTACAAGAGCCGGCGCGGATTCACCGGACAGTGAAAAATCGGCATTGCCTTCGTTGTTGAAACCGCGTAGTTTTTCGTTAACGTCCGACGATTATCACGGTTTGTCGCTTCCGTTCCGTAGCGATGCACCGATGCGGAAAAAAGACGCAGCGATCGAGCCGGATTCATCGGAAACGTGCACTTCGACAGTCGAGAAAGTCGATGTCGCTGTCAATTCCTCGACAAGCAATGCTTCCTTCAATGATTCAACTACAACGCAAATTACCATTTTAATGTCGGAAGACGATACGGATAGCTGCGACGATGATACTTTCGCCGATTTTACAGAATATCAACCAAATTTAACGAGAACTTATTCTAAGAGGGAAGCGGATTTCTTTCCGCAGTGTCAGGAGGATGTACAAAAGCCAACATCTTCCGCGTCTTCTGCTCGGCTACGCGAGAATTTAACGAAACTCCAAGTGACGGAGAGTAATAATTTCGATGTTACTCTGACACAATGTGACGTTTCCGACGATGCTGATGTGCGTAGCACCGATGATACTAAAACGAAAGTCAATTTCGACGAGAAAAAATCTTGTGTAACGCCAGTAAATCATGTGTCTCAGATGGCCAAATTTCAGAATTTGCTGAAGGACAAGAAATATAGAAATCGCAAGTGCTCTAGTCCGAGTGTGCTACAGCTTTTAGACCACGCTGCGCCTCCATGTAATGACAGTCCACCGGCTAATAAAATCTATCCTTTATCTGAGAGGATGACTAAGCCGCTACGATATTACAGTCCGAAGAGATCACGTTCCATCGTGGAATTAGATACAACGGACGTGACGAAGAACACGGCGAAAAGAGTGTTGACATTGAACACTTGCGAGTCCGCTCCTTCCACAGCTTCGAAGACTGTCAACGAGAGCCTAGTACGACGCGAATTGAGAACGATGAAACTCACGGTGAACCACACAGCGGGTCTTGGTATCTCGGTGGAGCGATGCGAGGCAGTCAGACCGTTTTACGTGATCGCCAGGATGGATCCGGACGGGGAGGCGGCTAGATCGAAGCAGTTTCGTATCGGCGACGAGATCGTCCGAGTCTGCGGACGTAGAATACGCGGTATGTCGATGGCGGAGGCGAGAAACGCCTTGCGAAGCTGCGTCGGCACGGTCGAGCTGCAGATCGCGAGAGAACCGAAGAAAATCGGCGACACCTGGGGCGACGTCTTGTCACGAACGCGAAGCGATCCCGACTCGTGGGTCTCGAAGAATCAGAAAACCGAATTTCAGCCGGCTTTCCGTGCATCATCTCCGACGAACACTGATGCATCTCATGCTGTTGATGAGGCTACCACTAATCGGAAAATAACGGGGATGAAAAAGTTCCAGATCGTGAGGAAACGAAGCGCCGAAGCTCCCGCCGTTCGAGGCACTAGTTTAACCATGGATCTGCTGACGATCATATTAACGAAGGGTGCTCCGAAGAAATTGGGCTTCTCCATCGTTGGAGGTGTGGACAGCAATAAAGGGCGCATGGGTATCTTCGTGAAAGATATTATGCCCGATGGACAAGCTGCGGAAGAAGGTATTTTTTTCTATCGAGACATTATATGCGATTTATCTTAAAATATTAGATTAAATAAGATGAGAATAAAAATATACGAGAAGGAATGACGATGAAAGACATAATATAACGAGGAAAAAATAGTTTCCATATTTCATTGCTAATGTTATTAAAGGTACTCTGAGAGCGGGGGACGAAATTCTAGCCATTAACGGCTCCTCGTTAGACGGCCTAACGCACGCCAAGGCATTGCAAATGTTCAAGAACGCCAAAGCCGGGAATCTGATACTTCACGTTGCCCGAAGAGACCTGACGCATAAACGGTTGTCTCACAAATCATGTTTAGAGTAATGCGATATTTAACCATTAATAAGCCGGTTAGTTTTTGCTTCGCTTTATTAACAATTCCATTGGACAATATTTACTTGCTTCTTGCTTTCAGCACCGTTAATTAATTATAATGTGATATTTAACAAAGATTTTGTTTTCTGTGTTGCAGATACATCACGCAATCAAAATCTTATGATTGCCTCAATAAGTTAACGAAGTCTGCCGACGAATAAAATTATTGCCATTAGTCGTTATCGAATTAATCTTTCATTGCTGTAAAAATATAATGAATTATTTTGAGAAATTTTTTCCTGATGATTCATTAAGTTAATAATTTATATTTCAAAAAAATATTATACTATTGATATCTTGCGTACTATAATAATCTGCATAAATCTTGATTAACATCTTAATATATTTCCAATAATATCTATATGCAAAAGTATTTAAATATATATGGGCCATAATCGAACCATAATTGTGATAGCAATCAATTATTTTCATTAATGAATTATATTTGTAATTCACTTCTTTTTCTGATAGAGTTTTTTGATAAATAAGAACATTTAGCATATAATATTGATTTTGAAATGTCTAAAGATTCTAAAAAATCTCAGAGATAATAATAGTCTGCATTTATTTACACTTATATATGTTGCCTATTTAGTTAACTTATTTTATGTTTCAGAAAAAGAAGAAAAATAGAGAAAATTAAATTATTATTATGTATTGCTATTAAAATATTTACATGTCAGAAATACACATTTATTTACATATGAACGTTATATTCTAACGTTAAGGAACGTTAATTAAAGAAATAGAATAGTTAACGCGATAACGATATTATGCAGCTTTATAACCATGTCCTGTTAGATATAGTATGCTAACAACTTGGAATATGGTTTGACTTAACAGCATCGTGGGATTTAGCATATGTTTTTACTTAAAAACGTATTATTGTATAAATCGAACTACGTGAAAACTAAAAAAATGTTAGTTTTGTCCGAGAACACATAAGTCATTAATCATCGTTACTACAATAATTAGTAATCCTCATTAAGTTATTTGTTAAGAGACTGACATTATGAATGTCTACCTGCAAAATGCTGTGATATCGATTATAGTCGTATCAAGTCTAATATTATTACTGTATATTTAATGTATAATAAATGTGATGTTGTTAAAAACATACCTTTTATAAGCTTCCTGCTTTTAATTAAATACAGTATGCGAATTTTTACATTTTTATCTATAGTTTGTTGACGTTCGAATAGAAGACATATCGGTGAAGCAGTCACTAGACATTTATGTTTCATGTTTAATCAATCTTTAAACGATAAGAATGCCGTGAAATAAGATATACCCGTTCGTATCACCTTCAGTCGAGCAGGAACATGCACAAGTTATTTCTCATATATATTGTAAAATAATTCTTACGGATTCTCGTACTTACCGTGGCGAAGATTACCATCGACAACGGAAACAAATTACCTGCTGTCAATTTGCACGGAACAACACTTCTATAAAGAATTATAATTAACAATGACTTTAATCTCGGTGAGAACTTATACCATTCCGCTGCATATCTGTGGAAACAATATTTTTTAAAACAATTTTATAAGAGATTGTCATCACTTCCTTAAGTCGAAGTGGAATTTATAATTTTTAATATTTTTAATATTTTGTATTGAAGATATTTTTATATTGAAGATATTATTTTATATTTAATTTGTTTATATTACATGGATAATATTAGATCCAATTTTTTTAAATTGCGATTTTATTTTTAAAAGAAATTCTAATATCGATTTGCAAGTTTCGAAACGTATAGAAATTTAGAATAGGATATTTATAAATTTCCGATATTTATAATTTTCCGTAAAATTATTTTATATAAACGTAAATATGTAAAAGTATAAAATTATTCTTACGCTCGATGGAATATATTTTGACTTTCGTCCATTAATTTCTGGCCGGAATAACACACGATCATCAGTTGTATCAATGCTCCCGTGATTATAAAGAAAAACCTAATTATTTCTTCCACTTGATCTAACACATAGACGATCTATAATATATATTATATATCAAAAGTGTTATATATACATCCACATTCTATCTGAAATATAATTATATTTTTTCATAAAATTTTTTAATATATAACGATTATGAGAAAATTGGCCATTTAAAAATGTGTCTTATGATACGTATAAATAATTACTTAGTACGTATAAATAATTACTTACGCGAATTCCAAGCAGACTGAAAATCATGCCGATGATTAATGAAAAGCTAATTCCCACAATCTTATGTGTATCATTTAATATATCAACATACCTACAAAAAATAACGATTTTAATGAATCGTATGCTTTCATCATTTATATTATCTTCAGTGATTTCTCGCGAAAGATTGATCGGAAGATTGAACGCGTAAGAACTCGTGCTTACTCTATAGCAAGTTGATGTTTTTTCAAACACAAAATATATTCTCGATATATCACTTTCTCGTTGAACAATTTATACTCCGTATTCGCACGATATCCAGTCTGGTCGACTTCACGCATATTTGATACGTTCTCAATTTGGTGACTGCAATATGATTCTCGCGATATTTCGCGAAAAAATTTATTGCGGATGAATGTTTTTTTTTATCCGCACTCTTATACTTACCCGATAACTTGGAATAAGCTACATGCGTGCGCGGTGCATGCAATATGCATAGTATCAACAGCCACCATGATGGTCAGGCCCACCATGATCATGATAGTGGTGTATAAAAATATTCCTACAAAGTACTTATTTTGATCTATTCCATATTCGGCGTATAGTGCTAAATGTCGCGGACGCGATTCATTAAGAGGTAGCACGATATCGAGAAATATCGGTCCTAATGAAGGTATTGTGATAAACATTGTCGACATAACATATATCAAGACTGCAAATTTATCAATTTTATATCCATTGTTCTTTCAATAATATTTTTATACATAAAGTATATCGATTATTATACACATGTATATATACATATGTATATGTATACATATATATGTATATACATATATACATACACATAATATTTTTGTAACGCATCACTCACTGGAATAAGATATTGTAAATTTCTGTGATATACCAGAATAATTTTTCATAATTTGAACCTCGAAATCATTCGTAAATATGTTCCAGTGATTTTCCATGGTTTCGTATAAACGCTGAAACTAATTACAAAGGACAAACATGAAAACAATTATATATTACATATATATTTATATATATACAGAATGTTTCTTAATAAGTGCGAAAAATTTTAGGAGATAATTCTTTATCGAAAATTAAGAGGGGTTTTTTCATATAAACATTAAAAAGTTCTAATAAAAAATTAAATAGGGATTGCTAGTTTCATCCCTTTATAACAATACGGGAGGTTGAAAAAAATATTAATAAATAACCTTTTTACTAGTAGAAAATATCCACCTAATTTCATTTCTTTAACTTATTCTAAATTTGAGAAAAAAATAAAAACCTAATTTTTACTCCCATTTTTGGAGGAGTGTAACCACAGGGAGGAATGTAGGAGTATTTGTTTATATAAAAAACGCCCCTTAATTTTCGACAAAGAATCATCTCCTAAAATTTGTCGCACTTATTAAGAAACACTCTGTGTGTGTGTGTGTGTGTGTGTGTGTGTGTGTGTGTGTGTATGTATGTGTAATTGTTATAATAATAATAGAAAAAGAGAGAAAGAAGTTTTATTTAAATAAAACTTAAAAATAAAATTAGCGATAACATTGACATTTTGAATATTTACCTTGCTGCGGTTCCAAAGCTGATTTACTAATTTTACAAGAAAAGCTATTGTTACAGTCATTTGATACAGACATTCAAAAATCATTTGTTTACTGCGTCTATGCATGTACAATGTTATGATCTGCGATTGAATTATAATCCGAAAAGAAAATATAATATAGTAACACAAAATGTATTTGGCATATGAGCAGAAACTGTTAAAGACTAATCGAACATTCAGAAATTCAAATGTATCGATCATACTACCTCGAATGGCAAGTAACTTAATTCGAGTACAAAGCAGAATATTGGCAATGAATATCTCGCGAGCTTACGTTGGAATGGCCAAAAACCTAGGCACGATAAAAATTTTCTATTGATATTGTATTCTCGAAGTATATTCACCAGCATGATTTGCTTCTGCTTGTTACGACCGAAATGATAAAGTATCGCGTGCGCGTGTCGATCGATCGTTATACAACTGAAGAATCGGAAAGAAGTGTCGGAAGAAATTGTAAAATTACGGGATGTCAGATATATCGTTTGTTCGTGGTTACTTTATGTATCATCAAAATTAAATTACTACTTGTCTCTGAAATGTAATTTCTTGTATGTCTCTTCAAAATGACATTTGGCCATGTCACATGACATGGTAGCTAGCCAGGATATGAAAATAATAAGAGTAGGCAAGTGTTTTCCACTTTATCTTGAATTTATCAAACGAATTTCTTTTTTATTCTCTCTTATATATTTATTTTTTGTTCAAATAACTGATAAATGCAAATACGGTCGTTTTCGAATGTCCCTCATATGCATTTATAATTTATAAGCGTTTGTAGAAAAAGGTAATATATATCTTGAATTTATCAACAATTTTATCTTGAATTTATCACATAACGAAAATTTCTTTTATTCTCTCTTATAAATTTTTTTGTTCAAATATATTTTGTTCAAAAATGCAATTTCTTATTTGTCTTTTCAGAATAACATTTGCCAATGTTACATAATACGATAACTGGATATGAAAATAATAAAGAGCAGGCTCCGTTTTATCTTGAATTTATCAACAAATTTCTCTTTTATTCTCTCTTATAAAATTTTTTTTGTTCAAATAACTGATAATAAATGCAGATACGGTCGTTTTTGAATGTCCGTTGTATGCATTGTATAAAATTTATAATGCCTATAAAGAGAGGTGATATATCTATCTGCTTACCTATTCTTATCAATATTTCGTAATCTTTCTTTGTAGATGTATTCATAATACCCAATTCGTAATAACCAATCACATCGCACAATCATATATCCTACGGGACGCTGCCGTCTTTCTTTCTTGATAAGAGATTCAATCTCTAGACTATTTATAGACATGAGACGAGCATCGTAGAGTCACATTTATTGTGCTACGAGGTATACTTCAAGATGCGCTCTCAAGGAAATTCGCAGGTCTGTGCTTTCGTGTCTCAAAGAACGGTCTTCGCGAATAGCGTACGACCGGCCACATTAGTCGTAAGTAATGAAAAAATACGGGAAATATTATATGACGTTGGTGAAGATGTCGTGCGACGTTTATCGGAGGTAAGTAAATTACTCGAGAATTAACTCGAAAATTAACGCGGGAAAATAAAGCGCGAATCGACGATGCTTTTCAGAAATATCTCGGAATTCAATTTTACGATTACGGCTCGTTGGTGTTAATGCCCGGAATAATAGACTCCCACGTACATGTAAACGAACCCGGTAGAACCGAGTGGGAAGGATTTCATACCGCTACACAAGCGGCCGCGGCCGGTGGTGTTACCACGATCGTGGATATGCCTCTGTAATGATCTTTATTCTTCTCTCGAACGTTTATGAACGTTAAAAAATTACCTTTATAACTTACACTATTTATCTCATGTTATAGGAATTCTATTCCGCCTACTACCACCTTAGACAATCTCAAAGTTAAGGCGAGGGAAGCGTACTCGAAAGTGTTTATAGACGTTGCATTCTGGGGCGGTGTAATACCAGGAAATCAGGTATATTACAAGCGAATTTTTAAGTATATTTTTGCATATTTGAATACAATACACATATATATCAAATATACATATATGTGTATTACGTACAAAAAATATCTTTGAAGAATGACGCAGGAACAGATGTCGCGAGAGATTAGTTCGAATCATTTGAAATTAATTAGTCTTTAATTGATAGGAATGCCGTGAAATAAGACATGCCCGCTCGCACTACCTTAAATCGCGAACGTGACGTTTTATGCATTGTAATAAATTTAGAGATCTTAACAGAAGATCTGCATTATACTTACCGCGGCGTAAGTTGTCATCGATAACGGAATTAATTTACCTGCAGTCAAACTGCACGGTATGTTACTCCGATAAAGTGTTATGATTAACAACGATCTCATTCTGGGTGAATACATGTACCATTTTGCCGCGTATCTGAAGAAACAAACATTGATAAGATCTTTGTGGAGCTTCTCTTAAATTATTTCGTCTTTCTTGATTCACGGATGAAAAAAAAATATTAACATTTTTTAAATGTTTTGATTGATTTGAGATTGAATATATTATACTGAATGTATATAATTATTTAGAATATGTGTGTGTTTTATCAAAATTATTATTTTGCATTACATATAAATATAATTGAATAAAAAAATTGCATATAAATATATTTGAGAGTATAAAATAGTTATATTACGCTCGGTAGAATATATTCTGACTTTCGTCTATTAACTTTTGACCAGAATAACACATTATCATTAATTGTAGTAACGCTCCCATAATTATGAACATAAATCTAATCATTTCTTCCATTTGGTCTAATACATAGACAATCTATAATATTAATATTAAAAAATATTATTCATGAAATTTATATGACACTAACGAATTTCAATTTGTTGTAGAATTAGTTATTTTTAAAATTGAAATTTAGTTATTTTTATATTTAATATATTTTTTACCAAATCTAGTCAATATAGCAAATATATATTATCGAGAAAAATTGGTTTAGGAAATTTATTAAAAAAAACATCTGTTATTTATTTTTGTTTCTTATGATGAATTTTATTGAAAAATAAATATTTAGTACTTACTCGAATCCCAATCAGACTTAAGGTTGCACCAATTAATAATAAAAAAAACACTGCAACTGTTTGATGCGTCGAATTCAGTATATCGACGAATCTAAAAATCAAAATTATAACAATAACAATCTTACATTAATGTAACGCTTCATATGCAAAATTGAAAAGTGATTCGGCGAAATGCCTTACTTTAATGCCAGCTGGTATTTTTTTAAACATGTAATGTATTCTTGATATATCGCCCGTTCGTTTGACGATTTAAATTTTTTATTCATGCAACATTCGCATTTTTCCATATCTAGTTTTAACTTAATATTTTCAATTTGCTCACTGTGAAATATATATACAATTCCCTTTTTCTCTGTCTTTCTCTTATGATACGTTCCCCAAAAAACTCCAAATATTACACACACTTACCCGATAATTGCGAATAAACTGCACGCATGATTGGTGCACGTGAAATGCATTGTGTCGGCGCCCACCATAATGCTTATACCCACCACAATTATAGCAGTAGTGTAACAAAAAAGCGGCACGAAATGCTTGTCTTTATCTATTCTGGAATCAACTTCGACCGCCAGAATTCGTGGACGCGATTCATTAAGAGGCAACACGATATCTAAGAACGCCGGTGTCAATGGAATCACTATAAACATTGAACTCAGAAGATACATCATAACTGCAAAATTTCGTGAAAAAGTAAACTTATGTTCCATAAGTTAATAATCCAATCAAAATTATTGTTTTTAGACACCATCGTTAATTTCGTCGAAAGATTTAAATAATATGGAAAATACTCACTTGAGTAAAATATCGTAAACTTTTGTGATATAATGGAATAATCTTTCAGAATTCGCACTTCCAAATCATTCGTGAATATATTCCAATGATCGTTCATAGCCTCGTATAAACATTGAAACTGATCATAATAACAACGTCTATGTCAAATAGAAAGAATCTTCGCGAGATAATGATTATGTGCGAGAAAATAGGCGATACACATTGCTTCAAAAAATTTACCTTGTTACGATTCCAAATCTCATTCCAAAGTCGTACTAGAAAAGCAGACGATATGACCAATTGATAGCAACCTTCGAAAACCATTTGCGTGTCATCCCGATGATGGTATACCATTAATATCTATAACATTAATCATGAATCGGCACACATATAATAAAACAATTATATTGATATGCTAAAACCATATAAGTGTGTATATCTTGACTGATTACCTCGAACGGATAGAAACTAATTTCAAGCATGAGATAAAAAGTCGGTAACAAATCTCTCACGAGCTTACTTTGAAATGGCCAAAGGCCCAAACGTGATAAAAATATCTTATTGACATTGTATTCTCGCAAAACATGTACCAGCATGATATCCTAGCTTTTGTTCAAGAGCAGTAATACAAGTGACATATGTTACATGTACTATGGGTCTGCTTTGTTAAGTTCTTCTAAATTATTAAGACCTTCCCATTTTGTAACCAGTCATTATGATAACGACTCTCTTGCAAAGGATTGTTTAACGGCAATTTGTGAACAGTTGTTTTATAAACATGCCGAACGACTAAAATGTTGCAGGAATCGTCAAGTACGAGATACACAGCTATTCCCGTAACAATATATCTGTCTTAAAACCAAACTGACATTTTCCCATTCTCGTCTCTCAAGTAGCATTTGTCGCATATTTTTTTCAGCGTAACACTCACATATGCAAAGTGGTAGCGTGGTTGCGTGACGCAGTAGAGATACTATACGAGTAATAATAGAATGTGAGTGAGAGCGAAATATCATGCATTGTCTTGCCGTTATATTGGTCAATTTTACGTTTTTAGTGTGCGTTACTTTTAATAAACATAAATGCAGTTAGTTTTAAATTGCTACTCGTATCCGCAAACGGAGTCTAAGTGATCAATTAACTTTGATTAACTCGGCAATTTTATGGCACGATTTGCAAGGATCTAATACACGGAATAGAACAATCAAAATAATTCATACATTATCTCAATCATAACCGTAGCGTTAAATGTTTATTTTAACATTTTTGTTACATATGTATATCTGTACACATTATCAATTGCAACTGATATTTAAAAATATTAAAATAAAAGTTGTATTTAAAAGATAATTTTTTAAATATTAATCGTAATGTTTCTCACAAAAATAGATTAACCTCTCATAATTTAAAATTTTAAAATATTTTACATATATTATTTCCGAGTGCCATTTGTCATAGGATGACTTGAGTAGAATATCTATCAAGGTTTGCAGACAAATAATAGAGAACACCATGAGAATAATAATGCTGTGCACGAGGAAAAGCAGTCTACATTATTTTCTTATGTTGCGATTAATTTCTCTTATTACTTATTAATTTTTTTAGCACAACTTGCGAGCGTTAGTAGACGCAGGTGTAGTCGGTTTCAAATGCTTCTTGTGCCAAGGCGGAGACGACCAATTTCCACATGTCTCTGTGGACGATGTGGAGAAGGCTTTAAAGGAATTACTACCTACAAAAACCGTACTAGCGGTACATCATTTACATATTCTTGTTACATCTATCCACATATTTACATGTTACGAGCGTTAATCAAACAAATATACTTGCAGTTTCACGCAGAATACGGACAGAATGAAAAAACGAATCCAACCGGTACGTGTAAATTTATCTTACTTTTATCTTGGCAGGATTACGTAATTTGTTCATATCATATTTTCAGACGATCCAAACGTATACGACACTTTTTTGCATTCTCGACCTGACCGCTTGGAACTTGATGCCATAAAATTAGTCTGCGATTGGTGTACAAAATATAAGTAAGCGATTCATTGTTAATTCCAATGTTTTTGTAAAAGTAATGTTGCATAAAACTTTCTAGCTTTCGATGCCACATAGTGCATTTGTCAAGTGCGGAATGTTTGGCATTAATAAAGGATGCTAAGGCTCGTGGGGCTTCTTTAACTGTGGAAACGTGCCATCATTATTTAGTACTTTCCGCAGAGGAGATACCGAAAGGTGCTACTGAATTCAAGTGTTGTCCGCCAATCAGAAGCAAGAGCAATCGAGTAATTATATATAGATGAAATTTTTTATCTTACAAATTTTTATATTAATCTTTTCTATTTAGCGCGATTTCAATCTCATATTATACGTTCTTTCCTTGATAATTACATTTCTTAAATATTTGAAAAAATTAGCTCTGTATGCATCTCTGAAACGTGTAAAAAAATACATAATAGATTTGTAATATTATTTAAATATATACCATCAGAATCAAGTTGACGAAAGAAAAGTAAAGTAACTAATATTATTCGATATTTTTTAATGTTACACGTACATGTGTTCAGGAACAATTGTGGCAAGGTATTAAAAGCGGAACGTTGGATATGATTGTCTCGGATCATTCTCCTTGCGTACCGGAAATGAAAGCTGGAAATTTTTTGACAGCTTGGGCTGGAATCTCTGAGTTGCAATTCGGTGTGTATTGATATAAAAATAAATTATGAAGCGATTTATCATATTATAGAAGATAATATGAAATGAAACTGTGAGAGAGGCAAATAATTAAAACAGAAACAATTATGTTTTATAGGATTATCATTAACATGGACAGCCGCGAGAATGAGAGACGTATCATTTTCTGATATCTCAAAACTATTGAGCACTAACGTTGCGAAAATGTGCGGTCTTGAAGACCGCAAAGGTAATTTGTCAGAAGGAATGGATGCGGATTTCGTTATTTGGAACCCGGAGGAAACTATTAAGGTCAGTTCTATATTATACAGTATATTTTAAGAGAGTCATATATCTGAGTAAATACATCATTAGAAAAATGTTTTATTTTTCTAGATCGAGACAAATAATATTTATCATAAACACAAAGTAAGTGTGAATGCGATTAATACTGATTACAAATGGGAAACATATAATGAATGTCGGCAGATTTTACGAGCCTTCATATTTAATTTTGCAGTTAACACCATATCAAGGGAACATTTTATATGGAAAAGTAATCGCAACTGTTGTTAGAGGACAATTCGTTTTCAAGGAAGGAAAAATTCTCGATCAACCTGCGGGAAATTTATTGTTGAATGCAAATATTTTGCAAGAAATAGAAACTCAGTAAACTTTGTTTTATTTTATAGCTCACAAGCTTATTTTACTTCAATTTTACTTTATAGTTTTATCATTCTCTTATTTCTGTTTTAACAATATTTTATTATAATAGAGAAAAAAGAAAGATATTTAAATAATAAATCATGGAAAAAATTTTTGCGTATATATCAATCCACATGAATTTTATTTTATATTATTAATATAATCGCGCAGTTTTTGTAAGTCTTTCTAAGTGAAGAAGATTACTACTTATATATAGATATTTGTCGCTCGTCTAGTATTAGAAATATTTGGTGATGATATTGTGAAACAGTTTCAAAATTCAAGAGAGAAATATTCGCAAAAGTGAAACTCTTCAACACTGATGGGCAACAGTAAATCTTGTCTGTGTTGTATATTGGTCAATAGGGCACCAATATTCACAACAGATTGCACGTTCGAGAATGTATAAAGTGAAATAGTTCAATTTGTAATATTTTATCGCTATTGTTTTACAATATTCATTTTTCACTTAATTTGCACATAGAGTATATTCTATATAGTATTCGAAAAAGAGAGAAAAAAATTATTATATAAGTAGTCTACAATATCTCTATGAGACAAATTTGATAAATATTTAAAGTATAAGTAAAAAATATGTTAAACGTAAAAACATTTTAATTATCGTTTAATGTGACACAAATGAATACGACAATATTTTCTTTGTGATATCTTTGTTTTTTCTTTTTTTATATATTTCATAATTTGTATATAATTTTTATAGAATTTTTTCATTTTTTTTTAAATACATAACAGGAGAGTTACACGCGTATTTCGTTCGCGTACTTCATTCTATAGTTAGTTACAAACGCAATAGATGGAGAATCTTCCTCGAGGAGGATGGGAGTGACCATTCACCGCTCTGCTACCATGCATCTGCGGTATAAAAGCAACCTCTGTTACCGCGCGCTCAGTTTCATTCCGGAGTAACCGATTGTGAAGCAACACTTTCAACGTGAGTATCACGTGATAGAAAAAAATCTTGTTCGAAAGAACAAATCTTGTTTTTTAAGAAAATTTGTATGTGCATATCTCGTTGTTACAATTAAAATAATTAATTGCAATTCTTGTGCGCTTTTTTATTATAAAAGAATTAAACATCGCACTTTACTACAAATTTTTGATGACGACAAATTACCAATCAAAAATATTAATTTCAGTACAAAAAATATCTATAAAAATATTATTTTTATCACAGATTATTTATAGTTCAATTAGAATTTTTTCTTACTTTGGCTCTCTTTATTGCATATTGCGACAAAATTCTCTTTAAATCGTTCCGATTTCATGACCTCGATCATTAAGGAGAGATCGGACCATCGCTTAAATCGCTTTCGATGCCAATGAAATTCTTATTTCAGTGACCAGTATTCTGTTACCTTATATGTGATAATAACCCCATATTTATACGATATTTACAAGACATATTTTATAATCACTGCGTAAAAAAAAATAGTTTCTGTATAATAATTACAAATATCGTGTGATAAATTGTGAAATCTTTCAATTATTATATATATAGATATTCGATCCAAAAGATCTCCAGTGTCTCTTATATAAATATTTTAAAATCTTCTCTTGAAAAGTTTAGTTTCTAAGATACTTGAGCTTTTTTGAATTACGTTAGTTTGACAATCTTCTTTCTTGCTTATTTTCAGATGAAATTTTATATTATAATACTGGCCGTGTCATTTCTGGCGGGCGTGATTTTGGCATATCCGCAAAAAGATGGGCAAATCTTCAGTAATGAAGCGATACGACAAGCTCAGAATACCTATCTCATTCCTAAGGATGCGACTATACAGAAGGTTCAAGAAGGCATCGAACTGGCTGCTTACGAATCAATTCCCGGCGATCAGAGGATCAATCTCTTCGAAATTTTGGGCGAACATGTGCCACCTGAAGTGGTGAACAATCTTCAGACCCAAATCGATCAAATAGGTCGAAATTAGATTCGCATAATCGTCATCGTCATCGTTGTGTAAAAAAATAATCATGTTCTGCGTCCTTCGTACTTGTAAAAATATTTATGAACATACGCTTCCGTTTTTGTACCTTGTATCTATATTTTTGTATCTCGTAAAATTTTCTTTTGATATGTAGGTTTTCGTAAATAAATATATGAGAAAAATAACTCATCAGAGTATCTACGCATCACCCGCTTGCGATTACGTCAGTTTATGAATAAAAAACAGCTTATTGATGGCGCATTAATAATGTGCGTGTAAAAAAAGAAAAAATATAAATATTAAAATTGTATTAGCAAAATACGATTTGCATACTTGCTCTTTACAATTTCACTAATGTATAAATAAAAGTTTCAAAATTCTATTTTGCATTGAAATTGACATATTTTAAAACGTGCAGTTTGCTCAAATAATCACGTATTCTCGTAAAGATCGCTTAGTTTGAATTATGTATAGCTGCACTAACGATATATATTGTAGAGAAAGTTGCAGTAATCGTTAAAGAAGCGTTCACTTTCACTTCTTATATTCATCATGTTATTGAATAGCTCTTCTATTCTTTACCGTTTATTATACATGTCGTAGGAATTTCAATCTAATCAAGGCACAGGATTATGAGATTCGTATTTTTCATGTTCTGTGCTAATTTTATTGTCTCTTATTATAATACATATTTATACTGAACGGAAGGTGCCGATTTATATTCATTTTTGTGTAGAACTTTCACTTTCTTTCATATATATACAACCGTTCGCGCGTGTAAATGAGGTAAATCTATCAGAGAAGTCGTTATATAACAATATACAGTTCGATCACCTTACGTTGTGTTACAAAAGTTTAATAAAAAAATAGTTACCTTAGAGATGATGCATCCTGTCTCATTTTTTTTGTAATCTCTTACACATACATTATACTCAAATCATGTATATATTTTGTCTAACAGTCTAATAATATTATTGTATAATAGCGACGAATTTTTCTCGCGAGTAAGTAGGGCGTTTTAATAAAAACAGTCATTTTCATGTATCAACATTACATACATTTTGGAATATAAAAACCACAAATGACATTTGTACATTAATGATAAATAACTTAGAGCAATATTATCAGACATTAAGTGTACAAATCTCTGAGAACTAGGCAAATAAGTTTTGAATAATATTCATTTCTATTAATCAATAAGCCTTTTGTTTTTTTTTAGAATATACATGCATGATGAGGGAAATTGCAAATATATTTCTAACTCTCTAAATAATCAAAACAGATTAAAAAATAATTAAATAAAGCGTATTGTTTCCTGAAATAAGAGGAAAGTGATTTGACAATATTATCGATTATAATTATCCAATAAAATAGAAATATTTTAAAATAAAATTACATTAATAAGTGCCAAAAAAATTCGCTATCGAAATCCACATTATATGATAAATGTATTTAGTACATTGTCTTGCATCTATCATTATTTTTTTTATAGCTCGCAATCTATGTGTTAAAAATGCTTGTGTCAATGCTGCTTATATGTTACATCATATTTCTTACGTATGAAATACACATATGAAATGTGAATATCTTTCATTGATTCAAAAATATTATGAGATACATGGATAACCTTTAAGATAATGCCTCTTGGAAAAAGGAGGTATTTTGAATTTATCTCGTTAATCAATTAATTATCTTTATACACTACATGTGTTATTGAAAACTTATTAAGATGAATGTATATTTTTATAGCACAATATTTATTATCAAACGAGGAATGGAATGAGATATATACTTAATCATATATACTTAACATGTACTAATCTTAGAAGCTACATTAATTAACGGAAACACAAAATTATAAATAAAAAAAGTAATTAAATATTTTCTTCGGTACTTTTTTTGAGGAAATAAACAAAATTGATATCTAATATAATATATGAGTAATATATAATTTATATGTATTTCAACATATTTTGACTTCATAAAAAATTTTATTCTTATGTACATTTGAATTGTGATTGCAGATTATTAATGTATATGTATATCAATCACTGTTAAAGTCGATGTATGAACTTACTGCATATTAAAATAAACTAAGTATACAAGAACAGATTAAATATTTGAGAACGAAATACTTGAGAATTTAAAAAAAGAAATAATCATTCAACGCCATAAATAATCATCTATAATTAATTCGCTCCTGCTCACTCAATGCAAGAAAATGTACTATTTTTATAGATAAGCTAATTGCTATATCTTAAGTAAGAAAGTTTCAATTAGAATCAGAGTGGTATTTGTTGTGATTTTCTGTGTGCTTCCCTTTCAGTCTGCAGATCCTTTGTATTTACTTTCTATAAATATTTAGTAATTTAAAAAATGAGTAAATGAATTAAAAATGATATAAATATTTGTAATCATATAAATAAATAAATATTTATTTACCTAGATTTCTTGGACGCCCTATCATTTCTTTCCGAACTATCTTCGCGGGAACGTTTTTTACTGCTGGATGAAGAATGCGACGACTTACTTTTATCCCGCTTATCATGTTTACCATTCTTCTTGGGACTAAACAAACAAATTTTTAAATTATAGTGACATTAAAGAAATAAAACTTAATGGTAATCACCTGTGTTTGGATGATTTGGAAGGAGACCCTTTCTTGTGCGAACCCCCACTCCGTGATCGATCCGTTCTTTAAATCGAAGCATAAGACTCAAAATATTTTGTAAAAAGGAAAATTTACATTTTACGGATAGGAATACATTATTTTTTAGCTACAATAAATCATATTTACCTGTGTTTGTCTGGTGATCGTTTATCCTTACTGCTGGACGAACTTTTGCTCTTTGAATTCGCAGAACTCTTGTGCTTAGAATTATGTCTTATACACAAAACAAAAGATATATATATATTTGCAATGTTTAATAAATACTAAATAGTTTAATAAAATATTAAATTTACGTGCATACCTGTCTTTTGAAGGAGATGGAGACTGTCTTCGATTTGATTTCTTCTTTTTGCTGGAACTATAATCATCGCGATAACGATCATCTCCTCTTTCCTTGTCCTCTTCGGCTGCTTCTCGTTCCAAATCTGACCAATCTTTACCCGATTCCTCCGAGCTGCCTAATTCTTCCTCTAAAAAAGTACATCAAACAAAAAATGAAGTAAATTAAAAAATAAAAAACAAATTAATAAAATATAATTTAAAGAACAGCAATACCTTCACTATCAGTATCTTCAGAGGCTTCAGAATACTCAGTATCATCATCAGATTCTTCCTCGCTTTCCATATCAGATGGCTACAAGCAGATTAAATACAAATAGAATATATATATTTATAATATATATATATAATTTCATATTTTTAGAAAATTCATAAAAGATCTCGCACCTCATATGCATCATCTTCTTCCTCTTCTTCATCTTCAACTTCTTCATTTTCTGCATCACTTTCAGGATCTAAGAAGGTCCATCCTCCACTCTCAAAGAATCCTTGAGGATCATCTGTTATAGTCTTCATAATCTTTGTCCAATTTAAAGATTGAACACCTTCCGAATACCGAATATCACATGAACTGAAAGACGAAATAAATTTTATAAATATAATAATTATAATTTTATATATATATTTCTTCAACATGAAAAACTATTAACTTTATATTAAGTAATATCACTTACTTTAACCATTCTTTAACATGATCCAACATATTCATAGGAATAGCGTTTACCATTGCCACTTTTCTGTGATAATCTTTGAAGACAAAAATCATGTCAAAATTTTTTAAGTGGAATTGTACCCTTTCAAAATGAACCAATTCAACATCTTCCAATGTAATGACAAATGGAGGCTGAAATTCAATGTAACGTACAATGCATCACTTTGTTTTGAAATATTGATTTTGTTTTATTACAATATATACGTTACCCATTCTGTGAGATTAACTAAACATCCGCTGGTTGGTTGAAGCAAGACAGTACTTCTATATGGTGCACCAGGAAAACCCAAGTCCCGGAATGGAGTATCAAATTCAATCTCTTGCTTTGTCATTCCTTCAACCTGTGTACAACATACAGGTGCAATATCATTAATATATATATATATATATATATATATATATATATATATATATATATATTATATATATATATATATATATATACACTAATAATCTATAATATTCTACACACCTTTTCACAGAAACTTCTAAAAGCAGTTTTTAATTTATGTCTCAATTCTCGTTCCGACTGTTCAGCAGCAAGATCGTCACGATCATGCATGTGTTGATGTTTACCCAAATCTGTAGTAATTTCTCCAACTTCGGTATAAAATTGTACATCTACATGTTTCTTCTTACCAAACATAATAGCATGCTAAAAATTTATATAAATTATATTAAAATAATTCAATTATAAAAAAAGCGATATTAAAATTAATATCGCTTTGTGTATAAATATTATTATTGTATATAATAATGAAAAGATATATTTTTTAGATATTCTTTAATACATACTTTTAAATGGAAATGAAGCAATATAATCATTTCACCATCGCATGGTTGGAAGAAGGCATTCTTAATATTATTATAGAGAATGTCCACTTTATCACCACGGACCGAAGTGTACCGGAATCCATTTGTGTGCGCTTCTAAACCGCCCGTCATTCTCTTTGTAACTATATTTGGTCGAATGTACAGATCTTTTAATTTTGGATTGCCTTTATTTTGCGACAATATTAAGGTATCCTGTTTCACGAGATCCTCTTTCTCTCTTTCTTCGGCTTCTCGATTTTTAAACTTCTTCTGAACCTCTTTAATTAGCCTAAAAGCTGTATTTAAATTTGACGATGGTGCAGAGATCTCACCGGGTTCTTTGGTATTTGTGCTTCGATATGTTACTTCTTTAACAAACGTTGCATCGGGTTGAGGATAAGATCCACCTTCATTTCGTCCCATTGTTGCACCAGGATGAAAAAAGTTTATTCTAAGGTACGTATAATCTCCTTCTACCGACTGTGAAATGTTCTTAATTGTCGATATGTGGAAGGGTACTGGAATACCAGAAACAGGTAAAATTACAGTCTCATATTTCTTATCCACATATAACTTTAACTCTTTGACTTCTGGTTCACGTGGCATGTGGCTCAAGTTTTTATATGATACTGTGGATTTACGTATTTTCTCTTGTTCTTTGCCGCCAGATTGTTGAGCCAATCGAGCCTTAGCAATTTCGTT